CCGATTACGTTAGTTAACGTAAATCCCAAGCGACCCGCCCACCTCTCCGAAAAATAACTCTCTATATTGATTTCTCATATTTCAACGCGTCAAAATGCCACCAATTCGCAAGAAAGATCCCTTAAAATCAGCTCAGACAGAGGGAAAGATCCAGTTAGCTATTTCTGATTTGAAAAATGGAAGAATTTCCAATATTCGTGAAGCTACAAGGATTTATGATATTCCTTGTACAACTCTCCGAGATCGACTCAAAGGCATCGAATATAAGGGTGAAAAGCGCGCCAACCACGATAAATTGACTCAATCTGAGGAGGATTCACTTGTCAAATGGGTTCCTGATTTAGATCGACGTGGATTACCTCCCCGGCATTCTCTCGTACGAGAAATGGTCAATTATCTTCTTTTACAACATGGCAAACCACAAGTTGGAAAAAATTGGGTAACCAATCTGATTAAACGCCGCCCAGAGATTGATTCCAAATTCGCAAGGAAATATAATTATGAACGTGCCAAATGCGAAGATCCAAAGATCATTCAAGAACATTTTGATCGCGTACGAGATGCTATATCTAAGTATGGAATCCTACCAGAAGATATCTACAATTTTGATGAGACTGGTTTTGCTATGGGACTTTGCGCAACTGCAAAGGTTATTACCGGAAGTGATCGATATGCTCGGCCAAAGCTTTTACAACCTGGGAATCGAGAATGGGTGACTGCAATTGAAGCAACAAATTCAACTGGTTGGGCTATTCCTTCGTACATTATTTTCAAGGTAAAGAAAAATGTACGATTGGGCTGGATTGATGATCTACCAAGTGATTGGATGATTAATATTAGTGAAAATGGCTGGACTACAGATCAAATAGGATTAGAATGGCTTAGAACCCATTTTATTCCTTATTGTGGGTGCACTAAGGTGCATGTACGTACGTACGAAGCAATGGAGTTAATTTCAATGGGTATTCATTCAGTTCTGTGTCTTTTTCTCTAAGTACATCATGTTCCAAAGCTGCGTCTATATAGACCTTCTCCTGAGCTGATTTGTAAGCTATCCCATGGGGTAAACTTGAGACCATTCTCTTACACATGACAGTTTCGGATTGATCGCTTCATTGGAAAGCCAGCTTATCTGACACATCTCGATTGCATGAAGCAACCAACACTTATATTAATAGCCGGTCAATGGGATCATATAGAATGTTGATTCTTGATGGCCATGGAAGCCATTTGACTGCAGAATTTGATCGTACATGCACTGAGAATAATATTATTCCAATCTGCATGCCACCTCATTCTTCACATCTATTACAGCCTCTTGATGTTGGCTGTATTGCGGTTTTAAAACGACATTATGGGCAGGTTGTTGAGCAACGAATGAGAGATGGATTCAATCATATCGATAAATTGGACTTTTTAATGGCATTCCCAGAGGCTCGTACGGTGGCATATAAAGCTCGAACTATTCAGAATAGCTTCGCAGCCACTGGATTAGTGCCATTCAATCCAGATCGAGTGATTTAGCAACTTAATATCCAATTAAAGACACCAACACCCCCTCCGAGTCGATCAAGCAATACACAATCATCTTGCTTACAAACCCCTCAAAATATACGCCAATTTGTACGCCAGTCAACTACAATTACGAAACGTATAAGTGAGCGTACAGGAAGCCCAAATCAAGTGATTGATCAAGCAGTTATGCGAATGTCAAAAGCCTATGAAACGACAATGAATGATCTTCTACTCGTACGGAAAGAAAACCATGATTTACGAGCTGCGCATGAAAAAGAGAAGCAAAAACACCAAAAATCTAAGAAACAGATATCTATTGAGCATGGGATTGTTAAGATTCTTGAGGAAGATCTGGTTGCCGAGGATTATGAGCAGTAGTAGAAATATCAGTTGTACGCTCCCCTTTGAGGATTGAAATATCTTGTTGGAGCGTTCTCAACGTTCTTGTCCTTTTGCTTGTTATCTAGGAAACTATCTAAGGAGTGAGGTGTTCTATTTCGTACGGATAAATATCGGCCCGAAAGCTATAATCTTTACAGGGATTACTAGCGAAGAAGCTCAAGCGCTCGTACAAGGTCAGGTTAAGGCATCTCAAGCTGTTACTACAGCTCCAGCTGAACCGGAGCTCCCAGCTTCTCAGGTCGTACGCCGCCAATTTCGCTGTAGTGGTTGTGGTGTTGAAGGGCATAGAATTAATCGATGTCCTAATCAAACTAGTAGTTAGAGTTTTGTATATTTTTTTGTATGTGGGTTTGAAATTGGGATTTGAAATCAATATAGAGAGTTATTTTTCGGAGAGGTGGGCGGGTCGCTTGGGATTTACGTTATAGGCTTAGTCCCTCCGGGCGTAATAAACATCATTTATTCATTGTTGTCCTTGTCCCATCGTCTAACTCTATGCTCATGACGGTCATTGAATATTCTTTCATCAAAGAAGAATGTCCCTCCCAGGGATATTGCGACTCCCAACCGAGATTCTGGTCTCTATTTTTGAGTTCCAAGACTTGCAGGCTAAGTGGAAGGATGGCGGCTCGATTCCAAACATTCGCCTTACATGTCGACGCTTCTGTGCCTTGAGCTCACATCTCCTAATCCGCAGTGTCTACGTGGATATCACAAAAACAGAGACGGTAGATCGCTTACAGAGCATAGCTGCTGACGCGGGTCTTTCTAAAGGGGTACGAGAAGTCTATTTGCGCGTTCATTTCTATCATCCCTGGGTGGCAGCCAGCTTTGAGAATTTTGCTGCGTCTGTAGAGTCAGAATGGAGGCAAAGAATTTCTTCTCAAGACTACTATGAACAAGATCAAAAACAGTGCAGTATTTGGGAATTTGGGCGGATCGCATGGGGTTTCATCCGCCGCCTCGACCAGACAGTAGCAGATGATGCTAGTCATCATGGATTAGAAGAACAATCGGCAGACAGCGATGTTGATGCGCTGAGTCCGGATCGAATTCGTCCCAATCTAGTCTTGCAGCGGGCTTATAAGTTATATAAGGCTGGATACGAGTCCCAGGATCGTATAATGCGGAATGGAGGTTTTAAATCGGTTCTCTCCAAGACTTTATCGGAGTTCAAAGATCTCAGGACTGTCACTATTTACGATCGTGAACTTGGGAACAATTACGGTCCAGAAAGACTTATTCGTGTACCCCAAGAAGACCATGCGGGCCAAGAAACTGCTCTTGTATCTGTATTTACACGTCCAGTGGTGTGGGAGGATGCCCAATGGATACAACCAACCGAAGAGATATGGCAAGGCGTGCCAGTCGAGTTACTGGTTGAAATACCGATAGCTATTGGTAAGGCAAAAGGTATCGTGGTCGACCATCTGGCCATTGAAGTCACGGCTGCACCAGACTACACTCGATTGCCAACAAATGCAGAAACCCTCAGCTCGTTGTCAGCTGCCATGGAATCTATGGATATATTTCAATTAGGTTTCCAGCCATGCTGTAATGGTGCATGGGGCCCTTGGACTGTGGACGTCGATGATGATGCTGTAGAAGGAAGGAGAGCGGAATCGCATGCAAAGTTCGCGGCAGAGCTACAAGCTCTCGATAAGTATCTTGGTGCCATGCTAGATTGCAAAAGCATTGAATACGCAAACATCAGTCTAGGAGAGTTTTGGATCGGTGCTGGTGTCGATTCGATTCGTCATGCACCGACTTCTCTCGGAACTAGCTGGTTTCACAAACCAGCAAGAATCAGATGCCTTCGCTTATTTCAAGTGCCTCTCACTACGCGAGATCTGGAGAGATTCGTTACTAATGCAATGGTTGATGATGAATATGAAGCCGAAATCCATCTTCATGAAGTCTATCTTTGCAATGGTACTTGGAAGCAGTTCCTAGACACGCTGCGTACAGCAAGAAGAGATAATATAAAGATCGGTTTCTCGTCTCTACTTGGTGGTGGGTTGGATGAAATGGATCAGGAAGTCTATTCATTAGTTTGGGGTCGGTTCGATGGTGATGAATCTATGGTCCAGCAGTATATTAGAGGAAGAATTGAGCGGAACCCTTTAGATTAGATATATTGATCTTATTCATCACGCGAGCAGATCTACCCAGATATGTACATGTAATTTTATACCTATCTCATGATGTCCACATGTGCATGGTTGTTACATATAAGCCATTAGTATCGTCTCCAAGATCGTTATGTACTCAATATTGAAAGAGTCATCAATTGACGTTGAATCCCTCCCAGAAGTGATCCAGATCCGATAAGTAGAGGGGAATTCGGCTCGTATATCCACAGATCTTCCAATCACGTCAAATATTGTATGTCCCTTGGAGCCGTGCAAGTAGTCTATGATATAAATCTAAAATCAATTCTGCAGACCAGTTAGCAATGACGATCAGACATATCGACACAACGAAGAGTGGGAAATGCGAACCTCTTATTACCACTATCTTTATTAGCAGCAAGATATGCATCTCGTTCCTCGCTACTCATCGCATTCCACTTTCGTGCTCGGTAGCTATAGTGTTTTTATGATCAGTAGATGCATCTTCATATCATAAAACGAAAAATGCGACAGGTTAGCACATACTAATTCTTTGGATCATAGTATACCTTTGCGAACAGGAACAGAAACAGACTCAAAGAAGCGATCCCGATGAGAACCTTGCTACCCCTGAGATACAGTGGTGCATCGTTACTCCAGTATATCTAGACAACATCACGATCAGTGCTCTGCTCCGCAAAAGAAAGAAAGTGGATGAACTTACATTCGTTCCAATAATACTACTCGCTTGCACCGTCATATTATACACAGCCGATGCCACAGTCTTGTTCATGTGTATCCTTGTGCACTGTCCGTACAGTGAGGACAACAGTCTCTCCAGGGACAACGCTCCCACGATAATCTAAATTCATCGCTCCTATCTCACAACACCGTAGTACTACTTTATAGTAGAGCGAGGATAGGAACCTATAATAGATCACTCCTAGCTAGTAGTAGATACTTAAGTTGGCTGGGATTGTAATTGTCGGTTTAACTACGGTCCGTATCACGAAGCATAGACGGTAGCAAGGCTAGTCCGACAAGCCTGTCAAGGGTGAAGCTGTATATATATGATATTCGATATTATAAAGCCTAACTCAGAGAAAGTAGGGGGCCCCGGGGTGTCATGGTAGCTATATACGAGGTTGCCGTACGGGCGCTAGGGATAACGTTATCCCGCTCCCGTACGTACGTGCTTGCTTCTGCACCGGGGTGCAGAAGCGCCGAATCATGAGATTGATATTCCGACACTTCCATTTCCTCTTATGGATTTTTTGAAACATGCCCTGGATAGTGCGAATAGTAACTTTATTGTCGATCGCATTCCGGAGCTCCATATATTTAATATGAGGATACTGAATCGTCAACTCAATAAGCTTCTGCTTATTCTCGTCCGTCAACTTCTCCGGGGGCCCCGTACGAGGCATTGAGCGTTGATTTATACGCTCTTGCTCCTTCTTGATTGTATTCCGGATAGTTGATATAGGGATTTCCGGGTGCGCGCGGTGTATCCGTTTATAACCCCAGTGCGCCTCTGTATGGAGCTCACATATACGAGCTCTCATACAGGGGTCAAGCTCTCTGCGCGCTGTACGTCGCTGTGGTGGAGGCATTTATATAAAAAAATTTAGATTTATAGAGAATATATGTAAATTTGTGTGCAACGCGATGTGTACGCGTTTCTGTCGGCAGAATAAAGGGCGGTGTGGAGTTTCGGATAAGGGGGGTGCCAACACATAATTCATCCCACTGTATTTATGGTGAGAAATATTGATATTGTGTCGGAAACTTCGGTCAAACTACCGTCGAGTATATCTCGGATAGCTTATAACACGCTGAAGTTATAAGGCTTCTGAATACGAAAGGCTTCTTGAAAGCAAAGTCTTAATAAAAGGATGAATATCCGGTTCGATAGAAGAACGTATACTCAAGTTGTCGAAGCTAAGGGGTACTTAGCACGGTTAATTCAAGACGATAGAATAAACTAAATACACGATAATTGAGTGTCCTTATATATTCCATCATCATCATAGAATCCATAGAATTCCTCTGATTTCTCTGATCCTCGGATCATAGCTATCATAGAATATCTCTGATATCTCTGATACCCTAACCCTAATGGTTACGGATAATCCTTGCTTCCGTAGTGCAGTAGTGTAACACTATCTAGTCAATCCATTGGCTGCGGATTCTTGATTCTTCTGACATATTGACCTAATTCTGCGCACACTCTTCTATCTACATTTTGAGGGGATTGTTGGACACTATTTATGCTTGAGAATCCCATATAGAAGATATCCAGACAATCTCAAATAGAAGATTCTCGATACAGAGCTGTAAAGTTGATTCGTAGATTCAATCTTGTGACTTCAATTCTCGAATTTTCCTTGTATCAATGTTGTAGGCTTTCCTTGATTATATGGCTCCCACTAGAGCGACGGGTCCGTCGCTCTAGTGGGAGCCATCTTGATTAGGTTTAGCTTACCTAATCCTCGACACGCAAAGAGTTCTCGCTAAGAAGACGATGCGATAAGATAACGATAACGCTGATAAGAGCTTCTATCCTGTTATCGATAACCATTTCTAGCCCTAATTGCTGTGGATGCTTGTTCTAAATACTATGTAATATAGAAATGAAAGCCCAAGCACGTTGTTCAAACTTGCTAGAAAATGTTTAACATAATATACTCCTACTACTCCATCTTAAAACTCGATCGAACCTCAGACTAGGTAAAAGAGCCATGGCAGATTGCGGTAACTATACGGAGGGCATTTGATTCCTCTTCCTCAGCAGAAGATGTACCTCAGGATTAGGAAAGTTGTACTCAAAAGCGTGTATACCCTCAGGTCTTTTGAACTGATCCAATTTGAAGTCATACTCCAACATCATCTTTCCAAGGGTCATCTTGATGACATTGGACGCCATAAATCTACCAGGACAACTATTTTGCCCATGTCCAAAGTGCAAGACGGATTCACTAGTAGTCGCAAACTGGTGACGATGAGCTTGAGATGGCGCTTGTCGCAAACGATAGTAACGTAGCCCATCGAACTCGGTTGAGTTAATGGTGTTGTCTTGTTGAATGGGGACAATGGCGAATTCGACATGCGCACCAGCCGGCAATTGCAGTCCATCACTGAGGGTAATATTTTCAGTAATCTTGCGTTTATAGCCCACTGTACCTTAAGTTAACGATCCATATTGTCCCGTTTGAAATGAATGTAGAGCGGATTGAAAACTTACTAAGACTGGGAGGGCGCATCCTCTGAGATTCTTTGATAAAACTGTCTAGCTTGCGCATTTTTACCAGGGATGTTTTTCTCCAACCTCCATCAGCTTCAATGACTGACCGAACTTCTTCACGTAACTCGGTTTGGTACTCCGGATACGTACATAGATCATATAGGGCTTCTGTCAATGCCATGGCTGTCGTATGATTCGAAGCTAGACTCAGGGAGAGAACCATAGATGCTAGGCTCATGAGCTCAGCGTCCCGCCCAGTAGCCTGCTCTATTAAATATTGTAAGACGTCAGGAAACTCATCTCTCCGCTTTCTGGCGAATTCGGCCGCTTTCTCTTCGACAATACTCTTGCGATATCGGATGTATGGATAGAGAATGCGCTTGGCCTTCCAGAAATTCCACGATATCTTCCACGAGCATGGAAGAAACCATGAAGCCACTGTCTTGAATCCATAAGGCACCAAGCGGATTGTGATGGCGGTGACAAAGATGTTGTGAAGATATCCTTCAGCAGTATTTAGCCAGTTAGAGTCATCCCGAAGTTCCTGGCCACCGAATATGCGCGCTGAAACGCGGCCTACAATTCGATGAATGGTCTGGAAGGCTGGTACACTCGTCCAGTCTCCCTCGTTTATTGATGGAGGGGGCACCTCGTTCGCGAATGCTGCGTCTAGCTCCCTTCGAACTGTAGGGATCATGAGGGCCAGCTGAGGGTTAACCTTAGTTTTCAAAACCTGAACAAAAAGCCGAGTGGTATTGAGGATATCAAGATGTGTGAATTTGCTCTGCATATTGTCTAGGTTTGCTTGCATCGCGTTCGCCTGATGAAATGGTAGCTTCCGAATCTCGTTGAGATATCTGTGTGGGAGAACGATGACATCGTTTCCAGTAAGCTTCCACGGCTTTCCTTCGTATTTGGTGTGCCCTTCGTGGATCACGGTTTCAGCAGCGTAGAAAAAACTCCACCTCGCTAGCCAAGCATGCTTTGATCCCACGAAAGGGGCAATGAATTTGGCGTTTCCAGTCCTTTGGATTGAGACAGTGCAAAAAATGCAGGAGACTAACACAAGTACTGCAGCGGCAGCCGCTGGCAACCAGAGCTGTGTGGTAGATCCCAGAGAAGGTCTGTACTCTACCATTTTGAGACAAGTTCCCTCGAAGAATATATCTATGATCTGATACTAGACGAATTGACCCTTCGCGAGATCAAGTGTGATTTATCTGATCCGTGGATGCAATCAAATACAGTAATAAACCTTTCTTCTCTATTCAGCGGCGGATATCAGGTAAATGATCGCGCACCATTGATTGTCCCTATGATTGCCCCATTTGAAGTCATAACATAAGCATACTTAGGCAATATTCAAAGAATCTTTTCTGCCAGTTCAGTTTAAATTTTGTTGTCGGTGTAGTCTTGACACAGAAAATTATGATCAAAATACACAAAATTATGCAGATTCACCGGTTTCTACGGACATCGGGTATCGCTGTTAGGTAGCACATAAATTGGTAATCGAACTGGTGGAAATCATAGTTGCATATGCGTTGTCACTAAGCATTCGACCAAGTAGAAATTGCATGCAGCTTGACAGAGAAAAAGCGGTCAAACGAAAAAGAAATCATGGTGATCATAAGAGACATCAATTATAAATCAGGCCATTCTCGTATTAGGTATACCTACAGTGAAACTCAACTTCTAGGACTCAAGCGGACTGGGAGTGGATTCCCCACCCAAACCGCATATGTTTCCTGATCTTCCCAGTTGTTTACAGCTTGTGATCCCAAACCCTCCGGCAAAGATATGTCGAAATTGTAGAGCAGATGTCCGAGGATGAGAACGATTTCGGATTGGGCTAGGTTTTGTCCCAGGCAATCTCGAGGACCTTGCAAATATGGCTGAGTCGTCTCTTTCCGATCGTTCTTATAACGACTTCCTGCACCTGAATCCGAATCAAGCCAGCGCTCAAGATCGAAGCGGTTTGGGTCAGTGTAGTTGCTGCCGGAGAGATTGGCGGCCCATTGCATGTATGAAACTACGGTCTGACGTCATTGTTAGCCTTCCCTGTACAGAATAGAGTAACAGAATAAGAAGACTCACCCCCGAAGGAAAGTAAGAGCCGCAAATGATCGCTCCTCCGTCAGGAACTCGTCGTGTAAGTCCTAAAGGGACGGGAGAAGTCAAACGCATACCCTCTTTGATAGCAGCCCCCAGCATCGGAAGCTGCATTAATGATTTGGTATCCATATCTGTTTCACTCGCAAAAGCGTCGCGAATCTCATTCGTAACTCGACCGAGAGCCTCCGGGTTATGTAACAATTGGAATACTATTCCTGTAATTGCTGTTTGGAGAGTATGGCTTCCGGCAATAATCAAAGTCTCGGCATTGGTCACTATTTCACCCTCCGTGAGATCGTGCTTGGAAGCCTGAAGATACGAAAGGAAGTCTGGCCGGACTGTGTGTTGTCCTAAACGCTTCTGAACCTTTTCTCGTGTAATCCTCTTGTGCTCTATAAGCTTAGCTTGGGCTGATTGAGACATAAGTTTCACGAGAAGGTTGAATAGCCATGGATAATAACGAGAAGACGCGAGCTGCACTTTTGCCTTTAGACTAAAGACCAACGCGCCAACCCATTCGTGATATCGGTCATTTTCCAGACAGCCAAAGTCCTCTCCAAAACTCAGCGAACAAATGACGTCGAATACACAGTAAGTAAACCACTTCTGAAGATCCACAATCCCATCATTCTGGGAACCACGGGTTTTTAGCTGGGAGGTCATCTTGAGCACGTACGATACTATCAGAGGCTCCTGTGCTCTGAGTGCTTGAGTACTGAAGAGGGTCGCATACGCCTTTCGTATTCGAGAGTGGTCTTCGTCTCCGGCTTCGAGAATGGAGCATGGGTGGCCTGGCCTAGTTGGGGGCTGTCGAACAGGATCCTTAGGGAGGGTCTTGAATTGTGCATTTGGTCTCTTGTTGTATATATCCTTGACTGAGTGTGGGTTGATGAATGATATCTCATTTGGCCCTACTCGCACCGTATCGCCGTAGATTTCGTGGAAACCTTTAACCTTGTGTGCGAGCTGACCCGATCGAAAGGCAAGCATGTAAGGCAAGAGGGTAAGAGCCCAAAACCGAGGGCCATTAAAGCGAGACAAGGGATGGAAATAAAGCCTTTTGATGGCAAACAGGAGTCCAGCCTAAGCCGGATATCAACAATAATGTATCAGAGGCTATCATATCTATACGTACCATCAGGACGCTGAAAATCAAAAAGGAAATCATTTTTAACACAGTGTTAGAAGGTATGGTTGATTTGATGAGTCTGTTTTGACAGAAATCAGAGCAGAGAGTAGAACAAAGAGTGATTAGGAGTGTTTGGGAAACGACTGACCTTATGTAGTACAGACATTTGACCAAATAGGAATAGCCTGAATTCACCTGATCCGAATCGAGGTTCGCACGTGACCTTCGCTAGCACTACCTGGTTTTACGACTAACATAGACATATGTCTACTTCAGAAGCTCTTGTCGTGGCTTCAGACGTGGATTCCAGGAGGGCTGTCTGTAGAGGGCCATCTGTACCAGGGCCTTTACGCGCCATGGTGTTGCCGACGCGTTGAGACGCGTCAAAGGCCGCACTCCTGGGGGCTAGGTGGTAGAGAGGGGTGAGGATTTTGAGCCTCTGACTGTTTGATATGAATAATTATAAGGAAGTCGCCTATCAACTCGAAATCGAAGCCGAAAAAAGGTCTCCAAGAGTAATGGGGACGGGGGATAGCTAACTAGATATACGCGGCACGCATGTGCCGCGTCAGACTAACTATATCCGGTACCGAAACGTGTAGGGTTTGATATTCACGTTCCGACAAATACCTAAGAGATCCCTTACTGCGCTAAACATCCTCTCAATAGCAACTTCGGAGGTAGGTATTACCAGGTAATCCCTAGCTACTGCTGTTATCTCCTAATACTCATCCTTGTGTATTTGCCACCAATTACATAGCCAATTTTCACCAATATCTATAACATCAATTGGAGGAGTTTCAAAGTACCTATCAATATCAGAGACTAGAGATTAATCTTATAGCCGCAACTTCTTTAGCATTCTTGATTCCACGTTACTCAGTTCTCCCGAAGACTGCTGTAGTACAGTAGAATAATGCTTAGCATTGCTAACCGCATATCTCTAATGGAGTTTAGTGCGGATGTTTTCTAGAATTATAGTGCCTGCATTGCCTTCTTATAATTCTTGTAAAATTAATTTATCTTTGACTCTAGGATCCAACACAAGAGCAATATAATAGGTATCACAGTCATCTATAAAAGAGTAGTATTTTTTATACTTTATCATACCCCTTTTCACTGCAGCTACAATATCTTGATCTAGTGTTGAAAAGTCACCATTGCGTTGACTTGCATCATCAAGTAGTTTGTGTAGCTTGTAATAAATAGGAATGGCAAGGCTGATCTATAGATTCTGTCTTAAAATAAATAATATAAACTTAATTGAATTTTTCAAGTACTTAGTGAATCTGCTCGAGTTGGGACCAATCACTAGTAGTAAAGGGTGGAAGTTCTTTCTAAAGCTTGAGAAACTTATTGATTTGTTGTTTTAATTTTAAGCTATTATTAATTATCTGAAATGTTGAGTTCCATTAGGTTGCAATATCATATTCAATGAAACTTTCCAGGAGATCATTCAACCTGCAAATTTCCTTCCATTTCTGCCGGCGTTGAGGACTTCAATTAATCTATGGAGCGAGGATCCTAAGTCTTTCTATAGCTGACTGATTGGTAATTAGGCTACCATCCTGTAACCTATCATAAGCAGCTTATGCTTCATCTATATTACTTGACTCCAAGGCATGGAGTATATCCTTCACAATAAGGTTAAGGATGTGAGCCAAGCAGCGGACATAGCTATCCAAGCCATGATAAAGAAGTGTTAGATTTACTTCTTCTCTAAGTTGGTCTTTTAAATTATAACTCTAATGTTATAGCCTCATTGTTACTAGCATTGTCGCTAGTAATAGAGATAAGCTTTCCCTCAAGATCTAGATTAATAAGTATATTCTCTACCATATTTACCAGACTCTCCCCACTGTAAGTGCCTTGAAGTTCAGTAAACTCTAATAATCTCTCCTAATACTCAAATTCCTCAGTCAGCCAATAATCTATAATCCCTAAAATAGGAAGTTGGTTTTAGCTCGTTCAGACATCCAGCGACAAAGTATTAGTTTTATAAGTTAATACTAGCTCATTTTTCAGCTCAGTATGCTGTGTTTTGAACTCTTGCACAATCTAATCCTATAAAGTGTGGCGAGAAGTAAATGGAGGCTCAATTCCTAGGATATCTTAAAAGATTTGTTGAAATTCTAGAGTCTCAACAGTAGTAAAGGCTTTCATAGTAGTCATAATCCAGTGAATAATATTCTTCTCAAGAACTTCTTGATGAGTAATATTCTCTTTTCCACCTATGAGATTCTAAATATCTAGTTGATTCTTCGTTGGCTATATATTAGATGTTAGAGGGTAAATATTATGCTTTGTCAAGTGCGTTTTCATATTACTTATGGTATTTTGTTTCTGAGAGTCTGATGTTTGCCAGCGGCATCTTATCTTTGCCTTTTCATCAACATATGCACAATGAATCTCTTGATCGACCAGTCTCCTTTTATTAGTTTTCTTTATCAACCATGGGCAATTAATAGGTGTGGTCTCAAAATATGCCCACATCCACTCAGTGGCAGGTGCTGCTCATTAACGGTATCGACAAAATAGGTTATAAGATATAGTTGAATCCCTACTGTCTATTGATCTTTCTCATAATGCTGGCAGTTGTGATGCTGACTCAGAAGACAAGAGTTCACCATCTACGATACTAGTGAGAGTATCCATGTCTTCTTAACTTACTAGTGGCAGAGCAGTAGCGATACTAGTGAAATTGCTTGGTGATTCGCTCAGTTAATCAATTCAATCCTCAGGTAAAGCTTCATCATCACTTCCATCATTTAGAGCTCGGTAGTTGAGACATTTCTGCCATGTACGCATTTGGATGTGAATAAAACGAGATATCGTAATGAGTAAGAGGGCTGATGTAGATTTTGGTTGTTAATAATTGATAGTCGATTGTGAACAAGGAGAATTTTAAGGAGGGGTAGTCTATTAACTCGAAATAATATTGGGCGTGATGAGCGAGTCACATAATAAATAAAGAGACGCAACGCGTGTAGCAGTGGCAGATACTATTTACTACTTTAAGATGAAGATTATAATCTATTTAACAGAGCCTTGCATCTTGATGGTTAATAAGATCTATGGCTAGGTGAGCCACTGTCAATTCACACAGTCCATTTGAGTATCAGTAATGATTTTAACGATATTAACGATATCGTCAAATAGTTACCAATATCGTATCGGCACACCTAGGATTAGACGATGCCGATTGACGATACGATATCGGCAGATTCTAGGTTAGACGATGACAATAGACGATATGGAAAAATGATGCCGATATCGTATCGTCAACAGCCCTATATGAAATTTACAACTTTTTTTATTGCTGGAATCAAAGCCACCTTTTCTCCTATGTTTCTTAACACGTAACTCGTAGCGCTGCTAATAAGCACGGTCTGACGCAAGGAATATCTGTGCTGATATCCTTTTTCCATGAATAGCTAGTTACAAGAGGATGGTCACTGGATTGATTTGTGCTAATTCATATATCTAGCCTGATTGACCGGGACGAGATGACCAAAGGATTCCTAAAAAGAAGCTTTTCCATGAGTTCTGCATTCGCTGTCCAATCAATGCAAGAATTATGCAGTTTCCTTTTCACCAAGATCAGCGTTCTCATTCCTTTGCTTAGATTCTGTACCTTTGGAAATTGAGATGCGTGGCGCCGCGAGTCCGATCACAATTGCAGCACTACAGAGCACCATCGTCATGATCCATGCACCTTTGATACCAACCAGATATGCTTCCCTGACACCCTGAAGAGTATCATCTGTAAAATTCTGGTTCAATTCACTAGCCCCGATATGCAAAATTTGAGAAGAATTGACGCCGGTAGTGTAGCGAGGTAGAGTTTGGACGAGACGGTTTGAAAAGATAGATTGGCCAGCAGCAACACCAATTACGCCACTTAGAAGTTGAAAGACTGTTTTTCGGTAAAATGGTTACTTTCTTTTCTTCAGACTTATTGAATCCATAAACTGTGGAGGGATGAAGAGAATATGGGGGTGAAGACTTACAGAGTACCATTGCAGTCGCCGTAGGGAGATCTTTTGGCTCAACAAATGCCCCCACAGCAGTGACCGGTATCTGAACACAAATTCCATCACCACTTCCGGCGAGGACCTGATATCCGGCTACCCTCGCACCAGAAGTATCTATATCAAGTGTCCACAAAAGCCCAGACCCAATCAAAACAATCGCCGCTCCAGTCACTAGGAAGGGCTGGTAATATCCAACTTTACCAAGCAGGGCTCCTGCAATGAGTGTAAAGACAGCTAGTAAAACATCAGTAATGCTGAAACTATCAGAGGTCATTCTTCAAGCTACAGAAAAGTAAACAGACTTACAAGTAAGGACAATATAAGCCAGGAGGAGAACGCCACTGCGCTCTGGCGACGTGCCTTGAATAGCTTGGAAGAAAAGGGGGAGGCAATATAGACGGATGTAATTTGCTGCGTTGAGACTGTCCGGAACTCAGTAAAAGTTCGGATCAATTGATGAGAACTTTTTAATGCGAGAGTCGGGAAAAGTGAGAAGGAAAGCGTGTTCTTACAAAAACGCAAAAGTACAACAGGTCAGAACACCACGGCTCCGCAAGTGGTGAGAAGAAACCAGGCCTCCGTCTCCCTGCAGCCACTTCACAACCACAAAAGCAATGGTCAACAAGATCCATCCAACTAGAAGTCCGATTGATTGAGAAGAGTTCCACGATTTAGTCAAACCGCCGACCTCAAGAGCGAGAAGGTAGCAAACTAGACCCCCTGTTATCAGAATACAACCAGGAATGTCGAGTTGGAGCAGAAGCTCGCGAAACGGGACTTTGACTGGTTTTGCTATAGTAGGTATCTGAAGAACGAAGAACAACAGCACCATAACAAACCCACCGATAGGGAGATTGATATAGAAGCTTTAAGCAAGTAGTTAATGATCTTTTCGATTCAAATACCAAGGGCTCAGAGATTAACTTACCACCATCGCCAGGTCACATCAGATGTGAAAGCGCCTCCGACGAGGGGCCCAGAAACGCTCGCGACCGCAAATATAACCCCATTCAGACCATAGAAAATTGGGATTCTCTCTGGCGGGACAATAAGTGCCAGTATATTATAAGTTCCACCAATTACGCCGGCTCCGCCTATCCCTGCAACAGCTCGTCCAGCAATGAAGCCGGCACTGTTCGAGGATACAGCTGGAATAACAATATATTCAGGACCTGCGTTGAAAAAAAAAAAGAAGAAACAAAGAGTAATTGGACAAGCATACCACATCCGAGCGTTCCTAGTTCGAAAGTCAAGATAGCGACGAGAAAGGTGTATTTCACCGACGAGTACTTATATAGCTTGCCCCAAGGGCCTTGGAAAACAGCCATGGTGAGGAAAAAGGCGGAGGCATACCAGCCAACATCGTCCAAACTGTGGAAGTCATGAGATATGCGAGGAATTGCTGTTGATAATATGGTCTTAAATAGTTAGTTTTGGCATTTACTTATCCCACGTTGATGGGAAACGTCGTTACCAGATCTAGTGAAGTCTCCATCACACCAAGTCAATAAGGTTAGCATACCTTAAAGCAGTTGTATCTATGTCTCAAACCTACCAAGAGCATGCTCAACAAAAGAGCGAGAATGCTTATTGTTTGTCGAAGATTTGACATTATCGGATTTGTTGAACTATTCGCGTCATTCAGGCCGGCTCCTTCATGGGAAAGTCTGTTTGGTTGGTCAACAGAAGGGTCTTCAGGTTCAGCCATCGTGAAAAAAATTAGGAATCTGTAAGCACAATCGCCAAACCCAGAGCCTGACGGACAAAGAGACGACAGAGCCGTTGTATAAGAACAACTTAAGGCAAGTGTTATGAGTATTTTTGTGAAGAGGCTGGAAGTGGAAATCAGCAGGGGTCTACTTCAGACTCATTGCAATGGTCCATGAAGTATGAACACGTCTGCCTATCCCTACTGTGGTCAGTTATAATCTGTAGCAGCTATTTGTGCAACATATTTCTTTGCCTCTTATTAGATCAGCGTATATCAGCGGAAAAATAAAGCGGGTGAAACGCCGGAGACAGTCGGATGTTTGAGGTTGTACAAGAATCATGTCCATGTTCAGCGCCCCCGCTGCGGCAAGTTGAAGACAAAAACTGGGTTGATTCCAAATTAGACCAATCTTTCGGAGAGTGGGAAAATAAATGCCGGTTTATAAATTCCTTTATTAATGTCTTTTCAGAAAATGCGAATTGAATGATTGATGGCAACCTTGGAATAGCGAATTTGCATCTTTGTTATGGCAAGTCTTCCTTCGACTGAGGTTGAGTACGAAAGAGACCACATCCACGAGTCTCAGAGGGCTGCTTGCTATGGAGTCACTATAGTTTTCTTTATACTAGCTATTATTTCGGGGTGTTTACGACTTTTATCCAGAAGAAGGCAAAGAGCCAGCTATGGCCTTGATGACTACCTGGCCGCTGGAGGCATAGTAAGGAGTTTGTCCCTGTCGTGCGGTGACTTGGCTCATTATATTCAGATAGCGGTTATACCGTTTATAGCAGCGACTTTGGGAGGTGAGCCGATCATTTTCTGTTTCCTTCTGTTTTCTCAGCTAACGCCGGCTTCGACAGAGATAAGAAACGGTATTGGAAAGCATTTGCTAGCTTTAACACCGGAAGAACTTACAATGCAAGCCAAAGTAATACCTACTTCTGACTTGGATGCTGAATAAGGCTAATGCGAATTTGTAGTGGGAAGTGGTAAACCTCTATTCGTACACCACCTGCATTACCCTCGTCAAGTTGTCCGTACTTGCTCTTATATACCGGATATTTGGCAGTACCAGTCGCGAAATAAGGGTCTCCACCATTTTTCTTGCTACTTGGGTATGCTTATGGGCTATTGCATTGTACTTTGCTTATGGATTCCAATGCCAACCGTTTTGGCGAAATTGGAGTCTGACGGACCTATGCGGTCCCAGCATACAGTTGGAATACTCAGCCTCCATCTTGAATGCCGTCCATGACAGTTTGGTGTTTATTTTGCCCCAACCAACTATATGGAAGCTTCATCTGCCTAATAAGAGAAAGCTTGGACTAAGCATCATTTTCTCCATTGGATTCGTGTAAGTATCTTATCGTATCATACATTGCTGGATACCTTCTAACCAGCTCCACCAGAGCCACTCTGATGGGTATTTTGAAGATTCTATATGTCAGAGGCGCACCTGGATCTAAACATAAGTTGGACACAACCTGTGAGTAGTCTGGTGGTGTTGGTGAGTTTTATCATATACTAACCGGGCAGATACCGTGGTACCGGCTCTCATATTTAATACAATGGAACCTCTTCTAGCTATAATTTGCAGCTGCCTTAGTGTCACTGCAATTTTGTTCCAGGAGCTTCACCTGGTAGCAGCCTCAGTTATGGATTCTCTTCTCTACCGGAGTGGCTGGCGTTCAAGTCGATCACTTTCCTCTCAGCCGAGCTGGAGAAATGCAGATGACAGCAGTGTTGGAGGCATATATGTCAGGAAAGAGTTGCAAGTCAATTCCGTTCAAGAAGACGCTGGTAATATTCCCTTGACAGATTGGAAGGTCGGGCCGCAAGCTGTAGAAAGAGGTTTGGTTTAAAACATGGGGGAAAGGGGGCTACACTCAGAAGAAAGGAGGAAAGAAATGAAAGATTATCTCATCTATCATGGATACCAGAATATGAATGAATCTCGTTACTATCTTAGCTGCAGATCTTCCCTCCTCCGAAATTCTGAATCGAACCTTGGAAAAGCACTATATGCCGTGAAGTATAAAAATAGGTGATCCGATTAACATTAGACTGCTTTTCCATCCAGGACCCAAACTTCCTCATATCCAATAATGTGTCTCACACTCTGGAAATCAATCAAATTGCTCTCATCTGGCTCTATTACAGCCTTATAATATGGATCCTCTTGCAAGGCCTTTATAATGTCCAAAGAATCCACGAGGATTTCGGCATGTCCATCGAAATCAAGCGTCGATGGCGCGGCAGCCGGACCAATATGATGTCCTTGCTCTGATCGCAGTGGATGGAACTTAAATTGCATTGAAATAAACAGTCAGTTACAATGGTGAACGATGATGAAAGGGGCTGAGGTTGATGTTATAGATGATAGGAGACAATGGACATACTATTGTGTAACGATGAACACCGTGACATTCAAGCCAATGCTTCAGCAGTTGGGCGTGAACCTCAGTCCATTGCCTTTGACAAACTTTAGTACAGTTCTCTTTACACAGACATACAAGGCAAATGACTTACCGGTGAAATTCCTCCACTGTGAGAGATGGATGGCGCTTCACGTAGGTGTCGAAGCGGACCAGTTTCTTTGGTGCATCCATCGAGTATTGATTGGATTAACCGATAAGCAGTATTAATGCTTCAAATGAAATCCGAACTTTCAGCTTGAGCTGAAGAAGCTTCGGGTGAGACTGGATTAAATTATGCAAAAAGGAGGGATAAATACTTTTAAAAACACACCGATAAAATCTGTATATGATTCTATCTTATCACCCTGCGTTTTCGACTTTGCATTTCCCAGGTCGGCTGCAGCGGATGACTATTGAAAATCCTGCCTTGGAACATAACCGTGGACGGCTAGAAATATCAATAGCTTCGACTATCAGGACCAATTGGAAACAGCGGGATTGGAAATATATGATCTCGGGGTTTATGATAGAACCGCAGGAACGTACCGCCATATATCGTCATGAGCGGTAAATTATGGGCTTGGACTTTTCATGTCCTAATTTGGGCATTGTCGTTTTGTGCAACAAACAGCTCTACATGCCATATAGTCATCAACAGACGAATTTTAAAAGAATGGAAGGTTATGAATCCGGTAGAATGCAAATCAAGCCTTGGAAAGCAGGCTTTTCGGTGCAAAAGGAGATGCTTTGCTTTTTTTTCATAATCATACAATCAACCTTGCAAGTTACTCGTATGCAATAAAAATGAGACTGCATGCAGCTCGCAACCATTTCGGCCATTATGTCAGGTGTTTCGATCAGGCATAAAACAGGCAACCGATGCAGTCTGCAATAATTATGAATATGATATAAGCCGGTTCAGTTCCATGCCTGTATTGCAGCAGGGGTCACATTTCAAGCTGCACCAGGGGGCGGAAATGACTTTATGATTCAGCTTGCAGCCAGACATGGCAGCTGGCTCTCTGAAGCAACTGGTTTGAAAACTTTTCAGACCGTCACTTGCTGGCCTATATTGAGGTTTAAAACCCTTTATTTCTACATTAAGTAACTGCAATTGGCCACAGTGAGAATACAAGAAAGTAATCAAGAAGGCCAAACACTTAATACATGTAAAATGGAACCCTACTCCAACCAAAGTCTGCTACAAAGCAGGGTCAGTTCGCTTTTGCAAAAATGTGTTGATGGCTGCTCTAATTTTCGCCGCTGGGGTTCCTTGTCATGCAGTGTATATGATACGGCCTGGGTTTCTATGATCTTTAGGGATGTTGTCAACGGACAGCCTAAATGGCTATTTCCAGCTTCCTTCGGCTATCTTCTTCTGAACCAGTCCACGGGAGGGGGATGGTGTAGTGAAACTACATCTGAAATAGACGCCATCCTCAACACCTCAGCAGCTCTGTTAGCTCTGAAGACTCATCAGCAATATGAAGACGGAGGCGAGGGCGAAATCATGGTTGGTGACCTTCATCAACGCATCCAAAATGCAACAGCTTTTCTCCAGGCCAAATTGGAGACATGGGATGTCGAAGCTACAGACCATGTAGGTTCTGAGATTCTGGTCTCAGCGCACTTGCGATTGCTGTCAGAGAAAGGAATCACATTCGATTTCCCAGGTAGTGAAAGTTTGAAGCGTCTCAATAAAGAGAAACTCAAGAAATTCTCTCCAGAATTGTTGTACGGCTCAGAGCCAATTACCCTGATTCATTCGCTGGAGGCTTTTGCCGGACAGATCGACTTTGACAAGCTCAGCCATCGATTGAATTTCGGAAGCATGTTGGCTTCTCCATCATCAACTTCTGCGTATCTTATCTATGCAAATTCATGGAATGATAGTGCCGAAGCATATATTTGTTCTGTCGTTGAGCATACGCAAGGCGGGGATTCAGGGGCTGTTCCAAGTGTATTTCCATCCACCATATTTGAAATCACTTGGGTATGTATGCATTCTCCTGCCTCGATCTTGCCTTCCTGTACATGAGTCTCCCGAAATAGAATTCTGACGGAATCAAGGTTATCTCCACACTGTTAGAAAACGGACCCCCTCTCGATAAAATCCATATGGAGCAATTTGGAATCATAACCGGATTCCTTAAAGATCAGCTACACACCCACGGCGAGGTTATCGGCTTTGGTAAGCTAAGAAGACTTTTACTTATGTTTGTTTCATCTTGCTGACCGAACTTGAATCAGCTTCTGGCGTCATTGCAGACGCTGACGACACGGCGCGAATTATCTTGACTCTGAATCTGGCAGGGATAAACATCTCCCCAAATCAACTGATCAAAACCTTTAAACATATTGACCATTTTCAAACCTATGTTGGAGAGAGAAATCCCAGTATCAGTACCAACTGCAATGTGCTTGATGCTCTACTGCATACTGCAGATCCAGATGTTCATATTGTCGAGATCGCTCTGATCATTCGCTTTCTCTATAAGCTCTACAGTAAGGGAGAACTGAATGATAAATGGGTTAGTTATTCCACTCATATCATGAATGTCAGATCCTGCAAGTTTGTGTTACTAATTCCAACACTTTGCTGGGTTTTCAGAACACTTCTGCGATGTATGTCCGAATGCTTTTGGCAAACCCGCTCAGCAAATTATGGCGTTTGCGTGCAATGGGCTCGCTACCATCACTACCTGAAGATTGTCAACAAATTGCCCCTCTTGTCCTTAATGATATTTTATTCAAGACCATCCACGAACAAGGTCATGACGGGTCGTGGCACAATAAGTGCCCCGAGGTGACTGCATACACTCTATTAGCTCTTGCTTCGATATCCAACACTCCGCTCGGATTGATTCCGAAGGAGGAACTTCAGAGCAGTATAACAAAAGGGAGAATGTATCTTGAAGCAAATAAAAGCCTATGGGATCAAGGAGAAGCGATCTGGAAAGAGAAAGTCTCATATAAGTCGTCTCTCTTATCCGAAGCGTATTGCACGGCAGCCGTTCGAGCACTTACATTCACCTGGGACACAGCAGGCAAAGAAGACTGTCTAGACGCGATTAATATATCGTCCACAAGAGTAAAGAAGTTTTCAAAGTTTTACTCTTGTCTGCCACTTTTCTCGGAAGAGCCACTTTGGAGACTGAATACTGCGTTGTTCGAAAGCTACCTATGGCTGCCCCAGTTAATTGCCTCAAAACTCAACATCTTTCCCAATGTCGAGAATCCAGAAAATGACAAATATCTGGAATATATTCCTCAAACATGGGCAATCTGCAATGCAAAAAATGGCAATTCGCTAGAACCGGGCTTCATGTGGGAAATGATGATGGTCTCAATGCTGAACTTTCAGGTTGACAGATTCATTGAGGCTGTAATTGGTCAGGAGCACATGATTAACCATGTCAATGCCGTAAAATCGATTGTTCATTGCCTGTTTGATGAAGAGGGTGTCGCCGAGCATGACACAGATGGACAGACTGTTTTCCAAAAGTCATCTTTTTCAACCTGCGAGCGACATAATGGCACGAAACTACCAACAGAAAAACGTGCCACCCAAGATTGCGCAATTTCCACGGAAACACAGTACGATTGTGATCAGATCAAGCTCGTGTTCCGCCGCTTCATCACCTACATCCTAACTCGCCCAGCCGTTCTATGCTCTCCAAAATCCTTGAAATGCTCACTCCGACGTGAACTGAAAGCATTTCTTCTTGCTCAGCTCACGCAGGCGGAGGAAAGCCGTATGTTTTGTTTACAAACTGACCGAACTAAAGCCCACCCAGTTTGCTTCAGCGATGCACCAACTTCTTACTTTCAATGGGTGCACTCCACCGCCTCTGAGAATACCAGTTGTCCATACTCGTATCATTTCTTCAACTGCCTCATTTCTTATTATAAGGGATATGGAAAGCGCGGCTGCCACCCTGATAAAGTCTCAGGCATGAAGGCAGCAGGAGCTGTTTTATATGGCGTTCGACAACGCTATCTTTCCGAAGCTCTATGTCAGCATCTTGCAACAATGTGTCGGCAATATAACGACTATGGAAGTGTGCTGAGGGATCAAGTCGAGGGTAATTTGTCTAGTGTAAATTTTTCAGAGTTTTGGGAGGGATTGCCAGACCACAAAGACGGTTGCGAGAGCAACGAGATGACTATCAAGGCAAACTTGATGTGGGTGGCAGAGTACGAACGAAAGGGCTGTATGCGGGCACTGGAGAGGTTGGATGAATTGGGGTTAGATGAGCAGACGAAGAGAATGATTAAGACTTTTGTGGACGTGACCGATCTGTATGGGCAGATATATGTGGCTAGGGACATTGGAACCAGGATCAAGACTGATTGATTGCATTCCGTCTACGTTCCAGTTGTTTCCTCCCTATTTATAGTTTGCGTTGAACCGTAGGATGTGTTGGATTGTACGTAACAATCTCAAGTGGTATATCTCAACGTATCAAATTATGTATGCACGAAGTATGGAATCCTTGATCCTTGTTGTCATTGTCCTTTTCTCTAAGTACAGTAAAGGTGGAAGATATCTTTTACCCCCTATTCGGTGGATCAGTGTGTGGCTCGCTCTTATTGGCTGATAAATATCATCTGTCTGATTGGCTGGATCAGCTTAGCTAATCCAACAGGATGGTTTAACGTATCCACAAGCGAACCGGCACTTTTTCCCGAACACGTACACAATATTAATTCCATACTATTCAACACGCCAAAATGCCACCAATTCGCAATAAAAATAAGAAAGATTTAGCTGAGCAAGAAGGACGAATCTTATTAGCTATTTCCGATTTACAAAATGGACGAATCTTGCGCGTGGCTCGAGCTGCAAGGATTTACAGTATACCCCGGGCGACTCTACAAGACAGATTAAACGGCACTCAACAAAGATCTCAAGTTCGCGCCAACAGCCATAAATTAACTCAGTGTGAGGAGGAATCGCTTGTCGAATGGATACTGGATTTAGATAAACGTGGATTACCCCCTCGACACTCTCTTGTACGAGAGATGGCCGATTATCTTCTTTCGCAACGCGGAAACCGCCGGGTTGGAGAGAATTGGGTATATAACCTTGTCAAACGTCGCCCAGAGATTGAATCAAAGTTCTCACGGAAATATAACTATGAACGTGCTAAGTGCGAAGATCCGAAGATAATCCAAGAGTATTTTGATCGCGTACGAGAGGTTATATTAGAGTATGGGATCTTGCCAGAAGATATCTACAATTTTGATGAGACTGGCTTTGCTATGGGACTCTGTGCGACTGCAAAGGTTATCACTGGAAGCGATCGATATGCTCGGCCAAAGCTATTACAGCCTGGTAACCAAGAATGGGTAACTGCAATTGAGGCAGTTAATTCGATTGGATGGGCATTGCCTTCGTACATTATTTTCAAGGCAAAGAAATACACTTGATTAGGCTGGTTTGAGGATCATCCAGACGACTGGAAAATCAACATTAGCGACAATGGATAGATGACAGATAAGATTGGATTAGAATGGCTTAAAACTCATTTTATTCCTCTTACTGATGGCCATACATTAGGGAAATATCGAATGTTGATTCTTGATGGCCATGGAAGCCATTTAACTGCTAAATTTGACCATACATGCACTGAGAATAATATTCTTCTGGTCTGTATGCCTTCTCATTCTTCACATCTTTTACAGCCTCTTGATGTTAGCTGTTTTGCTGTTTTAAAGCGAGAATATGGACAGCTTATTGAGCAGCAAATGAGGCTTGGATTCAATCACATTGACAAAATCGACTTTCTCACTGCATTCCCGAAGGCTCGTACGATGGCATATAAAGCTCAAACTGTTCGGAATAGCTTTATGGCAACTGGATTAGTACTATTCAATCCAGATTGAGTTTATCAACAGTTTACTGTTCAATTAAAGACTCCAACACCCCCTCCAAGTCGATCAAGTGATACACAATCATCCTGCTTGCAAACCCCTCAAAACGCATGTTAATTTAAGCGCCAAATGACTACTATGAAGAAGAGAATAAGCCGGCATACAAGGAGTTCATCTGAGGCTATTGGTGAAGTATTTACACGGGCATCAAAGGCTTATGAGATGAGTATTAATAAGCTTACAATTACACAGAAGGAACTCCATGATCTACGGGCTGCACATGAGAAGGAGAAGCAAAAATGTCGAAGATCTAAGCAGCAAATATCTCATGAGCAGGGAATTACTAGAGAGGAAGCTCAAGCACTCGTACAAGGTCGGGTTGAAGCATCCCAAGCTGTTACTACTGCTCCGGCCGAGCCTGAACTTCCAGTCTGTCATCCACCTGTACGACGTTAATTTCGCTGCAGTGGTTGTGGTGTTGCAGGACATAAAATAACTGGATGTCCTAATCGTATTAGGAATTAATTTTTTGTATATAATTAGTATGTGGGTTAGAAATTGAGATTTGAGATCAATATTGTGTACGTGTTCGGGAAAAAGTGCCGGTTCGCTTGTGGATTACGTTAGGGTTACGGCTAAGAAAATTTTCGGGAGCTAAGATCAATGTAGCTAGCTCAGTTCATGGTTTAGGGTAAATCTGTATCATGGTGCATTTTTATTTCTACATTATTTCTAATTACTTTAACGTGGATATTTTGACTTCAATATATCTGTTGGTTTGTGGAAGCAATCGAGATGCCTCACTCCTACGCACTGAGCCGCAGGGCGTCACGTGACCTCGTCTAGGATAGAGGGATGTAAGACCGCGTCGGGGCGTGAGTTAGATAGCTACAATCACACACATTTGAACCCATACAGAATTGCAGTACCTGCTAACCATCCATCGTACGTACGTACATTAACGTGTACACGTGCTTTATGCACCCACAATATCCTTTCTATTATCAATTATGTCTCACTCTTCCAATAAGTCTGTATCTCCTGAATTGGGAGAGCAATCGCACTTTTTTCCCTCCTATCTTCGCATCCTCACTATAAGAGAGTGGGTAGAGAGCGTGATAATGAGATACGAATATAGCTTCGAACGCATATATAAATCTAAAAAAAAAAAACCTCGCGCACCTATGAAAACGCACCTACGCAGGTAAAAAGTACTGCGGGAAGGAATCTCAATAAAAATAGACCTCCGACAGCATATTTACCAACTTTCGCCTGCTCAATCGACGTGGTTGAAGCATGGGCCCGAAAAGAGGTAAAAAGGGCACTCCGTGGCCAGAACCACGGTTTGCAGATGATCCTGATATACGCGCATACGTAGCTGCAGCCATCAAAGATCTTGAGGCATTGAAGAAGCACCAAGAAACACTGGAGATTGGCATGCCGCGTGAGCTCTCAACCGCCGTGGTCTAACGGGTGAAGAATACGCCTACGAATGAGCAACTAGCGCAGCGCCTCGCGAATGTCGAATTACACGTGGAAAAGACGCAGAAAGAGGTATCTCAGGCCTCTCGAGAGATTACTACGACCAAAAGCAACATCAACCGCTTGGTGGAGGCGATATGCCACCCAACACCCCCAGGGACATGTACCACAAAAAATTCTCCTAGCTTCAGTTACGTGACGGCTAGTTCGGAGTCGTATGTACAGGCCTGGGGACGTAAGGTGCCCTCGAACCCTCCTACGGTCCCTAGCGTGGGATTCAGCAGTGGAGGAAGCTCGCCATTAACCCCATATCCAAGCCAGGAGGACCTAGAGGTCTATCTGGAACATACCGATCCAGATATCCTCAACCCGATACGTTGATTCCCAGATAAGGTGGTGGAGAAGGCAAATCTCGCAATACATAGCACTCAAGACACCACCATCGCACATCGATGAATTGCGGCAGCCCATATACTACCTAGTGTCGGATTGGTCGGTTTATTCCAGGCCAATCCTGAAGAGTGTTTTACTAGGATCAAAGAAAAGAAGTGACTAGCAAGATTGTATGTATTGAGTTCTGTGTCTGTCTTTCAAGTTTTTTTTAAAGCCGGGTCCTTTATAGACACCTTTGGCGGGGTGATTTGTGAGCTATCAGGAGGGGTAAATATTGGGCTGAAATCTAGGTGCCCAGATATATGCCTAAAGGTGCCTTTTAGACCTGTAAGATTGAACAGTCGATCTTTCTGCCTCGTTTGAAAGCCGGATTATCTGACACCTAGTGGGGATATCATACTCTTACTAGGTATAGTGGACGACGTCGACCAGCTCACCCATAAGAAGGACTAGATCAGTACATTTGGAAAAGAAGCACGTATACAAAAACATATATAGGGAGTCGTTGTACGCAGCATTAACATAAATATCAATTCTAAATAGCCTCAATTCATAACCACACTTATTTCAGAGAACGCCCTAGTGTTCACGCAGCTTCCAGCCTCTATAAATATTACATACACGGGCTAGCTTCTAAGCAAGCATAAGATTAAGGAACAGAAGCTCACGAATGCCCATCTCATGGTTATATTTGATGATGAAAGGGTTATTAACTTTGCAATCCAGCGTGGCCTTATTATTAAGGGAAGACAACACAATATCTCAATATACAACAAAGCAGCCAATCTCTAGTAGCGCTTCAAATACTAGATGTATAAACATATCGCTAGGCACTGTCAGCGCTAGATCTACTATGCGTACTGCGCTAGATCTCATGATATAGGGGATTGTCCTATACAGAAAGAGAAAGAATACGCTAAGTGTGCTAACTACACCGCAGAAAATGTCCATATCAAAGATCCTGCTAAGAGACTCGATACGAAACACTTTGCATACGCGAGGGAGTGTCCGATACGAGCTACGTGCCTCGCAGAGGCGCACCAACGATGTACATACGGCCCATAATATCACACTTGTTGGATGCGAGGATGCAGTCGAGATCCGGATAACTGACATCACGTGATTTCAATCACGTGATGAAGGCTACATGTTGGATATTTGATACGCTAATCCCAATCAGGATGTCATTACTAATCATGATTCCTCGGAATAACGACATATCCGTGAGAACATGAGAGCCAAACTCAAGCCTACAGTTTGGAGTCAGGATGGTCATTTATCCCGTAAATCCGTGATACTTTGCCACTATGATGTGTATATAAAGAGGATCAAGATGTGTAGTTAGCTATGTTTTAGAAGACGTGCAAATCAGAGTCAATTATTCCTCACCCAAATTGTACAACTCCTATCAGAGCCTAACCCCGTTCGGACTAGTACCAAAAGATTCCAATACTACACCAGGAATCCCTTACGCGTCGGGGTCAAAGATAGGGAAGATAGACAACTTAAGACTACCCAATTGAACCCATATTCCATGTTAGGAAGCCTATCGTACTAGTACTAGTGCAGATGCACCCACAAATTGACAATATTATTATCAATATTCCTTGGCATTACGGAATTGCGACCACATCAAAATATTTTGACACTCGTAAACTACTTTATTCACCATAATACACTTATTCTCTCTAAGATTAGACTTATTTTATTAGGAAATGTTCTATTTAGCCATCTCCAATACTTAAATACACTAATATATACAAATAATACCATAATCTAATGCCTAGAATACCAAAAGGATGTTTATAGGACAACAAATTTCACTCATATTGAATTTAATTTTTTCTTGGCATAGATTATATTACCTACTTCTCGAAATCCTCCTTCAACAGTTCACCCTGATGCCAACTTTTCAAGCATTCCACCTGCTCAATAATCTCAGCCCCTAGCCTTGATCTATCCCATGATATTGTACGGCGTGCTCCTGAAAACACTCGCTCAGGCTCGTCGCTCATGGCTGGAATAGAAAGAATATCAATTGCCATGAGTGAGAGCCTTGGCCAACGCTTTCTTTGTTTCTCTTGAGACCACCACCAAAGAGCAGATTCATCTCCAGGATCGTATGGCTCTCCACTGCAATAATCATCAAACTCATCCTGACTTGCTGGCCGAGTAAAACTGTTTAGGTCACGTACAATCTGATCAAACTCTGAAAGTTCTTTGTCGGGGTCCTCTAAAGCTTTGCTATATGGCCCTATTATTGCCAGAGGAGGAGCCCTCTCTCGGTAGGTGCGCCAAAGCTTCTTAACTTTGTTTATGGCAGGCTTTTGCCAGGTCGTTCTCCAATTCGCGTGGATATATCTTGTACGACGGTTTGGATGAAGTATAAGCGCAGCAGCATAAAGAGGTGAGTCGTCAGTCTTGCTGTAATATATATCAAAAGTATCCCAGCATTTCTGAACCCGAGAGCAAAACTCTTTATCTTCACGATATTGAACCTATATAATTTAGATAAATTTCAATTTTAATAGGATGTGTACTTACAACGGTTTTTTCCAAGTATTTAATAAGGACATCCATTGTAAAGAGTACACGATCGATCGTTGCTTGATGCCCTTGAGTAACTAGAGTTGCTTGACGGAATAGTTTAAGGAATTGATTAATTGTACGAAGCCTTGACCAGTCACTCGGCGTTAGATAATCATCCTGAAGATCATCCAGATACTCCTTTGTATAAGTATCAATTGCACTTGAGTAATCCAGTGCCACCTCACACATATAAGACCAGCTATTCCATCTTGTTCGGTTGTCTAGAGGAATCATTCTACCTGCAAGAGTCTTGAAATATGCTGTACGAGCAGCTGAGCCACGGATATGTATAACTATGTTATGACATTTTCCTAATGGTCCCATGACACGAAATGTCTGCTGGATAGAGATATTACTTGCAAGCTCTCCTGTTTCTTCTTGGATCTCGTATAATCCAAGTTGATCTATTTCAATGCAGTTGTGAAATAGAAAAGCTTGTACAGCTAAGTTAATCACATGGCCAATACAGCGGATACGCTTGAATAAAGCATTCCACTGGAGCCCTTCTTCCTTATTAAGGTATTCACCTATTGCACGGCAAAGGGTATCATTTGAACTTGCATTATCGGCAATAATAGATCCGATATTTTGTACGATACCGTAGTCTTGAAGAACAGGAAGAAGAGTAGCAAATTGCTCTACTCCAGAATGATTTGTAACTGTACGAAGCCCAATTAGAGCTTTTGATAATTTTCCTTGATCTCGTCCAACAAAATGGGCACAAATTCCAAGGAAAAGAAGCTTGTTTGGTGATGTCCAAATATCAAGTGAAAGATGGATACTTGACTCTGCTGACTGAAGGATTTTCCGTATAGTATCCTTTTGACTTTCATATGATTGTTCAATCTTCTTTGCGATTTCAGAGTGTGCCGTTGTAATGAAGTTGTCTGCCTCTGGATTTAGTAGTCGGCAAAAAACATGAAACTCAGGCCATTCAACAACATTAAATGGGAGATTTCGCGTAACAATTAATAAAACAAGTGCCTCATTAATCATGTCCTTATCTAGGACTTTCTGAAGAACTTGAGTATCGATCTCTTGTGTTTGGCCTGATGATATTGCTCGGAGGTACAACTGTTGCAACTGATCCAGTGTTGCAGATTGAACTGGACCTAATGTAGGTTGAATATCAATCCCATGTTTTTTCTTAAGATGATCACGAAAATTGTTACTTGCTTGAGCACTATAGGATTCGCAGTACTTGCAGTAGAAAAGACGGTTCTTTCCTTGACGCTCTGGTTCTCCCTCTCGCGGCGTACGAGTATGTGACCATGTCTCATGAGCTGAGAGTTTCCTAATACTTCTTGGCCTTGATGTCGTTGAATCTTGGGTGAGTGGAACTGATAGAAGAGATGGGTCTATTTCAGAGTCCATAGTTTTATATTGATTGAGTATTGTTATTATTCTGTAGAGTTTGGAGAATGGAGGGGGGAAAATGATGTGGGTTGCCAAGACCGTTCCCGAATGCCAAGAAATATTGATAATATAGTCAATCAATATTCCCCTTATCAATTGTCAATATTGATTGACGGCATTGATAATAAAAATATTGACAACAACACTGACCAAGATGCCCTCATCCACGGACTCAGCCTTGTCTACTTCGTGTGACGCATTTCTTCTTTTCGTGACCCTCACTACTAAGTAGGCTCGCAAAGTCTTTCCACAGCTTTTTCTGGTTTCAGCTCCTTGGTTTTAGCTCTAATATGAGTCAGTCCTGTTTGGTGCGGCCATTATCGAAGTCTATGGCTGAAGAAGGGGTACCTGTATCATGGTACAAAAGTGCCAATTTAGGAGTCATCCAAGTAGGACCTACATTCAATGCTAGCGTATTTCGAAATACAACAATTCTATTATCTGGATCTATATTGTTCTACCTAAGCAAAACATAACAAGCGCTCTGATCCATAATCGAAGCCCAATCACAGTCAAAAGGAAGGCTCTTCCTAGTGTGCCAACATTGCTCTATTATTTCCATCGCCTCGAAAAACGTCCCTGTTGGTGGCAATGATTCACCACTAGTCTTTTGCGCAAATAACGCTGCCAGGTGACGGAAAAAGCTCTGCTGGCTTTCGACGGCCATACATCCAGCAACGCAAAGGGGCCAGATTATATTCAGCAATAACTTTGGATTATCTTGTGTGCTTCGGAAAAGAGCTATTGCGTCAGAGACGGGTCCTGCGATCTCTGGTAGCTCGGGATAAGGGCCGGATATAACGACATGCAGATAAATAATGGCGGCGAAAGTATAGGCCTTGGTGGCTATTATATGAGACGGAATGAAATGGATCACCGAAGGGCCATTCAATGGTTGTGTTGATAACTGTGTGCTGCTGAGATTTTCCAACTCTCGTTGAAGACGCTGCTCGATTTGAAGACCGCGCTTCGCCAATTCGACAATGCTTAGCTTGTGGGTTGCCTGCGACTCTGCCTTCCATTTATCCAAGACGGTAACCTCGAATATAAGTGACATGACGGAGTTTTGGCAACCCATCATACGCTCCATTGTGATGCCAAGGTGGTTCAGAGCCTGAAGGTGATCGATTTCTAGGAAAGGGGTGCTTCGTGTAGATGCACATGCTAGGATGTCCAGGGATATAAAAGAACCAAGCAAGACACAGGTGGCGCCGTCCTGTTCTGGGGATAAGGAATTTTTCCTTGTTTGTTGGGTTTCAGACTGGATACTCGTTTGATCAGGCAATCGCGCGTTTATAAGAGGAGTTATTAGAGGAGAAGCTGAGCGAAGAAGGCTCTGCCAGTTCCTGCTTCCGCCGGCAAAAAACTATTTTCACAAACATTGTTAGCATAGAGGTACGATTTTTAATTATCAAGCAGCGTGACGTACTTCCCAATATAGCACTTGAAGAATAGATGTAAGACCCTCCACGCAACGGACCAAGTCTTCATGGACCTGCAAATTTTGAGCATCGTCTAAATATGGCTTTAGACCTTGAACGGCAAGATCATAGTAGCTATTCTTGGCCCTTAACCGCTCTGTCAAATCCTGAATATCGACGTCTTGAAGCATTGACGAGATGAGGAGGTCCCGCTCACTCAAAGCCAGGGTTGCATAGTATGCCGGCTTGACTTGCTTTATAATTGAAAATAACCAAGCTCTTTTGTACTTGTCCGCTGGGTTGTAAAAGGGGTTTTGAGTATAGAATACATCATCCAGGTAATGCATAAATAAAGCATCCTCCTTTTGGTGGTCTGGCGTTGCTGTTTTGGGACTTGTGGCTCTGGATGTAGATTTTCTTGTGATATCAACTGACACCGGAGTATGCCCCAGCGGAGACAAATTCGACGAACCCATACAGTACTCTGGAGCTGTAACCGCCGGAACGGTAGAAGTAGTATATTGCGGCATACTCCACATCATTGCATCGAACTGGGGTGAGTTATTACTTCCATTAATGGCCAGTTCTAATATCTCCTGCGGCGCAACATCGACCCAATCTATATCGCTCATTTGCGCAGCGGCCAACTCAGGCGCCGACATTCCTGGTCCATATCGTGGTGAGACGTCTTTCGAATATAGCGTCACGGGTGCGAAGTTCCCTGGGTTGCGGAGACAGACAGAATCAGGTGGGATAATGCTGGTATGGGATGGTGCATTCCATGCTCGCTCAAGGTAGGTTGTTCGTTCCGGCTCAGGCGATTCATTGCTGGACTTATCTTCACTCATGAGGCAATAAGACTGTCCCAACTGTGAGTTAGTTGAATAAGGTGCAGAAGTAGTCGGCGTTTCATTGGTATTCGGTCGGCTCGCTAATGCTTGATTACAGTGGAGATTGCGGTCTTGCGATGAGCGTCTGCTGTGAAGCAAACTCTGCTTCCCTTTTTTCCATTTTGTCTGACTGACGATTTGCTTGAACTCCAGGGCTTTCTCCTTTTGCAATGCTCCGTTGTCCATCCATTCCGGTCTCGGTCCGTAGCCGTGGCATTCTAGTCTCAGAGAGTTACAAGTATTGCACAGCGGGCGGCTTTCGTCGCATTTCTTCCTACGAACTCTACAGGTCCAACAGCCATAGAGACTTCGTGCAGCTAGACCAGACAATTATTAGACGATAAAAACCGAGCATTTATACACAAGGTTCGCAATCTTGAGGAATTAAAAGCTAGGACTTACGGATACCAGTATTGGTAGACATGCTGTTGTGTCTAGCTGTTCAGTTCCAGCAGTTGTACTTCATCCCCCGTGCTTGAGAATGATCATCATTTGAAAGCTAGCGGTGTTGCAACAAAGGCTTTAGCATAACCAGTATGCCAGATGTTGAGGATAAAATAAAGAAGCAAAACTGATGAAGCAACGTTAGGCCGAGCGGGATGTAAAGAAAAGGAAGCTGGAGGGAAATTAACCGATGTTGAGGCGTCCAGTGCTTGCACTGGATGGAGGGAACTGGCTGAGGACATTGCTTAGTGGGTCCCCGGTATTAGTCAGGCCACAGGGTTTCTCGTTTACTATTCCAGATTGATACTTGGATAGAAAGTATCTGTAATAAAATCCATGGCAATTTGCAAATCTGTATAGCGGCACTCAAACTAGCCAGCTTTAACAGCTATAATTGATGTATCGGTCAATCAATCATCCAACCAACTAGTATTGTAGAATCTCAAGGCCCTGAAAATCACCTTAATGAAGCGCCCGAGTCACTAGGTACACTATTCGTACTATATGGGAGCCCTAAAAGCCCCTGAAGCCGGACCCCGAAACATTCGCCTCCTACCAAGAGTTGGATTTGAAAGTCCAGTCTGCAATGGGGGACACAATCTCAGCCAATCGAGCTAATATTCAGGGTCAGAGACTAGTCTCTCTCTACAATTTGTTGGTCGTAATTCGTATCCATGCCCTTCGCATAATTGTGCCGGCACGCTAAGGAAGTAAAATGCCAGCCAATCGTTGAGTGAGAGGTGTCGACATCCCTGGGTAAACGCAGCAGCTATCGCAACGTATAAACAACATCGACCTTCAGGATTTTCCTGAGAGAATGCTATTTGACTATGGCAACCCTTCTAGGACGAACATCAGCGTTTCAAGGACAGTTGAGCAGGACTTATCTTAGGGTTGGTACTAAGACAAGTATTCAAACGGTATTACTTGTTCACAACAACGTGAAAATGCCCTCACTTTGGACGGGTATCACGTCTTCGTTAAAACCATTCTCGAATCTGTCGCTAGGTAAAACATCAACATCGAATGCCGTTGAAGAGCCACTTGCGCTTCCTACAAGTGGATTCACAACCATCAACGTCGATCAGCTTGTTGAAGAGGAGGAGTTGCCTGACTACCGAGCTGATCGATTCTATCCTGTTCAACTGGGTGATATTTTCCAAAACCGTTACCAAGTAGTTACGAAGCTCGGTTTTGGTACTTCCTCGACTACTTGGCTGGCTCGAAAATGAGCCTGGTAAGTCATTCTCCGAGTGGTCATCGGAATCAAGAGAAAAGCGTGGCATGATGGCGGAAACCGCCAGGGCGGAGATCAACGCAGTTCAATTAAGTAGCTGTAAACTCTTGCGTCTCTTGTTCTCTCTAATCTTTCTTATTGGCTTGTAGAGGAGGTGTCAGTAGCTAAATTAACCCAGCAGCTTGGATGCACTAAGAAAGAGGAGATCGGAGTGAAAATAGGTCGCAGTTGACTCTGTGTGTGGATGACACTTGGCCGAATAAGACAGGGGTGATCTACCGGGACGAATAGGAGGTATTGACAGGGGGTGGTACGTAGTAAGGGACAGTTGTTTAGTCTTGTGAAGCTGATGTTTTTTGTTGTACAAAAGCAAAGGATGGATGATGTGATCGAGAATGAGAATCGAGCAATAAGAAGCGACGGTGTGGGGCTACTTGATGGATGCCTTAGATATCGGGTGTCGAGTATTGGGCTGGACACGAGATGTTAATACGACGAGTCTAATTAATACAAAGGTAATTGATGAATTCTTGTATTGTCATGTGCCTAACTACTGAGAAAACAACGCTTACGACCTCAGTGACGAAGCGAAAGAATCGCCTGTCTGGCGACTCATATACTTAAGGCTTCACCGCTTCACTAGTCGACAGCGCTAACCCTCATAACCCTAACATTTCCAGCCCTAAGGGGACAGGTACGCAGAGACAGATTGTACCACCCTACAATAACTGCTGCTATATGATTACCAGAGCTTATGATTGGCGCAAGTTCCTACTGCTTGGTGCAGAGTTGGCGGTGGTATCTCTCTCGACACATCCGACATTCCATTGGTTCGTAGCATGCGACCTTTGTTCCATGTATGCTGGGTCTTGGGATCACCCGAAGTCATAACACGCAATGCTCGGTCACAGCTGAGAAGCCTCTCAATAGAGGGTTTTTCGTCAAATCACGATAGACTCGGTGTGTTTTCCCTCTTCTTTGCAAAATGTATACTCCAACTCCATGCGCGCCACGGACTGGCTGCTGACCACCTGTTCCCAAGATACACATTCGATCCTCTGCCACACTGCAATTTCGTCCATACTCTTTGCCCTAACCCCTCCAATTTTGCCTTCTTCAATCTCAGCTATACGCTCAACAGCCCTTGCAGCAAAGACATTGTCCCAAACCGCCTCCCGCAGCGGCTGCCGCCGCAGGACTCTCAACACCCGTCGTCGAACCGCGGGGTCCCGGCATTTGGCTCCGATGATGAAGAGTACAGGGAGAATACCTACCTCTGGTGTAAATGCCGGTTTTGATGACCCTGCATAGAGCTGATGCGCTTCCGTGACATCGTCTGCCATGGCTATGCATTGCTGGAACTCGGGCAAAAACTTATCGTACTCCATCTCCCTACCCAAGCCGAGGCTACTGACAAGGATCCACAGAACGGTATTTTGTAGTCGCAACAACAATATGAGACGGTAGCTCTCCGTGTCTGTGGCATAGTGATTGGAATGATTCAGCATTTCTTCGAAGTGACGCGACCACGTTTCTAGCTGTCCGATAACAAGCTGTTTGGAAGCGTTCGCCGGCACCCCATCAGCGAAAGATGCTTCTTGCGCTATCCATTGTAGCCTCATGGACCGAGCGATAAGCACCTGGAGGGAATCGGCGGCTTGGTTGAGCGATTGAAAAGCGCCATTGGAGGACAAAAGTCTAGAGGCTGCTGTCTCTTGAACGTCGGCCGGAATCCAACGGGGCATAAATGCAACGGCCTGCATATCGAGACGCCGTATTTGCCTCGTGACGTGCGCGAGAAACATGCGGCTTCCTGAACGAACATTTACATTGGAGGCATTGCTCTCGCTCAAGATGGCACTGGGAATGTTGCGCGAGAGCTCTACACCTCCTTGCAAATGCGTCAAAGCCCGGAGATAGTTGCCCGCCAGGCTATCAAAACTGGTGAACAGATAACATACTAACAGCGTTATTGCCATTTGTTCGATGCTATCGCCACTCCTTTCTGCCAGAACAAGCTGGATGGCCTTGTTGTAGTGTAATAGTGGTTCTTGTTCTGGCAGCGTGGAACAGCCGTTGTGGTAGTTCCGGTGAACCAGGGCCAGAGCAATAGCGGCGTGTCGTACCGATGGGACTGTTTGGGAAAAGAACATGAGCGTCTTCCGCCATGACTCACTCGGATAGTATTCGTTAAGATGCTTGACGGAGATTAGCTCGAAGAATGACATGGCCTCTATCTGGGTTGGAGCAATGACTGGCAGCATCATGAATGGCCTTAGATTTCGCAAAGTCAGGCTGTGGGGGTTCTGACAAGATGGAGACGGTGCTCGCTGGACATTGGCAGTGGCACAATCGTCGAATAGGCCGCAGCTTGCTGCTGCAATGGCTCCGGTATGGTGATGCTGGCTCGTCGTCACCCCAGCCTCGACACAGCGCGGAACCATATCATAGCCGTCGCAAGTCCGTCCCGTAGACCGACACTTCAAGCACGAAGGTCGGGCCTCGTCGCATTTGACCCGCCGTATTCTTTAGTGCTCCCAGTGAGTTTGGCTTGTCCAAAAAGAGTGATGGCAGGCAAGACTTACTTGCAAGTTCTGCAACCCAACCTTGACTTTGGTGCAAATCTGCGAGGTCTCTTCCTCCAGGCTTGGCTCGCAGTTTTGGCCTCGTCTTTAATCCAGTTCATTTTTGGGATGAGAAACGGGAGATGACCCTAAAGCGTTCGATACGAGCGTCGCAAGTGCCATGCAAAAAAGGGTCGTACAGAAAGTCTTCCAGCATCTGCTATTCGTCTGTTCGTACACAGTGGAGGTTGTCTTTGCTCAAGACCTGCAAGCGGGAATGAGTACGGGAAGTTGAACTTATAGACACTAAGAGGAATACACAGAAAACCGATACCTAGCCTCTGCGCATGGCAAGGCAGCAAGATACTTGAAGATAGCGCTTACCATGAATGGTGCATACTGATTGGCTCGTTCGTAGAAGTGGGACTATAGTAAGATGTCCTGGGCTGTGCTTGAAGATCCAAATTGCATGGTATTGAGACTTGGGGATTTTGATGGCTTGGAACTCATCCAGCTCTTGATCATTTGCTCGTTCGTACAAGCGGAGCAACAAGATGACAATGACGACGATTTATCTGGTCAGAAAGAGAAGTCTTGAAGGATTCTCAGAACTATAAGTAGTGCCACGATGTCCTGCAATAAAATGGCTTCACAATACAAACCAGACATCAAAAGCGCCCTCTAGGAGTAGTTTGTCCACCAAAATGAAGCGAATTGCAGCTGCTCTCATCCTCCTCGTAGGATTTGGTCGCAGAGCCGAGTGCACCATGGTCTACGATTTTGACGCTGTGAGTTTCTTGGTCGCTGCTGAACCCCAATGTCTTCGCGATCAGCTCCGCTGATAAACTGTGTAGATTAATCCCTCGGTCAACCTCACTTGGACACCGTGTTACGACAACTTCACCTGCTCCAAACTCCAAGTCCCTCTCGACTATTCGAACCCGAGCCTTGGCGCCGCATCCATCGCTTTTATGAAACTGGCTGGGAAAAATGTCACTTCTGATTCCCAGAGCCTCGTGATCATCCCCGGTAATACCCCAAATCCATCTTGATTCCTCACAACCAAGCTGACGCTACACCAGGCGGCCCGGGCGGGTCTAGCATCGACCAGCTACTGTCATACCAAGACATAGTCGGACAGATGTTTGGCGACACGTACAACTTTGTCGCCTTTGACCCCCGAGGCGTCGAGAGAAGCAGCCCAAGCCTGGATTGCTTCCGGGGAAATACGACAGCACGCACAGCCTTTAATCGAGCTCACTACACGGGCGCCACCAACACATCCTCCACGTCGTTCGAGGAACAATACTACTCGGCCGCCATCTACGGAGAATTGTGCAACGAGGTGGTAGAGACGGACTCACCGTATGGCTACTACGTTACCACTCCGGCGGTTGCTCGCGACCTCCTCAGCTTTGTCGAGGCAGAGGCCAAGCTGGCCGGCCGATCCCCTTCAGAAGCCAAATTATGGGGTTTCGGCCAAAGCTACGGCACCGTCATTGGCACCACATTTGCGTCCATGTTTCCTGACCGCGTCGGAAGACTGGTGCTAGAGAGCGTCATGGACGTAGACCAATACTACACCAATGACTGGCGGAGCAACTTCGTCAACTCAGACATGGCGTTTGACCAGCTGCCGATTCTCTGCCACGCCGCAGGCCCTGATCGATGTTCTCTTTGGGGACCTACGCCAGACAATATCACAGCCAGGATCGACGCCATCATCCAGAACATCATAAGCCACCCCATTCCAGTCAGTGGAATCACAAACCAGACTTTGCCGGGACTGGTCACGTACTCCGACGTCAAGTCGTTTATTGTATCCGGGATCTACGAGCCGCTGATTTACTTCCCCATCATGGCCGACGTTTTTGCACAGTTGGAAAGGGGTAACGCATCTGCTCTCGTGGGAATGTCGGAGAAGCTGTACCTCGACGCCAGCGACGGAGACGGAGGCGTCATCATTCGGTGCGCGGATTCGTACCGAGAGAACAAACTCACCACGATCGAGGACTGGAAAAACTACATTGACTTCACCTTTTCCAGTAGCAAGTACATTGGCGACATTTTCCCGATTTGGGCGAGGACAATTCTATGCAGATCGGTTCGGCCACAACTGCCGGATAACTTGATGATCCAAGGTAAAATCTCCTTTTCTATTGCTTTTTCAATAAGATTTCGTTTCAAATACGAAGCAGTCTTCCTTTGACAATCAATCTAACCCTATTATACAGGTCCGGTTACTGGATTCAACAAATCTCTGTCTTTCCCGATCCTATTCACGAGTAACACCCTCGATCCTATCGCGCCTGAAGCAAAGTATGTTCTCCGATTACCCATGACCCAATGAGTATCAATTTACTGACTCTTTTCAGTGCTCGAAAGATGTCCTCCCGATTCCCAGGATCGGTTGTGCTCCTGCAGGAAGCTGTTGGTGTAAGTCCTCAATCAATCCCCACTCAAATATCTCAAGAAACGCTCCAGGCTAACCCTTCGGCTCTTTCACTCGGATACAGCACCCCGTGACATCACAGAGAGGATCTACCTGTTACTATGGACACGTTCAGGCATATCTTCAAGGCGTAGTTCCGCCGGCCAACATCACCTGCCCGCGGCAGTACGTACCGTTCATCGATGGGCCCATTAACCCTTGAACGAAATCACTTTTCAGAATGAGCAGGCGGACGGAGCTCACCTTCTGCAAGGTGGGTATTTTGTGCGATTTACAATGTAACGCTTTTGCCGGAATTTATAGTCTATATACGCATTTCTGCAATGTATAGCGCCTCATTCTTTCGGATCCTGATATTAAAAATAGTACCATTCGATTACCGTAGGTACCAACGTACGTAGGGTTAAAACCCATTTTGAATGATGTTCTGCCAGGGTCTTAGAAGCCATTGACCCAATAGAAATACCTTGGATTGTTATATCCATTGGATGTGGTTGGTAGACGGATACCTACCCTGCAGAACAACTCATACTTGCATTTCCCCTCTTCAGTGACTCAGGCGTCTATGTGAAAGTAGAGCTATATCATCCCTTCTTTTCTTCCTTCTTTTCCATTGAATCCTACACTATCATTTTTTTTTTCGAAGCTTTCACCTGTTGAGGATGGGGAAATACAAAGCCATGAAAAAGACTAAGGCCATAGAACAACCTAACGGTGCGACGGCCTTTGAGGGATGTGCGAAGATTGACTTCTATAGGCCCTTGTCATCGTAAGCCTAATCAACTCATTGGTTTTCTAGTTCTTTCTAACTGTTTCTATTGACCGTACGAAACACCGCCCGTTACCTTGGTGATCGGGAACAAACACTACAGTCTTCCAGAACATTAAATACTCCCAATTTCCACCGCAACCGCCTTTTTCCTCTACTATCAGGTTACATGACGTCCATGAGGATGCCGGGCACTCCTTGGTGCATTTCCTGTACACTGGAGGCTATCAAACTATCAAGTCGCCGCTTAATAAAGGCATATCCGACGTCGCAAGAGAGTATAGGAAGAGCGTCTTCGTATACGAGGCATCTAGGAAGTACGGGATTATTGATCTGGAGAACCTCGCTCATCAATACACTCAACGTTTCCGCGACCAGGTATCCTTGTCTGAAATACTTTTGGAAACTAGGGATATATTTTCAAGACACCCTGAAGATGAAACTTGGTTTCAAACTTTCATCAGAGGAGAGCTACAGCGGTTTCTAGGACCTTCCGGAATAGCACGTAGTCTAGACGAGCTTTCCAAAGGTCTTGGTCGAGATGATCGGTTTGATAATATTGTATTAAAGATAGTGGTTGAGATTCTCTCTGTTCGCTTGCGCTCAATGTTTAAAGACGGTAAGACTTTTAGCTTTTGGAAGTTGTAAATACTAACACGTTATATAGGAGAGACTCCCTCTACAGAAATGGCATACAAGGATGCGATGCATGCTGAGGAAACTGTATACGAAGACGAGCCCCCTGTTGAAGAAGTGGTACACGAAGACGAGCCCCCTGTTGAAGAAGTGGTACATAAAGAAGAGCCCCCTGTTGAAGAAGTGGTACATGAAGAACAGCCCCCTGTTGAAGCTGTCCAGGCTTCCATACTTAAGGCTTCACCGGCGGACTTGGCTTTTTACCAAGATTGGGGGAGTCTAAACCCTTCGCAGAAGAGAAAAAAAGTTAAAAAACTAAGGGCAAGAGGTCTTCCAACCCCAAACGAGGACGGGTCCATTCCAGTCTTCGTGACCTGAGGAAATTTGGAATATGTGGAATTATCTTGTGTTTTTCTAGTAATTCAATCTTGCAATGCAATTGTGTTCCGTTAAGTTTGTCAGCTTAAGCCGCAGAGAGCGAAAGATAAGATAATCGATTGATAGAATACGAAGCATAGCTACCTTTCAAACAGGTCGCGCCCAGGTAACATCTTCCAACACAAGTGGATTGAATTAATCCCACCAACGTGAAATCTTCTCCCATTTTCCCATGCACACGAATTTTCTTGTTGTCCTTGGCACCTCGATCGTATGCATTCAAATACTGTTTTCTCCTGCCTCGATGACTGGCTATAGCACGAAATGCAACGAGTTGCAGGATAAACTGGAAGCTAAAGGGATCGCTGTTGAATCGTTGATCGGTGGCAGAGTTGACCCTACTCGGAGATTACCATTGAAGGCCTGCCCTCGACTCTCCAGCATTATCCTGCACATAATTTCTCGAACTATTACCTCGGAAAGGACATGATATTGCGAATCATAGAGTGCGGTATATATTGTACCGCGAGCCACTCGGAATTTTGGCTAATGGAGACTTGAACCCCTAGATGCTCTCGCATGGCACTGGTGGATATGAACATTACACCGTCGTCTTTCCAGACAGGTAGCTGAACAACACTGTCAGAGAACTCAATGTCCAAGTAAGTTGGTGAGAATGATGAAGTCTCGATTTCGGCCATGAAGACACCTGTGTTGCCTTGACAAATATGGTGGTTGAAGCGACGTGTTGCATGAGCTGCGAAAAAGAGAGGCAGGTCAGCGGGGGGTGGGGCGTACAATTATAAGGAAAACGGTACCTAAATTATCAAACGTAGAAATGAAAGGTGTCAGCTCCTCTGGACGAGCGCTCCAGTCCAAGTGCGACTCGATTCTTTTTCTATTGAGCCAAAATGAATATGGCATCCAATAATGGCCTTGAGCTTCAAATCCATGGCTTTCTTCAAAAAGGGTAAAGGAGCCATGATGTTGGATACGATAGAGTAAGGGTGGGAGAGAAGACATGATTATGATTGTATGCTGCTGAGTCTACCTTTTTAAGTTGTTTTGACATAGTCAGTTTTAATCAACTAACTTTGTTAATTAACTACCGGTATATTAGAGTCTAGTCTCCATATCTCGGGAGATTACTTACTTCGAGGTAGCCACGGCCGAACGATTTTCGCAGCGTGATCACTGGCTGTGCACAACGGCTCTTGTCACATACAGACTAGTCGTGCCGTTACGCCGCGATTAAATGGGATGCTGTTGTCCAATCCTCTCCAGAAAGTCCGAATCTGTTTAGAAAGTGCCTGGTGAAGAAGTGCTGATTATCTATCCTAGCCCAATGGCGCGAGGCTGCATGCCCAATGACATCGGACCCGGCCATGGATCGGGCCCACCTCTTCCAAATCTTGATGCTCCTGCTTAGATCAAAAACTCTTTGATACAATAGTTACCACCACCTTGGAATCAAATACGGAGTGCAAGTTTCATTGCTTAGAGATTTAATCAAATTGTTGGAGAACAATAACCAAGGAAACAAGAGAGCTTCTTGTGAAGAAATCGGTGAATGGATCGTATAGACTCAGAGGATTAATATCGTCTAGTAATAGTGATCAATAATCAGTTGCTTGTAAGTATTGATAAGGAGAGGATTCGATGCGTTGAATCTCTGTGTATTGCTTGTCTTTCTAGTTACATACGACTCAGGGTGTGTGTGTGTATATATTTAACGGCCGTGGTTCGTGACTTGCACGCTTCCCACCGATCCCTACTGGGACATAGGCCGCCGAGGGTTAAGCCTCGGGCTTCGGGTCCTATCAGATTTATATACAAATAAGAGACTCTTTGGCGCATTTCCATAGCTGCCGTGGTCTTAAAGGGAGATCCACTTCCTAGTGGGTTTTGGGTATTTGCCAGCTGCAATGGTCCACCTACGCTCCATGACCCATCATTCTACCACCATCATACTTAAGCAGTGAGTTTGAAAAGAAAAAGGGAAGAAGGAAAGAAGGAAAGAAAGAAAGAAAGAACGAAGGAAAAGAGAGATATAAGGGGGAAGTAGGGCTGACTTAGCTAGGTGCTAAGGAGAGGTTGGCGAGGACAGATACCCTCAAAGAAACGGGTCTCTGCAAGCCATGAGGCTAGTTTTCGTGTTCCTTTCGCAGTACCTAAAAGAAAAGAGATAACTTCAGAAGGGGGTCCAGGTAGACGAGGAGCTCGTCTCTTAGCTATATAGCAGAAGAAGAAATGTAGAGATGCTTTTTGTGCTTTACACCGACAGAGAAGATAAGCATCATCATGATTAAAGCGTTCATGGTAGTCTGCAAAGTCTCCATGACCAGTACGGGCCGCAATAATACGGCCAAGGTCAAGTCGGTTGAGTTGAAGCTTCCCAGGGCGCTTAGGAGAAGTAGTTATTTCTAGATCTTGATAACTCTGTGGTGCCACCTTCTGCCATTGTGACTGAGCAGCGGATAGGGATTGAGTCTTGGCGTATCTCTTTAGTGAGGCGTATAAGGATTTGTGAGGAGCAGGAGGGATTGAGGCAGCTCCCTCTTTGGCAGCGAGATCAGCCGCTTCGTTCTCAGGGATTTTAGCGTGTCCAGGGACCCATCGGATTTGGATAGATCCGCTTTTGATGTGAGGAAGCCTTTTGCGAAGTGGCCAGGCAGCTGCAAGGGTGCGGAAGGATTCAAAGATTTCTTGGGAAGATCCTGTAGAGGGAGATAGAAGGCGTATAACAACTTCTAGATTGTCAAGGCAGATCCATAGGTTGGTAGCAAATTGAGCTGTTGGGTACGCTATTGCTGCTTGAGCGCCAGCTAGAGCTGCTTCTGCTTCTGCGTTGAAGACCTCTTTCCCGTGTCCGTATAAGAGTGAGGAGTGGAGGAACTGATGGTGTGCTTGAAGTCTAATATAGCCACCCCCTGCACGTCCGTCTGCTAGCCTAGATCCATCTGAAAAGATTACAATATCTGAGCTAGGGATGGTACGTTGAAAAGCCATGAAATTAGCCGCTGCCTGTTCCTTAGTGCGTCCCATGGGAGCTCCTATTTGAGCTTGAGCATTCCCACGAGGCTCGCGAGGGTGCCAGGGAGCGTATTGGAGAGGGTTTATCTGTTCAGAGTTTGGGAGGGCCAGTGTACGGCGGGCAAATCGGCTGGTTTGTCGGCTATTACTAGCGATCTGTTCTGCGCGTCTTCGAAGTAGGTGATAAGGGTCGAGACGCCGTAGGCGGACAGTTGCAAGGAGGGCTATTCGATCTAGTTCGATTTCTGGTGGAGAGAATCCAGACTCTCGATAAAGGACTGGCTTTGGGGTTGTGCGGAAGACTGGAAGGACTGCTCTTGCGCCTGTTAGTATTACTTTAGTTAGTTTCTCAAGATGTTCTCCAACTCGGTTTGAAATCTGGGAAGGTCCAGGTTGAGTACGTCCTGGCCACCAGGTTTCTGCGCCATAGTATGCTTTATAGAGTACACAGGCTGATACAGCCTGCTATAGTAAATCAGGTTTGACTCCTCGAACAGTATTCCCTAGAGAGCGAAGAGTGTTGGCCACAGTGAGGGCTTTAGATGCTGTTTCTCTAACGTGCCATTTGAACGTTAGCTTTTTGTCAAAGAGGATTCCTAGCCATCGTAGATATAGCCGTTTAGTGTTTTCTGATATTGTAATAGATCTAGCTTTCACTAAAGGTGTGCAGGTTGGGTCCTGGTCTGCTTTATGTTGGGAGAAGTGAAGAAGCTCGTATTTATCTGGTGCAAATGTAATACTCTCTGCAGCGCCCCAATTAAGAGCTTCTTGAAGTAAGTCTGATAAGGCTTCGCAATTAGTAGTAAGAGAAGTTGAGATTGCTAGGTTGGCTGTGTTGTCCGCGTAACCAAATCTGTTCCTTGGGTTTCCTAGACGGAATAGGGGCGCTATGTAGAGCATGAAAAGAATGCCAGATACTGGGGATCCTTATGGAAGACCGCAGGCAATGTCTGTTGAGGGGCCAATCTCTCCATCGAGTCGGATCTGAACTGATCTTCCAGTAGCGAAGGAGGCAATCCAGAGAACGAGATTGGTAGGCCAGCCCTGCTCGCGTAGTCTGCGGATCAGTCTGCCGGGAAGTACAGAATCAAAGGCGCCTTTGACATCTAGGGTAAGGAGTGAGGCAGTCATGCCTTGATTTAGCGCTTATTCAACATTATGTGTTAGGCATGTGGTTAGGTCAGTTGCAGATCTTAGTAGGAGAGCCCTAAATTGTTGCCTTACTAATACTTTATAGTGTATAGAGATCCATGCCATATTCCGTGCCACCAAGCGCTCCAGTCCTTTGCCAAGTACTGATAGGAGAGCAATTGGTCTGTATGATCTAGGTGAAGACTAATCAGTCTTTTTTGGTTTCTAGATGATTGCTAAGATTGCGTATCGAAAGCATTTAGGATGATAACCAATCTTTAGGCACCCTTGATATAGCATTAGTACCTTATCTTTGATCAGAGGCCAGGCTACTTTGAGTATGCAGGTTGGGATTTCATCTGCGCCAGGGGCTGTGTTTCCTGCCTGAAGTACTGACTCCTCCACTTGTAGCATCGATATATCTGGGAAGTAGAGACTAGTGGAAGGCACTGGGGAGTCCAGAGGTATGTCTCCTGCCTCTGCCGAGTTCTGGAGAAGATTTCGGACTAGTACGTCTCGTTTCTCGTGTACAGTAACTGCTGGGAGGCTGTTAGGCCTTAGCGGATCTTTTAGTGGAGGGCTTCAGAAGATGCCTGTAGACTTATGCTATTTACTTATATCAAAAACATCCTTCATTTGTGTTACCGTAGAGAGCTTCTCTCGCCAAAATTGTCGTTGAGACCATCTAGTTATCCTGCGGAAGTCTGTCTTTGAGCAGAGGCCTAAGCGGTAATTGTGTAAAGCTTTCTTGCAGTCTTCGTTCCACCATGGTTGTCCTATGCCTTGTATTATAGTCCTCTTAGCAGAGCCTCTATATACTCCTTGAATTGCAGATGTCAGTTTTTCAGCAAGGGCATCAAGATCTTCTTCTATTGCGGCTGAGCTCTCGATGTCAGCGAGATTAGAGGCAAGAAGTGAGAGGAAGGAGGTGTGGTCTAGTGTGTCAAATCTCAGTTTCTGAGCTGTTTCCTTGTATCTCTGATCCCATGGAACAGTGGTAATTAGTGGTTGATGATCAGAGGTAGCATCTAAGTGGCTCACTATGCTAGCTTTGGCTCCTGTGAGTGCCAGAGGGCTTAAGGCGAAACTGAGGTCTAACATGTTACCCCTTTCATGTGTGGGACAGTCTATGTCGGAAATGAGTACTAGACCCTGGAGATCCAGCTAGTTGATAAACGGCTCTGCAAAAGTTGTAGGGCTGCGTTATAGCGAGGGTTGCCATCTGTTATGTAGTAGGTTGAGATCGCCTGCAAGTATCATTGTTTGAGGGAAATACACCTCTGGCAGGGTTGTGAGAGCTTTCGCGGCTTCACCTGCTCTGCTGCAGCCTGCTGGGGCATTATAGATATTAACTATCAGAGCAGACTTTCCTGTGGGCGAAAAAATCTGAAGGAACAGGAGATCCGAGGCTTCTTTAGTGTCAGTTGTAAAGGGGCGTAGCTGGGAGGTCCGGATGCCTTTCTTCTTTTGGACATAGATAAGGACTCGTGATTGGCCACTTATTACCTAGCTATCAGTTGGGGAGAAGCATTCATATGATGGATGTTTTTTAGTGATCTGTTAGCTAAGGTCTTTGAATGTATATGGTTCTTGGATTAGGATAATATCAATGTCGCTAGTGTATGCCAATGTGAGGGCTATTTCATATGCATCTGGCGCGTGCCCTACATTTAACTATAGGATTTTAAGAGGCGCCTTTTGAGTTAGATAGTGATAGATTATAGCTCCTGTTCAAGAAGAGAGGCGAACCAGTTTTGTGGTTGAGAGGTTGTAAAACAGACTACACGAGCTGTAATGGAAGGATCTTCAGTTGGAGCGCGAGGTGGGGGGGTTACTGAACAGAAAGGAGAGATAATCTTATAGATTGAAGGCTGTGATGGCATCTCATCTAATGCTATAGGTGTTTCTTATATGCCTATAGAGAGCTAAGAGCTACATCCTCCTTCAGTTCGAGCTTTTACGAGATTTATAGCGCAGGATTTGCAGATCTCTGTTTGTTGAGCTTTAGTATGTTTAGTATTGCCTTTGGGGTGTAGAAGACATTCTGTGAAATCAGCTGGATGTGGTCCATGGCAGTATATGCATCTAGGAGGGCATTAATGAGGCTCTAGGGCTGTGCAGTGGTTGACATGGCCTTCTTCAGTATGCTCTAAGGAGCTGCATAGTTGGCATTGGGAGGGACGTGCACAGGATTGTGCATTATGCCATTTCCAGTATTATGTGTATTGAATAACTGTTGTTTTCTTAGAGAGGTGACAAGCATTGGTGATAGTGCTAAAAAGACGTAGCTGGATAGGCAGTAGTGATTTCGTGCCTTCTGGGAAGTTGATAAACTAGCTTGAGGAGAGAGTATCAGGGTTGGCAGCGCTCGTAGTGGTCTCGCTAATAGATATAGGCTTGAGCCCTGTTGTTTCGCTAATTTCTAATGATAGTAGTATAGGATTGACAGGGATTAGAGAGTATTGACCATCCAAGATTTGGCCAATTTTCCTTGGCACGTTGGTGACTCGGTATGAGACCCATTAGGAGCTGCGTTCTATCTAGCAGTTAACAAAGAATGCAGAGATAGTCTCTTTTTAGGCCTCAAGGGCTAGGAGGGCTTCTGGAGATGAGGGACATAGTGCAAAGCCAGTCTTTATAGCTTGGACTTCTTTTAGTGCTGCACTATTTAAGTTTAGTTGAGATCATAGGCTAGAGTAGATAGCGTAGGCTTCCATTTTTCTGGCTGCATGGTCAGCTAGGAGGCGTACGAAGAGCTGGATGTCAGGAAGGGGTTATTTCACTAGAGGCATAGGCTTTTTGATGGAGGCTTTAGGGTGAGTGGTAGGAGTTAATTTGACCGGGGCATATTGGGTAATAGTCACATAAGTTGACTGGTTAAGACCTGAGGGGGGACGTGAGGGAGGGGGTGAAGGGGGTAAGGGATTTGGGGTGGGGGAAGAGGAAAAGGAAGGAGATAGAGCAGGTAGAATGGAGGTCGTTGAGATACCGCTGATATAAGCGTTGAAATGTTGTTGAGCTACCGAGGCAAGGTCATCGCTTAGAGCGGTAAGTGCTCTCAGTAGGTGAGAAGCAAGGCCGGTGGTTTGGCTGCGGTGTTTATCAAGGAATACAGCTATGGGGCTGAAGATCTTCTGTCCTTCAGAAGCTCTTGTTGTGGCTGCAGACGTGGATTCCAGAAGGGCTGTCTGTAGAGGGCTGTCTATACCAGGGCCTTTATGCGTCATGGTGTTGCCGGGCGCGTTGAGACGCGTCAAAGGCTGCACTCCTGGGAGCTAGGTGGTAGAGAGGGTTGAGGATTTTGAGCCTCCGACTGTTTGATATAAATAATTATAAGGAAGTCGCCTATCAACTCGAAAAATTGTGAATACGACTCAGGGGTTGAAGCTATAACTAGTGTCGGAACGTCTAGTATCACGTGATCTCACGGTCAGATTCTTTACACTTCTTTTCACTGCCGTTGAGAGGATCGCACTCTTATTTCTTCGCACTCTTATTTCTTCGCACTCTTATTTCTTCGCACTCTTATTTCTTCGCACTCTTATTTCTTCGCACTCTTATTTCTTCGCACTCTTATTTCTTCGCACTCTTATTTCTTCGCACTCTTATTTCTTCGCACTCTTATTTCTTCGCACTCTTATTTCTTCGCACTCTTATTTCTTCGCACTCTTATTTCTTCGCACTCTTATTTCTTCGCACTCTTATTTCTTCGCACTCTTATTTCTTCGCACTCTTATTTCTTCGCACTCTTATTTCTTCGCACTCTTATTTCTTCGCACTCTTATTTCTTCGCACTCTACTTTATGCGCGCTCTCCCGCTGCGCGGTGCAGATAGGGGGCTCCCGCGTTACTTAACTACGCGTATTCTCGGGTTACTCGACGCGTTGGATTCCGACGCGTCGAATAAACCCAGCCATATGGATCTATTTAGTAGACACCATATTAAACCTCTCCACCTCGGTGGAGCAGTCTATTGAAAGATCGGCTGAGGAAATGCGAGATTCTTTCGATTACTACTGTTTAGAAAGATGCCTAGGGGCTTTCCGAAAGCCAAATTGATCGCAAGAGGGATATTGGATAGGAAAACCACCCGACACGAACTTATTCTAGGAGAGTGACAGGGCACCCTCGAGTTCAGCCAGCTCTGAGATTAAGATAGAACCCCCAACGTTATGAAATTACCAATGAAGCTATCTCAACGAGGGCTGGAACAAAGCCTAAGTGCTCTTAGAAAGTAATGGAAGTTGTTAAGGCTGATAGAAAAGTGGTTGCCGGATATGTTAAGGGCAAGGCCTACACTGAGACCGAACTACTTATCATTCTAGACAGACACAGCGCACCGCTTTCTAAGTATAAAGGCATAGGGTGGGAACTGAGCTAGGTTAGTAGGAGTCAACTATACAAGTATTATGCCAGGCGGGTATTACAAGTATTGACTTCTGCAAGACATAGTCGGCTGCTAGAGGGAGACTTCTAATAGTAACGGGAAACTACTTTATTATAGTAATAAAGTAGCGGGCCGTAGCACTATGAGGATGACCAGAGGGTAACTAGGAAGAATGTGTTCCTAGCTCGTACCTAGGCCATGGCTATCTAACTGGTATCTTTGCTTCCAACCCGTACTTGGGCCACAGCAGCGTGGTATCGCCGGCACCTATACTGATATTTTATTGGTATCTGTGTTTTCAACTCGTACTTGGACCGCTACTGTGTGGTATCGCCGATATATTCTTTCTAGGAGGCCTACGGAGATCTTATAGTGGCTCGAGAGGACGGATGCGCATGTCGGTCAGCTTAGAGAAGGAGTGCATTGTGCCTGACTCGTACTCAGGTCCCTGGGATATATATCCTAGCGCGGTATCGCCCATAATGCAATTGCCTTTGCGGCTGGCTTAAGGTGCAAACTCCAGAGATGTTGATAGCAGCAGATCTTTTGGCCTGGGGTTCTGCCAATAGGAATGGGTAAAATCACCACCGAAGCGAGAAGGCAAGGTGGAAGATGGTATTGGTATCGACCGGACTTGTTAAGGCTTTGCCACAGGCGACCGCGAGCCGCCCAACTCCTATTGTCTCTCGCGCCGCTAAGGCCCAACAGCCTCCCAGCAGTTACTGTACACGAGAAACGAGACGTACTAGTCCGAAATCTTCTCCAGAACTCGGCAGAGGCAGGAGACATACCTCTGGACTCCCCAGCAGTGCCTTCCACTAGTCTCTACTTCCCAGATATATCGATGCTACAAGTGGAGGAGTCAGTACTTCAGGCAGGAAACACAGCCCCTGGCGCAGATGAAATCCCAACCTGCATACTCAAAGTAGCCTGGCCTCTGATCAAAGATAAGGTACTAATGCTATATCAAGGGTGCCTAAAGATTGGTTATCATCCTAAATGCTTTCGACACGCAATCTTAGCAATCATCCAGAAACTAAAAAAGACTGATTGGTCTTCACCTAGATCATACAGACCAATCGCTCTCCTATCAGTACTTGGCAAAGGACTGGAGCGCTTAGTGGCACGGAATATGGCATGGATCTCTATACACCATAAAGTATTAGCAAGGCAACAATTTAGGGCTCTCCCACTAAGATCTGTAACTGACCTAACTACATGCCTAACACATGATGTTGAACAAGCGCTAAATTAAGGCATGACTGCCTCACTCCTTACCCTAGATGTCAAAGGCGCCTTTGATTCCATACTTCCCAGCAGACTGATCCGCAGACTACGCGAGCAGGGCTGGCCTACCAATCTCGTTCTCTGGATTGCCTCCTTCGCTACTGGAAGATCAGTTCAGATCCAACTCGATGGAGAGATCGGCCCCTCAACAGACATTACCTGCGGTCTTCCACAAGGATCCCCAGTATCTGGCATTCTTTTCATGCTCTATATAGCGCCCCTATTCCGTCTAGGAAACCTAAGGAACAGATTTAGTTACGCAGACAACGTAGCCAACCTAGCAATCTCAACTTCTCTTGCTACTAATTGCGAAGCCTTATTAGACTCACTTCAAGAAACTCTTAATTGAGACGCTGCAGAGGGTATTACATTTGCACCAGATAAATATAAGCTTCTTTACTTCTCCCAACATAAAGCAGACCAGGACCCAACCCACACACCTTCAGTAAAAGCTGGATCTATTATAATATCAGAAAATACTAAACAGCTATATCTACGATGGCTAGGAATCCTCTTTGACAAAAAGCTAACGTTCAAATAGCATATTAGAGAAATAGCATCTAAAGCCCTCACTGTGGCCAATGCTCTTTGCTCTCTAAGGAATACTGTTCGAGGAGTCAAACCTGATTTACTATAGTAGGCTGTATCAGCCTGTATACTCCATAAAGCATACTATGGCGCAGAAACCTGGTGGCCAGGACATACTCGCCCTGGACCTTCCCAGATTTCAAACTGAGTTGAAGAACATCTTGAGAAACTAACTAAAGTAATACTAACAGGTGCAAGAGCAGTCCTTCCAGTCTTCCGCACAACCCCAAAGCCAGTCCTTTATCGAGAGTCTGGATTCTCTCCACCAGAAATCGAACTAGATCGAATAGCCCTCCTTGCAACTGTCCGCCTACGGCGTCTTGACCCTTATCACCTACTTCGAAGACGCGCAGAACAGATCGCTAGTAATAGCCAACAAATCAGCCAATTTGCCCGCCGTACACTGGCCCTCCCAAACTCTGAACAGATAAACCCTCTCCAATACGCTCCCTGGCACCCTTGCGAGCCTCGTGGGAATGCTCAAGCTCGAATAGGAGCTCCCATGGGACGCACTAAGGAATAGGCAGCGGCTAATTTCATGGCTTTTCAACATACCATCCCTAGCTCAGATATTGTAATCTTTTCAGTTAGATCTAGGCTAGCAGATGGATGTGCAGGGGGTGGCTATATTAGACTTTAAGCACACCATCAGTTTCTCCGCTCCTCACTCTTATATGGACATGGGAAAGAGGTCTTCAACACAGAAGCAGAAGCAGCTCTAGCTGGCGCTCAAGCAGCAATAGCGTACCCAACAGCTTAATTTGCTACCAATCTATAGATCTGCCTTGACAACCTAGAAGTTGCTATACACCTTCTATCTCCCTCTACAGGATCTTTCCAAGAAATCTTTGAATCCTTCCGCACCCTTGTAGCTGTCTGGCCACTTCGCAAAAGGCTTCCTCACACCAAAAGTGGATCTATCCAAATCCGATGGGTCCCTGGACACGCTAAAATCCCTGAGAACGAAGCGGCTGATCTCACTACCAAAGAGGGAGCTGCCTCAATCCCTCCTGCTCCTCACAAATCCTCATACGCCTCGCTAAAGAGATACGCCAAGACTCAATCCCTATCCGCTGCTCAGTCACAATGGGAGAAGGTGGCACCACAGAGCTATCAAGATCTAGAAATAACCACTTCCCCTAAGCGCCCTGGGGAGCTTCAACTCAACCGACTTGACCTCGGCCATGTTATTGCGGCCCGTACTGGTCATGGAGACTTTGCAGACTACCATAAACACTTCAACCATAATGATGCTTATCTTCTCTGCCAATGCGGAGCACGAAAAGCACCTCTGCACTTCTTCTTCTGTCATATAGCTAAGAGACGAGCCCCTTGGCCTCCTGGGCCTCCTTCTGAGGTCATCTCTTTTCTCTTAGGCACTGCTAAAGGAGCACAAAAGCTAGCCACATGGCTAGCAGAGACCTACTTCTTTGAGGATATCTGCCCTCGCCAACCTCTCCTTAGCATCTAGCTAAGACAGCCCTACTCTTCCTTTATATTTCTCTTCTCCTTCTTTCTTTCTCTTCTCTTCTTTCTTTCCCTCTCTGCAAAACTTACTGTTCAGTTATAATAGTGGTGGAGTAATAGGTCATGGAGTGTAGGCGGACCATTGCAGCTAGCAAATACCTAAAACCCACTCGGAAGTGGACCTCCCTGTAAGACCATGGCAGCTATGGAAATGCACCAAAGAGTCTCTTATTTGTACATAAATCTGATAGGACCCGAAACCCGAGGCTTACCCCTCGGCGGCCTATGTCCCAGTAGGGATCGGTGGGAAGCGTGCGAGTCACGAACCACGGCCGTTAAATATATACACACACACACACACGCCGTTGAGAGGATCCTTATAAGTCGCAACATATTGGCCAATACTCATTCCCTTAAGGGTCTTTCTCACTTCTTCGAGAAGATCAGCTCCAAAGGTAGGATATCTGTAGATCTGCTGGGATATTAAGTCATCTTCACAGAGAAGAGACTGCTCCACCATTGCTGCAGCTAGAACCCGACGGACGGCGTGCCCTCGAGGTAAGAATGTCGTCGAAACAATGTGCTGGCTTGTAAGAAAATAATTGTTGATATGACCGTCAAACTCGAGGGATACAGGTTCGGGATTTGTGACCAAGATTAGCTTAAAATACTCGGCAATCTCAGATTCGATTCCGGTTATCCTGCACATGTCTGCAAACCGAGCAAGTTCGATAGCGGCTGACGAAACCGTTCCTTGTTTGAAAATCGATTTGCCAACCCATTGGGTTCGTAAAAGAAAAATGTATTAATTATAATAGGGAGATGTTCGGCGTTTTCCTGGAGGGGTCATGTGTGGTGTCTATTATATAGCTCCAATCTACCAATATCATTTGATTGAGCACCTCCACAATCTACACGTCTTTCAAATTGTTAGACCAATACACCTGAATCGACCCTGCTGTCCTCCCAGGAAACCGTTCCGTCAAGCGCTTCACCACGTCCGACCATGGCAACTTTTCTACTCTCCTCAGCTGAACCAAAAGGTCAATTTCCTCCGGCTCCCATGACATGCCCTTCCGGCCTTTCGCCGAGGACGGGACACTTTCGGAAGCCGTCGGAACAAGTTGTCGTGTTTGACGGCCACGGCGGCCAGTCCCTTTGATCCGGGCTTTGTTCAATGAGGACGTCGGAGTGGTTGGAAATCCAGACATGCACTGCGAAAGCGCACCATCGAACAGCCAGGAAAGAAACTCCAACCGGTCGTCCACAGGCGCTGTCAAGAAATAAGAACAAAGCGTAGGAATGAGAGGCGTGTTCACATTCTCGTTTGGCGTGGTGCGGGCGCAAACTCTTTTGGATGGCTGTCCTGAATTGTACTCTGGTACAGTCCGTCTCTTATTGGATGATAGGTCTTGGCTACCGTCACCGCAAGTGGGTTGCAACGTGGATGCCGTGCCAGTTTCTAGTTCGGCTGTATGAGCATGCGAAAGATGAGTCTGTTGATCAAATGGATCGTACAAGGGAGCAGCTCCCGGACTGGTACTCTGTTGTTCAGGCTGAGGATTGGGAGTGCTTGCAAAGTGGTCCCGTACAGAGTCTGATTCTTGTGAAAACTCATCGGGGGATATGAAACCGCTAACACCACTATCTTGCCGGCCGAATGTCAATGCGCAAGGCGTCTCATCGGCGAGTATCGCCGGGTCGATTGGAAGAATTGTTTCCGATCTGGTGGGATATGATATAGGGCCATAATCAGTTACGCAGTGCGGCGTGATTTCAGTAATTGGGTAGTCATCGACGACTGAGAGCCAGCTGGTGGAAGGATCAGTGTCATTCAGATTGGAATCGGGTGGTGACTGAGGTGGTGACGGAGACTGCTCTTGTGGTTCCAGTGTCATAGTCGTCGGGTCCGGCACCGTCATGACATGAGATCCCGCAGAAGAACTAGAATGTTCCTCAGGAGCCTGTACATAACGGGTGTGAGAGAGTCTGGAAGGAGGCTGTGGCAGGCGTGGGTGTGCGCACACCTCCACTGGTGGACGGACTGGAAGTGGGTGAACAAGGGCCTGAGCACGGGTATGGGAACGTGTCCTGGTAAAGGAAGTCTGTGCATTTGGAGAGGGAGGGCAAGCAGAAGTCGGGGAAAGGGGGAATTCAGTGATGGATGTTGGGGTTGGGTATCGCGAGGCAGTCTTTTGATGGTGCAGAGAAGGGGCTTTCCTGTTATGTCTCCCATAGGGGCGGAAATTATCCACGTGAAATCGAGAGTTGGCCATGTTCACGGTGAAAATCTTGAGCCTTGTGTTCAATGAGTGGGAAGTGAGGAGAGTCGCAAGTGCGGGAATCGATCACCTTTATATGTCAAGAGAGGCTGGAAAGTACCATATCAACCGAGAGGACCAGTGTCGAACCTTGGTTCCGATCTTCTAGCCTAAGACAGCGTCACGCACCGATTTCCAAGACTACTCACTGTCCCTATACATGTAATTCGATGGAGTGGTGATCCGGGAGCCCCTGCTGGATTTCCCATTCTGCCAATAGAAAGGCTCAGCAACCGAGTATCACCTGGATCCATGCCTTCCAGATGAGTCTACATGGCTCTTACAGCGTGTTCGAGACTCGAATCCAACACCGCCATCGTCTGGTCTCATTTCCAGTGTGGAACAGAATGAAAGCCACCCAATTGGCGCTAGCACTTCAATGGGTTGTAATGCGCCGATTGTACATGCTCAATTTCTGGCAAGGTAGGACCCTAAATTGGAAAGACAGGCCGGTGTGAGCTTCAGCCCGGCGCGATGTATTTTTGCCATTGGTTGCTACGTCGAGAGCATTGTCGTTGAAAGGAATGAAACCCTGTCATCAGCTGAAAACTAACTCTTGTTAATGTCACAAGGTCACAAGATGCAGAAAGCGCGACCCCTGTAAGTTGGGCGAAGGGTTCCTGTTGTTGCGTATTGTCAGACGCATTGTTTTCGAAGTAGGATCAGTACAGCGCTCTCCAGTGTAGTGTTTGCGACAACATCTTTGTACACCTCTTTCTTCGTTCTCTCCGTCTCGCGTTCTCTCCTTTTCCCTTTTTCCTGACTCACTCGGCTCGCGAATTCAGACCTGGGATCCTGAGAAGGCTGAAGTGATCCTAGGCAGCGGCATTGTTCAGATACAGCAGCGACCACATTGCTCTCGTTCTTGCTCCACCAGGAGCAGGGATATGGCGGTCGATAACGGCCTCAAAATCCAGACTCGCCAAATATGATCCAACTGGAGTCCAATCAACTGCGCTGGCCAGGCTCGGTGGGAGTGATTCTGGAGGAGCTGAGAATCGCTGACGTGGCTGGCGCGAGGTCCATGCGACGCTGTGCCGTTCAGCCGCGGGTGTGACGGAAAGTGAAATGGAGAAAAAAAAAGGAGAGAGAAAGGAGAGGACGAGGTGAAATCGTTCGAGGGACGCACCTGGGTTTATATAGACATCGTGGGTGACGCTCGGGCGCGCTATTCCCGAACGGGACGGGCTGGCGCCGCTAGGCCCGGTCGGGTAGTCTCATTCCCCGAATCGGCAGGCGGTGGACGGCGGCAGAGGAACGGGTGGCCAGGAGCGGTTTTCGGCGCCCCGCTTGCCGTCGTGTATAATACCATGTCTCAATTCTCTGACTCTTTCACTTCATCCTTATATAAATCTAATAGTATTGACACCTTCACAAATATTCCACAAGACAATCTTACACCCAATCTTTCTTATAGCCAACAAAGTTTTAATTCAGATAACAATTATTCTACGTTTCGAACTCCAGCGCCACCACTGACCCCCTTCCTCCAGCGCGTTGGGCCTAATCGCAAGAAATCCTACGTGCTTTATACTACGATGTCAAAGATGGAATTTATTGAATAGTGGCTTAAAACAGAGTATGGAGCAAAGAAAAGAATACGTTGGAATAGTAATAGGCGCTTCTCAATAGGATAGCTTTGATTAAGTTGCGCAGACCAGTGATGGCAAAGCAAAGCTTATGTGCAAGAAATATGGTGGTATACTTAATCATCCACATAATAATGAGCATGGCACATCAACTATGGCAAGACATCTAAAAGGGTCGCAATGCCGTAATCTCTCTGCCAATCGTATAAAGCAGAAAGACATTATGTCACTTGTATAAGACATGGTAAGCTATCTCAAGTTCTCAACCCTCTATTATACATTAACTAATATTAATAGCCGCAATGTCTTATAACAATACCGGCTTTCTCTCAGCAAGCATGGGAGGAGAAGCTTCTTACCTTTATTACAAGGGCAAAGCTTCCTTTTCAACTTATTGAACACTCTGAGTTTCAAGAATTAATTGAATTTGCCTGACTTGCTCCTTCACAGCCTAATATTCCTCCAAATACGCCAATTATGCCTATAATAAACTATTTAGACTTCCAGCGTGCAGCGTCTTTCAGCCTTAATAAAGTCCCAAGAGTCCTACTATTCATAGAGAACTGTCGGATTCCTAATATATCTCTCCCGCCATTAAACAACCTCTCTACATCTACCTCTGTGTCGGAAACTTCGGTCAAACTACCGTCGAGTATCTCGGATAGCTTATAACACGCTGAAGTTATAAGGCTTCTAAGTACGAAAGGCTTCTTGAAAGCAAAGTCTTAATAAAAGGATGAATATCCGGTTCGATAGAAGAACGTATACTCAAGTTGTCAAAGCTAAGGGGTACTTAGCACGGTTAATTCAAGACGATAGAATAAACTAAATACACGATAAATGAGTGTCCTTATATATTCCATCATCATCATAGAATTCATAGAATTCCTCTGATTTCTCTGATCCTCGGATCATAGCTATCATAGAATGTCTCTGATATCTCTGATACCCTAACCCTAATGGTTACGGATAATCCTTGCTTCCGTAGTGCAGTAGTGTAACACTATCTAGTCAATCCATTGGCTGCGGATTCTTGATTCTTCTGACACTCTGCTGCTGGTATAGCAAGGTGATCTTGTGCTACCTTGGCCATACAAGGAAATTCAAGCTTGTTAGCCTTCCACCAGTTTCTTATAAACTCAGTCTGACTCTGGTTTGGATCAAAACCAGTACTGATCGTAGGAGTATCAAAATATTGGTCGATATCTGACTCAGAGATGTTATACTAGGTAGGCTGGAATGCCTCTAGAAAGCGATATTCCAAGCTCTTATAATTTGCACTAAGAGCAGTCGATATAGGCTTTTTTTGTGCAGGATATGCTTTCTTCAGAAAAGCCCTAATTTAGATGATAATCTTCTCTCCATCTGGTAACATTTTGAGCTACTTAGTCTTGATTCGAGGGTCTAGAATGCTTGCAATATAGTATATATCATTACATTTAATATAGTCGTAATACCTTTCCAGGAGTGAGATTCCATTAGAAATAAGAATAGTTGCTTCAGCTGAGAGATTCTTCTAATCGCCCTGTCTTTCCCTGATAGCTAACAGCATAGAATGGAGCTCTTCATATAGACACGCAGCTATATAAATTGAAGGGCTATCTCGAGAGATATACTCAGTATATTTGTTAAAGGGAGCCAGAATTTTCTTAATATTAGAGAGCTGCCTCCAATCATCAGATGTAAGACGTAAGGCTTCAATTTCTAGCTCATCATTGACTGTATCTTTGAGCTGCTAACGGCACTCTTCAGCTCTCTCAATCATAATAAAAGTAGAGTTCCATCTAGTATCAACGTTGTAGTTGATAGCTTTAGTGCAGCCAGGCCGATTATCCCACTTCTGTATTCATTGGGGAGATTGTGCAATCCAAAGGATAAGTATTCAAAGCTTTACAATAGGTAAAGAAGGCACCTTAATCTTCTTCCAACTCTGCTTAGCAACATCATTAAGAAGATTGCAGGCTTCTTTATACGAACTAGCACATAGAGACTTTAATATAGCCTTCATAACCAAGTTCAAAATGTGAGCAAAGCAGCGGATTTGGGAATTTTAAGTAAATTTCATCGTTTCTTCTTGAATGATAGTCTCTGTTAGATAATCATCATAGCTCTGAAATAACTTCTGGTGAAGATATCAATGTAAAGTGTTATTATTAGATGCATTATCAGCTATAATTGTTATAATTTTATTAGATATATAAAATCTCTAAAGAGCTGTAGCTACAATATTAGCTAAATTTTCTTCTGAGTGGTTTCCTTCAATTTCAACAAATTCAATACAAGCTTGATATTACTAAAAATCAGAGGACATCCAGTGAGCATTAATTGCTAGCATTGGCAGTGAATTCTAACTTGTCCAATCATCAAGAGATAGCGCTATTGAGGAGGCTGAAGATATTAAGCCTCATAATTCACTATCAATAGCGTCAAGCCGAAGACTTAATCAACATGAGATAGTATCTGCACTTGATATAGAGTCCTGGGAACCAGCAGATCTCAACATAGTCTTAAATGAAGGCTGTTCGACGCATGTAAATGGCTAGGAGGTTAATATAATCCAATCTAAGAGAGCTTCCTCAAACGGAAGCTTTTTTTCCTTCGAAATCCATGAACTTAATAGTCCTTGGCACTCTGAAAGACCATCTTTTAAGAGCTTATAAGTCTGCTGGAGATGCTATTTTAATGCTGTAGTTGAAGATTGTAGTTTAGATGTAAATCGAAAGAATTAATATGTAGATGGTGATACAACACATAGATGTTTGAGCTCAGACCATTCATTATTCCCTAGTTTCCAGGTACTAGGTTCAGGTGTTGTTAAGAAGTATTTCCAGATCTAGCTCCACTCTCTTAGCCTAGCCTTATCTCTCTGCTTGATTTCGATACTCCCAGCCTCGCATTCCACCTGAGATATTGACTGCAAAGAATGTATTTCTGTATTGAGGTTTGATAAGCTGAGAAACATTACTGTCAGCCGCTGGAGATCCTGAAATCCTAGTGCTAGGCGATTTTGTAGTATAGACTACTTTCTTTTTTCTAGGTGCTGGAAGTGATATATCCCCTTCAAAGAGACCATGTTCGTTAAGGGCCACATAATCGCGTTTTTTCTTCCTCGTATGGGGAAGTTCAAATATTGGAGCAAGTGGAGAAGTTGTCGGATTAGTTGGTTGATTCCAGGCCAATCCTGAAGATAGTTTTACTGGGATGAAAAGAAAGAAGTGACTAGCAAGATTGTATGTATTGAGTTCTGTATCTCTCTATCCATCAGGTTTCAAAGCCGGGTCCTTTATAGACACTTTTTGGCGGGGTGATTTGTGAGTCACCAAGAGGGGTAAATTTTGGGGGCTATAAGATAGGGCTTCTGATTGTTCACTTCCTTTTACTGCCTCCGGATGTCCGAATTATCTAACAGAAGTCATCTGGAATATGATATTAGTATATCCATCTTGTGCCTTGATTAATCACTTACTTTAGTTATATCTCCTTCAAAAGTGCTGGTTTTTATGACCTTTCAAGCTGACGGTTTGAACTTGTTATGGATAAAAGCGCATATTCGTGGAGACGTGTCCGCGTGGTTTATTCGCTAAGTGTTGGATGCGAGGATGCAGTCGAGATCCGGATAACTGACGTCACGTGATTTCAATCACGTGACGAAGGCTACACCAGGAATCCCTTACGCGTCGGGGTCAAAGATAGAAAAGAGGGACAACTTAAGACTACTCAATTGAACCCATATTCCACGTTAGGAATCCTATCGTACTAGTACTAGTGCAAATGCACCCACACTAAGCCTGATTAATACTATTCTTTTACTGCACCTCAGTCCTCGACAATACTATGTATGCAATTGTTGATATTTTCACTCTATATTAATTTATTACGTATAAATAAGCGTGATCTGTCAGTTAATTTAATTTGAAGCAATATAGACCTAAAATAAGGCTTTCGTGATGTTGAGGGAGTTCAGGAGTAGAAATGATATATTCCTGAGATTGACGTTTTGGAGGAAAAAATAATTTCTGTTTATATTGCCCGACAACCTGTTAGATTCAAGGCAAACTATGTAAAATTTTATATCTCAGAATATTTTTTAGCTCAGCTCTCCCTATATCTCTTATTTGATAGGAGTTAATTGTTAAATTGTACGCGGTATTGCTATATATGTAAAATCAAGTAAGTTGCTGGACATGGTGTTGAACAAAAGTACTGCCGAGTATCTCTTACCGCCTTCCCAATTGGGACTAAATCAAATAAGTTCGCGAACCTCGAATCGAATTCGAATCGACTGTGAGTTCGAATTCGTACGAATAGTCATATTCAGGATTAATTCGAGTCGAATCGAATAGAACTTTTTCCTAATTCGATTCGATTCGTGCGGAGCGGTATCATACTGACAGCCTGATGCCTTACATTTTTTTGTGGCGCAGCCTAGAACATGTCTATCGTTCCCGATCACTCGATGCCTCCGATCACTCGATGCCCGTTTTACCCCGCTCCTACAAATAACATTCAAAATTCGATAATATGGTCAACGAAGCAGATATTTTAAAGGCAATTAGTGATCTAGAATCGCAAAAAACGCCTCAATATGCCAAAACTGCCAGAAAATATAATCTTGAGCCTTCGACCCTAAGGCGCCGGTATAAAGGCCAGACCGTATCAAACCAGGAAGCAACTTCTATTCACCGCAAACTCCTTACAGATGCCCAAGAAGAAGTTCTTCTTCATCATATCTCGAAGCTCTCGTCTCGTGGATTACCTCCAACGCCTCAAATTCTCCGAAATCTTGTCGTAGAGCTTCTACAACATGATGTTGGGGAGTGCTGGATTCGTCGATTCTGTCACCGCTACCACGATCGAATTGACAGTGTTTATCTGAAAGCAATTGATCATTCTCGCAAAGTCGCTGATAACTCAGTACATTTTGAACATTTTTATAATACAGTATGAACTTTTTGACTGATTTCCTCTTTGAATTTTCGTTGATATGTTATCTAACTAACAAATATACTAAAGCTCACAGAGAAAGTCAAAAAATATCGCATCAGCCCATCAAATACCTATAACTTTGATGAGAAAGGATTCAATATAGGCCTCTGTCGTACTGAAAAGCGGATTGTCTCAAAATCTCAGCTCCGTTCAAAGAAATTACTTGGTGCAATTCAAGACGGGAGCATAGAATTTATTACTCTTATTGCATGTATTTGTGCTAATGGAATAGCAATTCCTCCAGCTCTTATTTACCAAGGCGAGTCAGGAGATCTACAAGATACTTGGCTTAAAGATTTTGACGGCTCAAGAGAGAAGGCATACTTTGCAACTTCTGAAAAGGGTTGGACAAATGAAGAGCTTAGATTTTTATGGCTAACCAAGATCTTTGACCCTTATACAAAGACAAAAGCAGGCAATTTAAAGCGCCTTCTGCTTACAGATGGTCATTCAGGCCATGTTAATCTTCGTTTTATCGAATACTGTGATCAAAACAATATAATTCTCGGTATTTTACCTCTACACTCTATACATCAATTACAGCCGCTTGACATTGGAATCTTTCCACCTCTTGCAGGTGCTTATTCCCATGAGATTGATCGACTTACTCAATTGAGTAGTGGATTTTCAAGGATAACAAAAGCATCCTTTTGGCGATTATTCTATGCTGTATGGAAATTAACTTTAACATTGCAAAACATTCGATCAGCTTTTGCTGCACTGGGCATTCACCCTTTCAACCCACCAAAGGTTCTTAATATTCTCAAAAAAAAGATCCCATCGCCAATCTCAAGCGATATTGAAAATAAACGAAAGACTCCAGGATCTGTTCGAGCAATTCGTCGTACACTCAAAGCCATTTGACAGGAAAAGAGTGATCTATCAGAGGCTACACAACTTGCTCTTAAAGCACTTCAAAAATATGCGGTACAGAATGAAATACTTGAACATCAGCAGCAAGGCTTGGTCGATGCATTAATTGGAGAGAAAAAACGGCAGAAGCGAGGCCGGCCACTGGGTTTAATTGATAAGGATAATCCCGGTGAGGCACAATTCTTCTCACCAGGCAGAATTGAAGCTGCACGACAGCAAATACAAAATATTGAGTTACAAAAGGAACAAGGAAAGATCGAGGCAGCAAACCGACGTACACAAAAGGCATTTGCGCGCCAACAGAAGGCCCAAGAGATCCAGGAACGGCGAGAGACTCGAATCCGTGAACGAGAGGAGAAAAGGCGTCAAGAAGAACTTGAAAAGGAGCAACTTCGCGTGGCCCGGGAAGCCCAGAAGGAGGTAAAGCGAGCTAAAGAAAGGCCAGCAAAGCAGGTAAACACTAAAAAGAGGCGATACAGTAAGGTTATCGAGAGTAATGAGGAGGTTTCTTCAAAGAGGCCAAAAACAGGAATATCTCGTTCTGGGCGAGCGATAAACCTACCTATACGATTTAGGGATTAGATAATTATGCTGGTTTGTTCACCACACATTTTTATCTAATAATCTTAATTTTAATAATTATAACTTCATTTGTTGAAGATATATTATAAATTATAGAGCTTGGAGCAATTTTCGGAAGGGCGGGCATCGAGTGATCGGGAACGATAGATGGAAAAACTAATAATCCGACCAATCAGCCTTGCCAATTACCAAATCCTAAGGAGAGATTCTGCCAGTCAAAACACTTTAAATCAGTTGGACGACAACAATGACAACATGAGAATAAACCAATTGATTACACCACCAACTACACCGCTAAATCAGACTACAGGACAGGAAGCTCCTCGAGCACAAGAAATAAGCGCCGACCTGTCAGAATCAAATATAGTGGCAGGATCAAGGATTCGAAAAGCCTCAAACCGAGCTCTGAGCCCTACCTCAATCTCTGCAGGACCATTGAAAACTTGAAAGAGAGATCGAAGCCCAGAACCAAGTCCTATATCGAGAAAAAGGCAGAGAAAGCTTAGTCGCGCGTTTCTAGCCAGGCAGAAGCTGCTCCAAGATTCAACAACTGACAAGATCTTCTTAGCCGCCATGGAAAAGCTTGAAGAACCATTTAGTGTGCAGCTTCTACCAGAGCCTAAAAATTGGAAAGGAGTTTTAAGGCACAAGTTCAAGCATCAGTTTACCCAAGCTGCAAAGGAGGAATTTAAAGCTCTGAAGAGAAAAGGTACATTTAAGTTTGTTCTAAAACCTCAAGATAAGCAGATTTTACCACTGACATGGGTGTTCAAATACAAATTTAATAAATACAGTAAGCTTGCGACGTTCAAAGCACGTATTTGTGTACGTGGTGATCTGCAACAACCAAATGACCTTGAAAAACAAGCAGCTACACTTGCAGCACGAAACTTCAGAATGATGATGGCTATTGCAGCTATCTTCGATCTTGAGATCATTCAATATGTAGGAATAGCATATTCCTGAAGTATTCAATATGGGAGGAGATAAAAGGGGGATAAAAAGGAAGTGAGTTAGAGGCGGCAGCTGTAGTTAGCCTAGCTTGGTTAGCTCAGCTTTGTTTACCTACACCTAAGGTAGCTGAGCTCCTTTAGAGACAAGAACAGACACAACTGAATACAACAACCTCGAACCTACACTTTACCTGTGTGCACACCCCTGTGATACCAACACTGATCAGTGGTTAATACCACAGATTAGCTAGGTTTCTTCAGAAGAGATAGATATTCAAGGACAAGCCGTTTGTTTTGTTGCGTAAGGCATGAATCAAACGTGACTTACCTTGGGGCTCTATGCTAAAGAGTATCAACGGTCCCTCTTTTGTTGCAGCAGCATGAATTAGGAAACTAGAAGATATTCAAGGATCAGAGGCTGAGATTACGATACTTCTGATCTGCGTCTATCACGCCCTCAAAGCCTTCTTTTGTTGACTTGATCACGAATTAAGTGCGGAGAGTGTTCTTCAACCACCGATTGCCCCGAAACCTTTGCGCAAAACCGACTCCCAACTATTGCGCAACGTCAAGCTCGACCTCTTTATTAAGCCTATCAAGAGATACCGACCAAAACCTCCATCTACCTGAATGAACCTACCTATCGCTGACACTTCACTAAAACACAACCACCGACAATCTCAATACCTTCAAAACACGTGCGAAAACCGCGTACGAAACGTTCAAGATGATTCCAATCCCAGACAATCTTGAATATGCGGTAGATCCAGACTTCTGGGGTCTCTCCCTTAACCTGGAAGACGAGGAACAACACGTGCCCAAGACTATCAACACCTATATTGCCTGGTTGCAGGAGTGTTATGATCTCCACGACCGCGAAGGAGAAGATCTATGGAACACTTTTCGGGAGGATTTTGAAGGATTTACACTTGATCTCTTTAAGGTAGCGACCCGGCCAGCTGTCAGAGGCCTGCGCGACTACCTGGTACGTCATGGAGTATGGGTTAAGCCATCTGCAGGAGCTCTATCATACGCACACGTACTGTATGAGTGCCTTCACGAAGAAACTCAGGCAGATTGGACAGAGGAAGCCTTGGAAAACAAAGCTAAAGTAATCAAGAAATGGGAGGATCTGCGAGCCAAGATTCAATCCAAGACAAACACTATGCCTATCTCAAACACTTCTCCTACAATCAAACTCCTCGATATTCCTTCTAAGGACACCCAACCGGCTTCGCAGCAGACCAATTATACTCAAACTCGTACCCCCATGGCTGTTACCCCAACTCTTCAAAGTCAATACGTCCAGCAACCACAAGGCCAAGCTCAACCCCAGTGGCAGACAACTCAACCATCCCTTCTAGAACATCCCGTCCAACACCAGATTCAACACCCACATCTGGCCACTACTTACCTTCCTCCTGCGTTCCCTTCTCCACCGGCACCACCTCGACCACCATACGAACGAATCCCTATACCGGCTGATGGCGCCACTGAAAGTAACCCCAAGTTACTTATAGACCTTATGAAGATCTACAGCAACGACGATAAGAAGTATGGAGGGGAGAAATACGATATCCTCAGTACTAAGCTACAAGTCTTCTACGACTGTTGCGCAAAGATTGGTTTGGGACATGATCAATTCGCAAATGCATTCTCTACTATGTTGAAAGGACGGGCTAGCCAATACTACTATAACTCGCTATCCAACAAAGGCTTCACATTTCAGCAACTAATCAACCACACAAGGACTCATTTTGAGACCGAGGAAAACCACCAAGAGTACTTAACTGAATGGAGAGAAATCACTTTAGAACGCACCATTGAGGCCAACCCAACTAAGTCGAAGCTTAAGTGTTTCCAGACGATGGTAGATCAACTTGAGAAGGTGCAACGGGGACTCTCAAACGAGTACCAGTTTGAACACAGCCTACGAGATCAAGTATTGAATGGTTGCAGAGGAGTTGTAGAGTGTGATCTTGCGCTCTACAAGCCAAGCGCTACCTTTGAAGGTGTCTGCGCTGAAATCCGCTCTTCAATTAGCACCAAGATGCGTTCATCACGCGCACTAACACCATCTTCCTTCAACAACCAATTCAACGACGAGTATGACCACAACTGGACAGACCGAACATATGGAGGACATGGACGAGGCCGGGGATCCTACAATGGACAAAGAAATCGGGTTGGAGAGAGTAATCGAGGACCTTATGAGCCGAGCTCACGAGGAAGTTTCCGTAATAACCAGCACGGAGTACACCAAAATAGAGGCTTCCAACAGAAGAAATGCTTTGTCTGCCGGAAACCATACTGTTGGTCTACAAAACACTCAAAGGAAGAGCGACAGAGAGCATACAATGAGTTCAGGCAACAAACTGCGTATGTCTCTGAGGTGGAACCGACACTTAAAGAGTATAGCTCTTTCTTGGCCCAGTACAAAGGAATGGAAGGTATTACTGAGACTGCTGAACCAAACCATGAAGCCTTGTTTCAAATGACTCTAAATGACCCCCCCTTTGAAACAAACTTCACAGAATTCAGAAAAATCAACGGCATTGAGATGATTTCGATGCTTAATGATTATTCAACATACCACGCTTTTACCAGGGATGATAAGTACCAGCCTTTAATTTCCTGCGCTGATGAGGCAACGGATCAAGACAATGAAGCATTCACATTAGACCGATATTCCTCAAATGAATTCCATGGCATTATGCCTGACAGCGGTGCGGCTGGTATTTCTTCAGCAGGAGAACTACAGGTTTTAGCTTTGCAAAAGACCGACCCAAGCATTCGAATCGATACCTCTGCAGGTAGAGAGAATCATATCAAGTTTGGCAAAGGTACAGCTATTGTCAAAGGAGTTGTTCGGGTCCCTACACCTATTGGTACTATCACTTTCCACGTTGTACCAACAAACACGCCATTTCTATTATGCCTGAAAGACATGGACGACTTGGGAGTACGATTTGACAATCTTAATAACACCCTGGTCCAGGGCAGCAACATTGTCCTAATTGTACGTAAGTGGGGACATCCCTGGATGCTGTTGAACCGCCTTGAAAGTGTTGCATGCCATTTGACAGAGTTAGAACTACGTCAACTCCATCGCCGTTTTGGCCACCCCTCAGTTCAACGACTGGCAACCGTGCTAGAGCGTGCTAACCATGACTTTAATGCGGATATCCTTAAGAAGCTCACGAAGTTCTGCCACCAATATCAGATGCATGAAAAATCACCTGGTCGTTTCAAATTCACTCTCAAAGATGACCACGAGTTTAACTACTCAGTAATCATTGATATCATGTACATTGAAGGCAAGCCAGTACTGCATGTTGTTGATTCTGGAACAGCATTCAACGCAGCATGCTTCTTGAAGGACATGACAGCTAGCACAGCATGGAATACATTACGGCTCTGCTGGATTGACTGCTATTTGGGCCCTCCGGACCAGATTGTCCATGATGCCGGTACTAATTTTGCCTCGGACGAATTCAGACAGTATGCGAAATCAATGGCAATTCATATCAGGGAAGTACTAGTGGAGGCGCACAATGCAGTTGGCAAAGTTGAGAGATACCACGCACCACTGCGACGTGCATACGAGATCATTCAGGAAGAGTTAAAGGGGGAGAACGTGCTAAAGGAGGCGATATTGCAGATGGCTGTGAAAACTCTAAATGATACAGCGGGACCAGATGGCCTTGTACCCACTCTATTGGTGTTTGGCGCATACCCCAGATTAACAGAATGGGATGCTCCATCTCCATCAGTTGCCAAGAGAGCCAAGGCAATTGAATGCGCAACGAAGGAAGTACAGAAGCTGAAGGCTGCCCGACAAGTTCAGGATGCCCTATCTATGCGCAATGGTCCAAACACCAAGGCTACGCTTGATCTACCACTACAATCGGATGTCCGGGTATGGAGAGAAGCCAAAGGATGGACAGGACCATTCAAATTGCTTGCAATTATAGGGGAAACCTATACTGTTGCAATGCCGCGTGGACCTGCGAACTTCAGAACTACCGTCGTCAAACCCTACCTTAGTGAACCAGTCCCTGAGGCAAGCGAGACCCCTGAAGGAGACCATGAGTGCTCACAAACTCCAAGAGAGGAAATTGAGGCTCCGATTCGACGTGGACCGGGCCGTCCAAGAGGCTCCCGAAATTATAAGCGCCCAAATGATCAACCTCAGCGACGAAGTGCTCGTCACATGACCTGCAACCCCCAATATAATGATCTTGAACACTTGATCGTAGATATGGAGGAGAAGGATGGAGAATGGATGACCCACATGACTCGGAAAGAACAGTCTGACTTCGAACTTGCTATCCAATTACGAAAGGACGGAGTTATTACAACTCCAGGAGACCCATTCCACGAGTCACAACAGCAGGAGATCGATGGTCTGATAGCAAGAGGCGTGTTTGAGTTTGTCCTATTTGACCCAAAACAACACGCAAATATACGAATCTTCAATTCCCGGTTCGTCAACGAAGTCAAAGGCAAGACAACTATCCCTTTTGAGAAGTCAAGACTGGTTATTCAAGCCTATAACGACGAAGGCAAGCAGGAGATTCTTACCCAATCCCCAACGATCCAGAGAGCTAGCCAGAGAGTTATTCTTGCGTTGGCACCATCACTTTGACTACAAGGGATCTTGCTCTACCTGCGAGATATTACACAAGCTTATATCCAAGCAACTACTCTATTAAATCGTTTGATATTGGCATATCTTCCGAAGGAATTGAGACACTTGTACCCAGAAGGTACTATCATGGTCGTACGGAAGCCACTGTATGGTATTCCTGAAGCTAGAACTCACTGGTGGGCGACATACTACAAGCACTACAAGGAAAAGCTGTCTATGGTTACTTCAACATACGACCCCTATCTCTTGATTACCACCAACAAGGACGCATTTGGAGTAGTTGGGATGCAGACAGACGATACGCTATTCCTGGCATCTGAGCATTTCGCTATTTTGGAAGATGAAGAACTGAAGAAGGCCAAGCTAATGGCAAAACCAAGAGATAAGCTGTCATTGGCATCCAACCTGATTTTCAATGGGTGTTCCCTTACGTTGGAATCAGACAGCACAATAGCTCTTCTACAGAAGGATCAAGGCAAGAAGCTCCGACTGGTCACTGAAGGAGAGAATTCCCACCAAGAATACCTTGAACAACATGCTCGGGGAGCTTATATTGCTTCCATATGTTAACCGGAAGCTTCATTCGACCTCTCCGTGGTAGCTCAGCATCAAAGCCCTACTGCTGACGACATTCGGAACCTCAACAAGCGTATCATGTGGCAGATAGAGAACCAGAGCCGTGGCATCAAATACACTCCACTGGACCTATCTAACGTTAAGATTTTTGTGTTTGTGGACGGATCCTTCGCTAATAACAAAGATTTCAGTTCCCAGATTGGATATGTCATTATTCTAGCCAACGAGAGTTCGACAGGCGACGAGTTTGAGATTACAGGCAACCTTACTCATTACAGTTCGAACAAGAGCAAGAGAGTGACTAGATCTGTGCTTGCATCAGAGATCTATGGCATGGTAGGAGGCGTTGATATGGCAATTTCGATCGGTACAACTATCAATATGATCACAAGACAGCTTGATCTCCCTAACGTCCCCATTGTGGTCTGTACCGACTCTTACTCTCTCTACGAATGCCTCGTCAAGCTCGGTACTACTAAGGAGAAGCGTCTTATGATCGATATTATGGCACTTCGGCAGTCATACGAGCGAAGAGAGCTGACAGAAGTCCGATGGATCAATGGAAAAGACAACCTAGCAGACTCTATGACGAAATCTACCCCAAACAAGGCTCTGGAGCAGTTCTTAAACGAAAACCGGCTGAAGGTACGAGTGGAAGGATGGGTGGAGAGAAAGTGATTGTAGGAATAGAGAGGTTAGAGAGAGAAAAATGGGTAGCGACAATTAGGTTATTTGTGGGTTGTTTTTAAGCGTTCGTGCATGTGGAGGTTTAGATCAACTAACCTCTATACTCACGTTTTTTTTCACACTTTGCGCTCTTTCCACAAAGAAAGAACTGCCAGTGTAGGAATAGCATATTCCTGAAGTATTCAATATAGGAGGAGATAAAAGGGGGATAAAAAGGAAGTGAGTTAGAGGCGGCAGCTGTAGTTAGCCTAGCTTGGTTAGCTCGGCTTTGTTTACCTACACCTAAGGTAGCTGAGCTCCTTTAGAGACAAGAACAGACACAACTGAATACAACAACCTCGAACCTACACTTTACCTGTGTGCACACCCCTGTGATACCAACACAATATGATGCCATGAATGCCTTCGTGAATAGTATCCTTGATGAAGAAGTTTACACATACTTTCCAGACGGATTCAAGTAAGATGGACAGGTAATAAAGTTACAATGAGCTCTATATAGTTTGAGAAGAAGCCCACGGTTATGGCAGAAAGAACTTACAGCGACCCTTCTAAATCTAGGATTCACGTAGATTCCAGACGAAGAATGTTTATTCATCAAGAATGGTGTTGTTCTATTATTCTATGTTGATGACATTCTGCTATTTTACGACAAGGCCATAAAGCAAGCTACTTTTAAGGAAATCGAGAAAGGCCTTATGAGAAAGTATGAGCTTCGAAAAATGAAGAAATTTGAGTGGTTTCTCAACATTAGGATCACTCGCGACCGTGCTCAGAGAAAGATTTAGCTCTGCCAGGACAGCCAGATCACCAAGATGGCTAGCAAATTCGGAATCAACGCTATGAACAATGTCAAGACACCTATATCTGGCAATATTGAAGCTTCAACCGAACAAGCAACCAATGAAGAGATTCACGTATATCAAAAACTTGTGGGATCAGCTCTTTATGTTACTGTAATGACTAGGGTTGATGTGGCCAAAGCTGTCAACAAGCTAGCTAAGCACACCAAGAATCCTTCAAAGGCTCACTTTCAGCAGATCCGACGTGTCATCCAATATCTCTATAACACCCGCTCGTTAGTAATTGAATATTCACCACTAGAGAATGTTAATATGGACGCTTTCATATGTGCCTTAGATACCTCATCTGGTGACAACCCTGACCGTACAAGCTCTAAAGGGTATTTAGTCCAATTGTATGGAGGCCCAATTAACTGGAGAGCCACGAAGCAGCGCTTAGTTACGATATCAACGACTGAAGCTGAGCTCCGTGCAGCTACTGAAGCAGCTAAAAGACTTCAAGTTTGGAAGTAAGTCTTTAGGTCTATTGGATTCAAGCCTGATAGAGAACTCTTAATCTAATGTGATAATAAATAAACTGTTTCACTACTGACCAGTAAAGAACCATAGTTTCATACGAACCTCAAGCACGTTGATATTTACCATCATTGGCTCCAACAAGAAGTCTCCAAGAAGCGACTGCGTATTGAATGGGTTGATACAAAGCGAATGGTGGCAGACGGCCTTACTAAGGTCCTACATGGACAGCAGTTCCTGGATTGGAGAAAACACCAGGGATTGGTGGATATAGCAGATCTAGTGCAGGAATAAAAGCTTCAAGCTTCCATTCCTGGGGGGTGTGTTGAGGATTAGGTAAGCTAAACCTAATCAAGGAAAGCCTACAACATTGATATAAGGAAAATTCGAGAATTGAAGTCACAAGATTGAATCTACGAATCAACTTTACAGCTCTGTGTCGAGAATCTTCTATTTGAGATTGCGTGGATGGGATTCTCAAGCATAAATAGTGTCCAACAATCCCCTCAAGATGTAGATAGAAGAGTGGGCAGAATAAGGTCAATATCAATATTTCCACTATAAAGATATCTTTGAGTATTAAGCTTAACTGAGTTTGTGCTAGTGCACTGCAAGTTCCGATACGTATATATGTAGTTAGCCACTCCCCGTCCCCCTTACTCTTGGGGGGCAGTCATCAATATCAGGAATTCCATACCATATTGATCAGGCTCGTCAGCTCGTCGGAATAGCTGTTCTACGTGACTAGTGCTAGCGACCTAGACGTAGATAAACCGACATATAGATATAGGAAAGAAGTCTTCAATGCCAAAGCAGAAGCTGCTCTAGCTGGCGCTCGGGCAGCTATAGTATACCTAATAGCTCGATATGCTACCAACCTATAGATCTGCCTTGACAACCTGGAAGTTGCCACACGCCTCCTATCTCCATCCACAGGATCTTTCTAAGGAGTCTTTGAATCCTTCTACACTCTTATAGCTGCCTCGCCACTCCATGAAAGGCTTCCGCACACCAAAAATGGATTTATCCGAATCCAATGGGTCCCCGGACATGCCAAAATCCCCAAAAATGAAGCGGCTGACCTTGCTGCCAAAGAGGGAGCCATCTCAACCTCTCTCCCTCCATATAAGTCCTCATATGCCTCGCTAAAGAGACATGCCAAGGATCAATCCCTATCTGCTGCTCGGTCACAATGGCAGAAGGTGGCACTATAGAGATATTAAGATCTAGAAATAACTACTTCCCCCAAGCGCCCTAGGGAGCTTCAACTCAACCAACCTGACCTTAGCCATATTATTGTGGCCTGTACTGATTATGGAGACTTTCTAGACTACTATGAGTATTTCAACCATAATGATGCTTATTTTCTCTACTGATGCGGAGCATGAAAAGCACCTCTGCACTTCTTCTTCTGTCATATAGCTAAGCTAAGAGATGAGCCCCTCGTCCTCCTAGGCCCCCTTCTGAAGTCATCTCTTTTCTTCTAGGTACTGTGAAAGGAACACAAAAACTAGCCACATGGCTAGCAGAGACCTGTTTCTTTGAGGACATCTGTCCTTGCCAACCTCTCCTTAGTACCTAGCTAAGTCAACCCTACTTTCCCCTCATATCTCTCTTTTCCTTCTTTCTTTCTTTCTTTCTTTCCCTTCTTTCTCTTAAAACTCACTGCTCAATTACTATGGTGGTAGAATTATGGGTTATGGAGCGTAAGTGGACCATTGCAGCTGGCAAATACCCAAAACCCACTCAGAAGTGGACCTCCCTGTAAGACCACGGCAGCTATGGAAATGCGCCAAAGAGTCTCTTATTTGTATATAAATCCGATAGGACCTGAAGCCCGAGATTTACCCCTCGGCGGCCTATGTCTCAGTAGGAATCGGTGGGAAGCGTGCGAGCCACGAACCACGGCCGTTAAATAGACACACACACACACACCCCCCCCCCCCCCCTGTTCCTAGCTTTTTCTTTTTTTCTCCATGTTTGGTTTTCTTGTGCTTGGCTTCCAATATGACTATTGAATGAGCCCTCACATATGAGATGAGTATTAATAAGCTTACAATTGCAAAGAAGGAACTCCATGATCTACAGGCTGCACATGAGAAGAAGTAAAACCGCCGAAAATCTACAAAGCAAATATCACATGATCATTGAATTACCAGAGAGGAAGCTCAGGCACTTGTACAATGTCAGATTGAGGCATCTCAAGCTGTTACTACTGCTCCAGCCGAGCCGAGCTCCCAGGCTCTCATCCACCTGTACGGCGTCAATTTCGCTGCAGGAGTTGCGGTATTGAAGGACATAAAATAGCCGGATGTCCTAATTGTACTAGTAGTTAATTCCTTTGTATATAATTTGTATGTGGTTAGAAATTGAGATTTGAAATCAATATAGAGCGCGTTTTCGGGAAAAGTGGCCAACTCGCTTGTGGATTACGTTAGTCACAGTTTCAATTGTATCAGGTTTTCGTTATATCAAGCGGATTATCAGATCAATTTCTTCTGGTCAGTGGAAATTATTGGTACTGCTGTAGTACATTTAGGGCTAAACTTCCAAAATGGAAGGTACTTGAAATTCCTCAATCATAGCATTCTACGATTATTAATATCTGGTCAGTGACAATAAACTGGCCTTGATAGACATAATTTAAATATTGAATGATGTAAGACTCAATGTGAGGTGGGTTTACGCGAAGTTCGAAATGAATTGACAAAATCTCACTCTCGTTGTATCATTGTACTAGTATACCTAGGCCGATATGTTGCACCGAACTTATGCTCATGGGTTATTGACCCCTTTGCAAGTCGAATGACTCTTTAGAACACGGAGGCATAGTAGTTTAATTTTTGTTCTAGGTCATATTTCTTCTTGAGGGCTGCCAGTTTCTGCAGTCTCCATGGCCCAAACCCATACATATTTTCGCGCGTCTCGCCGCCAGATGCGTAGTTAACATATGTGTGCAACTCTTTCTGACCGCGAGCAGCAATTATGGTCTGACGTAGTTTCTCTCCAAATGCATTTGCTTTTGCGTCTAGTTCTGGATTATTGGCTTTGTTATCGTAGGTTACCACAGGAGCAATAATTATATTATCATCGCGATGTGGGAAGGCACTAGATTCGCTGGGAACCAACTTGACCCCGTGAACAGAGTAACCTTCAAACATAATGTATGAATTTCTGAACCCTGGCGTCTCAGACATCTCTTTAGCAAAGACATCGTATACTTTGCGTTGAGACTGAAGGTTGTAATTCTGGATATTGACAGGGAATCGGATCACACTTAGTCCTATCTTTATGGTAGATGCTTGATCTCAATATCCCTTTTCCTTGATCTGTCCCACGCTCCAATAACTTCTAGCCTTAAATAACAAAGATCAAATACGCAAACGCAAATCAAATTACTTTTTTTAGCATACTCTGGTGGACATGGAGCCATTGCAGGACTGGCCAGTATTCAAAAAGGCATTCAAATCAGTCTGGCCAAGTTGGACTCTGTGGAATTTTCAGAAACAAGAACAACGGCTACCTTTGGTATCGTGACGTCAATCACAATGATATACGATGCACCAAAAGACAGTATCTGGTCCTTTGAGAGCTACGTGTATACTCAAGACAAAGTGAAGGGCTTATACGAAAGAATCAGTACACTGTGGCCTGACGGAAGTCATGTAACAACCAACATGCTTGTCCAATCTCTTAGGGATTAGGGTTGGTTTGATACGAGGACAAACTCAACGGAGAGTGGCAAAAGTGTGGATACTTCAGCTGGCTATGGACAACTTTCAGCTGGCTGTGGTCAATGATGTTTGCCACGAAACAACATCGATGTCTCTTATATAGAATGCATGCTGCGGAAGCAGGAGAGATAGGTTTCAGTACATTGACATTCCATACCCTACCTTGTGTGCTTAGCCTTCAGTGATTCCTCTCGAACGTAATTATATATATATATCCCTTGTAACGTTGTTACAAGTCAGCCCAGCGGTTTGATCAACTTTTCGGTCCTTATGCGCAACCCAGCAGTTGACCCAAAAAGGTATGCTCTCTTCTTTGAACTCTTGCTATTTCCAATCTTAACCTAATTATGCTGAAGCTAAGCTCCATTGTTTACAGCCTATACACATCTTCTTCATTGTCCAAAACGACTGTCAAACACGTCGAGTCCATCTATACACAGGCTTTCTGTTTCTACCACCACTGTAGTTCTCAAGTTTACGCGTAGAGCCTGTTCAGGAACAACCGTGCTGTATATGAAGATAGATTGAGGTAGACTGTTCGTAAGAACCCTGCGCCATAAAGGACTGCGCGAGAGTAAAAAGTGTCAATTCATGTCTTTAGATGGGAAACCCAGTCAGCAATTATTTTTGTTGTTTTAGCGAAAAAACCTAGTCCCTCACCAAGCGGACGTTCGATTCTTGAAATTAAATCCAAAGACGATCCGCCCGCAACCCGCTACGTGTAGATAGACTATCTTCTGTTCAACCCTAGCTCCTCAATAAAAATATCAGCAGCCCTTTCGCCCACCGCCAACGCCGTATTGTTGGTATTCGCAGCAACATTGCGTGGTAAAATACTTAAATCTGCGATCCTTAGTGCCTCAACTCCATACACCCTGAGTTTGCCGTCTACCACACCGTTGTTCGCCAGAGGCGCTATTTTGCATGTCCCCACAGAATGCCACGTAGTACCGACGTTCTCACGTAACCATTGTGCGAGAATGTCGTCGTCGTCGGCTGTGTATTCGATATCTCCTTGAATAGTAGCATGATCGTAGTCATTTACGCGCTCGAAGCATGCAGCTTTCGATGAAGACGGAAATGGCGGGTGTCCAGAGACAACCTCGCCGCGATAGGTATGCATGCGCCGGGCGATCTCACGCTGCTTTTTGTATGCCCACATGTGCTTTTTGAGGTCAATATCACCGGGGTCAGAAAAGAAGCCGGTTGAAAAGTCGAGGGGGTCGCTTGGCGAAGGTCCTGTTATGTGTAGGTGTCCGCGCGAGTATGGGTAGACGGTGAAGACGGAGATTCCTAGGTATTGTCCGGCTGGGACGGTGGATGGGTCGCCGGGGAAGCTGTACGTGTCAGTCCCACAGGTCTATGTATAGCCATTGGTGTATAATGACTGGCGTATCGAGTGAGTAATGGATTTGTATACTTACCCATTGATAAGTGACATTAACACCAATGGCTTATTCGGATTTTTCTTAAAATCACGGTTCCAAGTTTTCTCGAATTCGGGTCCGAGGCGCGCTATATCGGTCTCTGATGGGCGTAGCTTGCAGGCAATGTCCATGGTGTTCCAGCCCAAGATTTTATCATTGTTTCTGACAAGCTCTTCAACACTACGGCGACCGCTGACGACTGCGTCGATCGTTTCTTCTACATCCAAGCTGCTTTTGTAAGGGTACGTAAGTAGTTGATGATCTTCGTATTCGTAGCCAACTCCAGGTACTTCTGCCACGAGTGGAATGCCTGCGCGTTGCAGGATTTCGGGGCTTCCTATTCCGGATCTTTCGAGGACAGATGGAGTTCCGCAGGCGCCGCAGGAAACAATCACTAGTTTCCTTGCTTTGACTCTTTGAACAGGAGGACCTGATTTGTTTGATTCGTCGTTTTCTGGAGAGTCGGTTTTGGGCAGATACTCGACTCCAACAGCTTTTTTATTACCATTGTCAAACAACACACGCACGACCTTGCTTTCTATAAGAACATGCAGGTTCGGATGCTTCCCATTCTGCAGTCTAGGTAGTAAGTATTTGGTCGCTGCATCTTGTCGTTTCCCATCAGGCGAAATATAGCGCATTGCTCGCTGAACGCCATTGTTGGAGTCCAGATCCTGCAAATCTTCGATCTCGGTCCAGCCAACTTTCTTAGCTGCGCTGATAAAATCATTTTCTGACTTCAGGGCTCGATATGTCCCACCCGATACATGAATTGGCCCATTGGAGCCATGCGTGTCTTTTGCGCCGGGACCGTGATATGTCTCCAGCTACGGAACTGCTTAGCCAAAAAACCACAGAAGATTATTGATGAGATGACTAGGAAAACACCTTTCGAAGATACGGCAGCATCTCCTCTGCTGACCAACCGGGCATCTGCCACGAGTCAAAGTCGGATCGTTGTGCGCGACTATACATCATCAGGTTCGTCGATGAGCCGCCTCCGAGAACACCTCCCGAGGGAACAATCAATTCTCTGTCACCAAGTTGTTTTTCTTTGTTCGTCTTGTAGAGAATGTTCGTTGTGCTGGTTGGCATCAAGTTGGCCAGGAAAAGAGCCGGCACAGAAACCAGTGGTATATCATTGTTTGCGCCGCCTTCGATGACCAGGATCGAGAGTGCTGGGTCTGCTTCTGCCAGTCTTGCGGCTACGACACAGCCTGTCGTACCGCCTGAAGTTGGAGGGGTTAGTTATTATTTCAAAGTCAAGATACTGAGTACAGACCGCCTGCAATGATTACATCTACCTCGTTCAAGTCGTCAGGCAGTGCAGTGTATATCGCCATTGCGAATGTAGAATGAATCGTGTGCAGTAATACTCGTTAATTCAGAAGACAGTATACATGCATATAATGTACATAGGTGTAAGATCAGGAAGGATGAGAAGCATTTGTTAAAAGGTATCTGAAATTTTTTGTTTCTGGGTTGTGTGACGTTGAGACTTTATTGGAGAGCAAGTATCCCCTTGGCTGGCAGCGCTTGTCTGTTTGGCGGTAATTTTGAATGGAAAGCTTTTATTGGCCAGGGACCCTTCACCGCGTTCCTACATTTGAGGAATAGTGTGGTCATCTCCAATTCCCACGCACCCTCATTCTACATTAACTAGATCGCGCTTTAGTCGTGTATTTGTTGACGTCTTTACATATCATGGACTTATGGGGCTTACCCCTAGGAGACGCTGAAGAGCCTCTATTTCATAGCTCTTCTGTAGCTCCGTCAAGCGCCTCTATTACTCCTCCTACTTCTCCTATCAAGAAGGAAGAAGGGAAACTAAATTTGACAGAGATACTACGCGAGATACCTCGTTATCAGGATGTTAAATTTGAGCCTCTTGAGATGGCTGAGTCTTTCTTTCCAACGGTACAATTACCACCTGAGGCAGAAATCGAGAGCTCGTACAGCTTATTTTCTCTATTTATCTCTGATGAACTGGTTACGGTATTGTCGTCGAATACCAACTAGTACGCAAAAGCTAAGAATTCAGGACAGTCTGAACGAGATTAGCATGAAATGACTCCCTCTGAGATTAAGATCTTTCTTGCTATTCTTATCTATATGGGAGTTCACATCTCCCCTAGAGATGAGGACTACTGGCAGACTACCGAGCCACTTCATATACCACGACGTTTCATGGGTTTACAGCGATTTCAGCAGATCAAACGATTCTTCCACGTTGCAGACCCTAGGCCAGAAGCTGCTATACAAGAGGCCATAAGGCTAATAAAGCCCAATCAGATGTCGTGGTATAAACTAGAGCTGTTTGCATCTAGACTTCGTGCAGCTTGTCTACAGTATTGGAAGCCCTCAAATGCAGTCTCTATAGATGAGACGATGGCCAATCAAGCAGGGTTACAAGCTCTTTGCCATTGCCGATCAAGGCTATATCTTATACTAGATATGGGCAAGCCATCACAAGTCTCTTGTTAAGGTTAAGAAGCATGAGAATTTGACTCTTACTAGGTCCACGGTTGTTCAACTGGCACAAGAAGGCCTATCATCACAGTGCAATAACTATACAATCTATATGGACAATTACTTCTCCGCTATTCCTTTGTTTGACCATCTCCGACAGCTAGGGATTGGTGCTTGTGGAACTACGCGACCAAACGCATCAAAAAAGCTATTTCCAAAGGCTCTTCGTGTACTAAAGGAGCCCAAAAAGCTCCAATAGTGGAATACTTTATATGCTGCCCCTGCAAGTGTTGATTTAAATGTTGACTCTGTGCTCTGCATTGCATGGCAAGATAATAATATTGTAACAGCATTATCTAATGTACATACTGTACACCGGCCCCAGTGATTGGGTTCCTCGCTTACGAAAACGTCCAGCCAAGTCATTTACCAGTGCAAAGAACGCCCGCGAGCCATTTGGTGATCAACTACTAAGGAGCTTCCAATACCACGGATTATTGATGACCATAACTATCATATGGGTAATGTGGATCGAGCAAATCAATTACGAGCGAGCTATGAAACTCATGAGAGATCTTTGCGCTCATGGTGGCCTATATTCTTTTGGACCCTTGATGTGGCTATTATCAATGCCTATTGCATTGCAAAATTAGCCTGCAGAGAACAAGGCATGAAAGAGATCTCACACCTTCAATTCTGGAGGACTCTATAAAGAGCTTTTCAAGCAAGGATCAGAAGAATTACTTTTAAGAAAACGAAAAAATAACATGATTCAGCCATTAGATGAAGGTGACCATGAGCCTGAGAGTATACATCCTCGTAAATGGTGCCATTCATGTGCCATTGAGGTCCAGAGAGCGAAGGTTCGAGGTCTTACTGTTCCAAAGCAATTTCAAATGGCTTTTTGCTGCGAGACCTGCAAAGTTCCCTCATGCAGGCCTGATTTAAGATTATGCTGGGCTAGCTTCCATACTCCAAGGCCTCCATTAGCTGAGGAAGACGTAAATTGCTTGTAGATAGATTAATTTTTTATGATTTAGGGTAACTCTAAGGATGCGTGGTTTTAATAGGAACGGCCGTGTCTTTTGCGGCAGAAAAATGACGCTAAACAGACAAGGACAAGCGCGTGCCAGCCAAGAGGATACGGTATTCTTTTTGTCAACTGTTTGTATAGTACCTCTATAGTTGATAGCCTAATAACAATGATGTTGATTAATTCCCGCGCAAGGATTCCCTAACAAATGAACAAAGGGTGGGAGGGGCGCAACCCCGGTTTTCTTTCGAATTCAAGAGCAACCGGCATTTGGCAGGGATCCAGGATGGGTGTTCCGTTTGTTCCATTTTTTCAGCCCATATACGTCAATAATCATATATATGCATGCATGGGGTGGTGGTTTGATTGTCCTATTTCTCGTACTGACTAGCTGCATACAACGCTCTCCGAATTGCGTGGACTGCCTGAGTCATGTGTTCCCCCCGAGGAAGTTCATGCGTTCCATCGTGTATGACGATCAATCTTTGAGCAGGATCACATAGCTTGCTCAGATCCGCGCCACCGGTGGGCGCTGTCTGGTCGTTAGCTCCCCATATATGCACCGTGGGAAGTCGGATGGTCAGATGACCACCTTCATCATTATCATCGCTATGAAGCCAGCCTAGGTAGTTCATTTCAGCGGCACTTAATGCGCTAGACAAGAAAATGCCGCATTTGAAAGGAGGGGTATCATGGCCCTGCTGCTGTTGTTTCTGCAGGATGTATGAGGCTGCCAGCACTGCCCCGGCTGAAAATCCCATGACCACATCGAACGGCCCCTCGGCGGTGATGTATTCATCTAATTGCGCAATTGTGACTTGGAGAGTAGATAATTCTTCTGGATTGTAGAATGCGTAGAAGGACTGATCTGGCGTAGAGAATGTTTCGATACCTGTTGTTGTTATTGTTGTTGTTGGCGAATTGTCGCTTTGTCTTGGAAATAGAATTGAAGAGACTGATTAACACAGTATATAGGCATACCTTGAGACATTGTCGCAGGTATAGCAGCCTCTACAAACTCGTATTCGTGTCCATCCTCCAGTTCATACCGCAGCGACGCTGTTTATCATAGTCATCAGCTTTAGGGGTTTTGAATTGGAGAATCAATAAAGAATCCAATTTGATTACCGGTTTGCATCCGCATAATCTAGTGGACATCTCATTTTCATATCAGTTCAACTGGGCCTGAATATGAAGGATTGAATGTGAACCTACGTTGCTGTTTGTTCCATTTCCATGGAGACAAAGAAATTTCATGGTGAGGAATGATATTGAATAAGCTACCCCCGTAGAAGTAATGCTGTAATAGGTTACTTTTCTTTCCTATAGGAGTAGGGGAAAGTCCAGATGGGATGGGAGATTAATTACGGGAGGATTGATGCGGTATATAGCGTTCCAACTGTCCTCAAAATCTCACCATAGGATATTTAGTTGGCTTCTGTTTGTCAAAATTATGATTAATTATAAATCCAATTCTTTATGGCAAACATATTCAAATACTTTGAATCTATTTTGGTATATCAATATCGTGGATCATCGAGATTCGAACGTCAACTTCCTCCGTTCCAGGAAAATGGACGTAACAAGACCCAGAGCAGCGCCCGAAACGTTAAGGTAGAAGATCTTCCCCACGGTGCGAGCAATAGTTTCTAGAATGTGAAGACGAATGTCTGAACTAAAGCTTTTGAAGAAGTTTGTCTTCGCCCCATCGATGGTGTCCTGAATCATACGGCGAGACACTCCAGGTAACAAAGTAGCGATTTCGTCCGTGGCGAGATTTAGGAATATACTGCTGGAGACGCCTAGTGACAGGGCAAGCCCAGCCATCTGAGCGCAGGACATGAACCCAGTTACTTCAGATGCAGAGGCGCGGTCTGCTTTATCGTAGCCTACAGTGTAGCCAAGCTGCATCACTGGGCCGCACCCTATACCTTGAATAACAGTACAGCCACATATAGCTCCCCGAGACGTCTTATAGTTCAGGGTCAACAGCAGGCCGTTTCCGACGAGCATAAGCGCGCTGGAAGCAAAGAACCAAAATTTATAAACAGGGAACTTTGCAAAGACAGGGCCGAATATTGCAGCGCTGGCGACAGCAGCAACAATAAAGGGTATTGTATAAACGGCTGCCCGTAAAGAAGAGTCACCGAATGTGAATTGAAAGAAAAGAGGCAACGAGTAGATAGTGACAACAACATTTCCAATAGCAATCGACGTCCAGATGAACAGGATTACCATTTCCCAGTCGCCGACAAACTTTATGGGAAATATTCCGTCGGTGGTAAGGAAACCGAATCGCTGCTGAATGCAAAAAGATGCCCAAATCACAGCTGTTATTACGTAAAGAGCGATCATTGGACCACTCTGGTAGTCATATAGTACCCCTCCAGAACCCAGAATAATGACTAGAGACACGACGCCTCCCAAAAAAAGCAATGCGCCAGCAAAATCGATGCATTTGATACGCTCCAATACAGTTCGTCGGATTGGAGATGTTGTAGTTGGGATCAAGAATATGCATGCCGGAGCAGCTAGTGCAGCTATAAAAATGTTAATGTAGAATGCCCATCTCCAAGTCGCCTTGGAATCAGCAAGTGCGCCGCCAATGACTGGACCTAGAACGGTTCCTAAACTCCATGCTATGCCAACATGATTGAGATACTGATTGCGCTCCGCAAGAACCGTCATAGCAGATATTATATTGATTGTGCCAACATATATGCCCGAACCCCCTAGACCTGCAATAGCTCTACCCACAATTATCGACTGTATTGAACGTGCCGATCCCACAACAACAGAGCCGATTTCGAATATCAGAATAGCTGCCAGATACAGAAATTTGCTGTTGAATGATTTATTCAAATTCCCCCTAGGTATTGTTAGTGACACGTCAGAAAGAACCAGAGATGGGTTGCCAGCTTCACTGTGAACAAGGCATAACACGTACCACAGCGGATTGAAACCGACTTCACCCATAGGATATGAAATTGACAGCCAAGGAAGCATATCGATGCGATCGAAAGTCGCAATGATGTTGGGTCTGACATTGGCCATGATGGTGTTATCGAGAGCATACAGAAAAGTCGAGGAGAGTACGGCCAAAACAACAACCGCCCATGAGATACCAGTCACCCTACGGTCATCTGAGACCTCACTATCGATATTTTGAAGTGATTCTTGATCGCATTTCCGAGCAATCAGTTCACATTCTAGCTTGGGCCTTCCATGTGCGTTTTTCACACCCAGAAATCCCGTAGATTCAGGAGACCCTATTCTTGAATGCATACCTTTTATTGTTGGCCTTGAAGAGACAGACAGGCTGCAAAGCAGTCTACCGTTTAGGCGGACGAAGTCTCTAAGTGTTTTTGATAGAAACTATTGAGCCAAAAATCTTTTCGTGAATGAGGAAGTGGGTCGGGATTGGATAAGAAATGGACGATTGACGCAACGTAATTCAAGAAGAGGTACTAGTTTAACTATTGCTAGCCAGATGATTTGAAAGAAATAGTCGCAATATCCTGGTCGGTTTTTAGGGGGAAAAAAGCATGGGAAGGCTACCTTCCACAAAAATGCCATCGATTGCGGAGAATCTGAAAATAGCTGGTTGTCATCTAATTGTTTTCATTAAAAGGAGGGGTTTCATACAATATCTTCCACAAACGCTGGCAAGTATGATTACAGTCAATTATACTACATGTATGTAGCATCCCTGCGTGTTCCGATGCAGAGATTGGGCTAGGAAACGGACATAGAATAGACTGTGTGATAAAACTGCACGGGCTACATTAATCTGCCGGGATCATGGTGCTCTGGTGACACCTCCATAGGCTTTTAATGAGCTGTATCACTATCCTATGCATCGGCCAGTATTCGCATAGACAGGATACGTTATCTGGCTTTCTCAGTAGCCTTCCCAATCAGGACATATTACACCCTTGTCGGTATTCTCTGGTAACAAGTGTGTACTGTAATGCGCCTAGCCATGCATCTCCTGTTCCTCTTCCGATGTTATGATTTACCTGACTCTGCTGCATTCAATATATGCCGGCCGACAGATACACCTCAATTTTGAGCTCTGGGAAAAGAAAAGCCGAAGCTGAAGCAGTTACTAGTCCGAACAAGCCATCGAAATAATCATCGAATCCCGAATGTATAGCCGTGATATAATGCTGACAGGTCCTATTTCTCGCATGAAACTAGCACGGAATGGCCAGATATTCCTGCTGAGTTCCACGTAATACATTTCGCCATGCATATTGGTTGTGTGTATTAGACTAGGTCCAATTCAAAATATAACCTACGTTGGATTTTTCATGTAGTATCAATTGGTGTTAGTGACCTTTCTCCAATCTTCGTGTGTCATTGCACCCACGAAAATCAGGACTATGTTTTCAGAACCACATTTCTAGAAGAGAAGACGAGGGTGTGCATGGAATTTACGCAATCTTGATCTTGGGGGCTATTTGCCTTCTGTGGTTTCGCCGCCTTAAGCGTAATGTAGAGTGGAGAGCAGAAGATTTAAATGATGATCTAACCGAATTGCAATCCGACAGCCTAGTTCCGATTTCTCTAAATCATGATATGAAAGCTTAGAATCAGATACCCTGGGTAGGATAGTACCGTCTTCCCATACCTGCGATTTGTTTCAATCTACGGGAACGCTCTCAACTCGTATCAGCAACCCTACTCCGACTTTTGGTGTTGAATCCATGGAATACTTTCATCATGTCCTCTGACCCGGGCCTTGAGCAAGAAGACCGCGGCCCACCATTCAAAGCTTTCCTCATCTGTCTGACCATTATCGACTTAATGGCCGTAATATTGCGCTTCTGGTCACGCAGTCTTCTTCAAACATCGGGAAAAAAATACCAGAGGCGGTTTTGGTGGGATGACTGGGTTGCTTTGGCGTCTTTGGTGCGTTCTAATTATTCTACCATTCTAAAACTGAAAAACTCTCATCACGATTTTCACTTCTGACTGCTTCTCTATAGCCCTTTGTACTTTCACAGTTCGGCCTAGAATATGCCATGCTTCACCTGGGGTTAGGCCGTCACATTCAAGCATTGCCGCCGGAAAATACCTTAATTGTTGGATGCGAGGATGCAGTCGAGATCTGGATAATGTTGGAAATAAAATCACGTGTCTAGCAAAATACAGAAGTCGAACTACGGAACGGTTCGCAAATACCTCAAAAATACCAAATTCCCTTTAAGGGCGTCCTTTTTGGTGAAACGGTATTACGTTTTAGTTCCGACAGTTATGAGCCTGGTTAGGTCTAGACAGATCTATGAGTGCTATGAGTTCGAATCCAGCCTTGAGCAGAATAAAAGACCAAAAAAGGTTTAGGGCCGGCCTATAAAGAGTGGTCAGAATAAAAGCTCGGGAATAAGGCGGATTAAGGTAATTTATTAGTCAGTCCCGTAATCTGGTCAGATTCCAGAACTGAGAGGGATGTGTTGGAAATAAAATCACGTGTCTAGCAAAATACAGAAGTCGAACTACGGAACGGTTCGCAAATACCTCAAAAATACCAAATTCCCTTTAAGGGCGTCCTTTTTGGTGAAACGGTATTACGTTTTAGTTCCGACAGATAACTGACATCACGTGATTGAAATCACGTGATGAAGGCTACACCAGGAATCCCTTACGCGTCGGGGTCAAAGATAGAAAAGACAGACAACTTAAGACTACCCAATTGAACCCATATTCCAAGTTAGGAAGCCTATCGTACTAGTACTAGTGCAGATGCACCCACACTGATCAGTCTTGGTTGCAGAACTAAGACAGATTGGCAAGGTATCAGACCCCTGCGCTGTAGCCACCTGTGGTTATAGGTAGTAAGGCCTGACTCCAGGATTTATATTGTCTCATCGCGAGGAACCGAATCCACGTGGAAGAGACGGACTTTGCAGTGTCACCTGTGACAAACTAAGTCTGTGCTAAAAGCCTCTCTCCTCTCAGAGCGAGACCCAGAGAGACTGTATTTGGGACAGTTCGTCAAAACACCGACATTCCATAATACCGCCCTATCGCGAGACCACGCTGTTGACGCGTTTGAAAGTTAACAACACCAAACTAACAAGAAGAGACACCCTGTTGGTCAGTTCTTTGAAATTAATAAGCACCAATGTCTCATTCAAATCATCAAGACTAAGAAAATCCAGATGAGAATCAGTCACTCAACAGTTATCAGACTAGCCCTGCTATGGAGCTACCAGACGACAAATTCATAACGGAAATTGGATTTAATAATTAAGCTGGTAAAAATCAAGTCAACATGGCGAATTGGCTCTACAACGCCGTGCCCGGTAACGACGAGAAGAAGTTATCCACGTATACAATTCAGGTCATGTACGAGGCTGCAAGTGGCCTCTAGGTCGACTTTGAGATGTTCCAATAGTTCCATGACTTCTTTGAGGATTGGAAGATTAAGGACTTCAACCATCTAGATAAGACAACAAGAACCAAGTTGAAGGACTTCCTTTTATGGCGTGGCGTGTATGTTGACCACACAAATAGGAAAACCATCCCAATAGCGTTGATGGAATTATTAGAGATAGAAGACCCTCTTGAATAGCCTGAGAAGGCTCTACAAAAGAGGACTTTCCACCCTTGGTCAAAGATAGCCTCACGACATCATGAACAGACAGCAACCACCTATATCAAGGAGTCAAGGATTGTCAATGATACCCACATGGTGCCATCTATCGAAGAAGAAGACAAGGGTATTCATAAAGAAACACCTTCTAAGGTGCCAAATCAGGTGATTCAAGACCATGTTCAATTGCTATTAAGATTAGTACAAGACATCTCAAGATTTACATCTGAAACAGGTGCAAATACAATACCAGTCATGACACCAAGTCACAGCCAAGTCAAGATATCCGTAATACCTACCTCTTCAGTGCCACTCCAAGCAAGATCATTAGATCTGTACATCAAGGTGCTACCCAACGAATATGGACGTCAACCTGTTGATTCTCAGTTAGCCATGAAGTTCACCAAAGCATGGGATAAGACAAAGAATTATTCAGGAGAGCTTTACAATATCCTAGATGACAAAGTTCGAATCTTCTTACAACTATGCTGGTTGACAGAAATCCAGTTGAGTCAATGCTGGGCCGTCTTTCCCGAGATGCTTTCTGGCAGAGCAGAAACTTATTATATGCACCACGTCAATCCTGATGCATCATTTGCACAGATGTATTGGGCAATAAAGAGCTACTTTGACACAGAGTCAAATCACACTCTCTACTACCAGGATTGGACGTCGATCACCCTGGTCGACGTGCGTTGTGAGAACACAGGGAAGACACTGCCAGAAGCAGTAGAAATCTTAGTAGAAAAACTGCATCTATGCCAACATGCGTTAAGACCGCATTATATGTCCCCTAAACATCTTATATCAGCCATCATAAGGGCATGTCAAGGATCGCTAGAAATAAGCGAGGTCCTCAGTGAACCAACAACAAAGTTTGAAACACTGGTATCACGACTGTGTACAAGGGCTGCTATTATACAAAAGAAGGAAGCAGCTAGTCAATATCTTGCTAAATCTAATAATATGCCATCAACGCACTTCACTAACAGGAAGTACGTTGGAAAGACCAGTCGAGGGAATCGCCCGCCACATTAGAGATTGTGGCGATGCCAAAACCGTCAAGATAATAGCCCTTGACAACGACGTGACGGCTAATGTTGGATATATAATAAACCAGATTGTCAATCTTACAACCACTCAGAGAAGGAACAAAGTGAGGCGAGGGAGCAATTTGACAGGTATCGCTATGCTGAGGGCAAAGCCAATGCCTTGGACAAGACATATCGCGTGTTTCTAATGGACTTCGAAGCTGGTTATAATATCATATTGGACAGCGAGGACGAGGAAGAAGCCAACAATAATGACAAGGATAAAGCAATAGCATACTTTATAGTTGGACAACTGCAAGATTAGGCGTTCTTACACTGGATAATGGGCGAGGAGACTGAGCAAGATAACCCCCCTACCATTACTTCTCAATTTGTGATAGACCAACATAACAGTGAGATTTTTTATGGAATCTTACCTGACACAGGAGCAGCGAGAGTATCGATGATTGGAAGACGTTAACTCACCACTTTACAAAAGATCTATCCAGGGATTATAGTCGACGAATCTCATGCAGGAGAGCACTCAATTCGATTTGGTCAAGGGGATAGCGTCAACTCTGAGGGAGCTGTTACCATAAAGACCCCAATTAGTAATGTTGATTTCCATGTTATGAATATACCGACCTCATTCTTACTTTGCATTGCTGATATGGATTGCCACAAAGCTTATCTTGACAATATCACCAACTGCTTAGTCAAGGGAGACTTGAGAGTGCTAATTGTCCAGAAATAGAGACACCCTTGGCTCTTCCTAGATAATAATCATACACCAGTAACATTCTTAACAGAAGTAGAAATAAGATGCCTTCATCGACGATTTGGTCACCCAAGCGTTAACTGATTGTACAAACTCTTAGAGCAAGCCGGTCATGACGATGTTGACCATAAATCTCTTGCTAAGATCGAGAGGTATTGTCACCACTACCAAATGAATCAGCAGGCCCCTCGACGATTCAAATTTACGTTGACCGATGATCAAGAATTCAACTTTAAGATTGTCGTTGATGTCATGTATCTGGATGGCGAACCGGTCCTCCACGTCGTCGACTCAGCGACGTCCTTCCAAGCTGCCAAATTCTTGAAATCTCTGTCCGCTAAAGACACTTAGGAAGTAATCTGTATGACATGGATTGACACCTATCTTGGTCTACCAGATGTCATCTCGCACAATGCTGGAACTAACTTTACCGCTAATGAATTCAAAGTGGAGGCAATAATGATGGGAATTCGATGCCATTAAATGCCAGTTGAAGCACACTCCGGGATTGGAAAGGTTGAATGATATCATGCACCGCTATGCCATGCATTTAACATTATTTTAGCAGAGATAGGAAGCACTGTGAGCAAGGATGTGGTTCTGCAAATGGCTGTGAAAGCCATCAACAATATGGCAGGACCAGATAGAATTATGCCTACCATCCTAGTTTTTGGGGCATATCCATGCCTAACTTTAGATTCACTACCGTCTGCTCTGACGATTAGACGTGCCCAGGCGATGAAAAAAGCAATAACCGAATTAAGAAAGGCTGTGGCTGAGAGGAAAGTCAATGACGCGCTAAACACTAGGAATGGTCCGATAATCACAGAGACACTCAACCTCCCCCTAGGGGCCAATATCAAAGTTTGGCGAGAAGGCAAGGGTTGGACAGGCCTACATAAACTCATCTCAGTAAATGGTCATGACATAACAGTCAATCTTAGTAATAGTGCTGTCGCTTTCCGGGCAACATCAGTCCAGCAGTATCTCCAAGATCAAAGAGAGACAGATAATAGAATCCACGTCCCTGAACCACCCGTGACACCTCCACCTCCACGACGTCAAGGACGACCACGAGAATCCAAGAACAAGCAAAAAGCGGATGTCAACGTATACCTATCGAAGAAAGAGAAGGGCGACCTTAAACTCGCACTCAAATTGAGATGAGAAAAAAAGATTATGACAGAAGGTGCCCCATTCGAACTTTCAAGCGTTGCAGAGATCGATGGCCTGATTGCAAATGGGACGTTCAAAATCGTCCACCGAGACGATGTGAACCTCAGAGATCTCCACATTTTCAACTCCCGCTTAGTTAATGAGATCAAGGGGAAGAATGAGATCCCATATAAGAAATCACACCTAGTCATCCAAGGATATAATGACGCTGGGAAAGCTGGGATCCTGACCCAAGCGCCAATAATTCAATGGGCCAGCCAGAGACTGTTAATATCCCTTATCCCCACTTTGCTGAGTATGGATATGGTTGTGGAGATCCGTGATATCACACAAGTGTACACACAGGCCAAGACAAAGTTGCAACGTATTATTGTTACCAACCTGTCTAAAGAAATAAGGGGTAAATATCCACCAGGCTCACTACTGTTGGTAGAAGGAGCTTTGTATGGCATTCCTGAAGCTAGCGTTCATTGGTTTGGCACCTACCATGAGCATTATAAGGTGAAAATAGACATGGAGACTTCTACGTACGATCCATGTCTACTCGTGACAAAACCAGGCGCTGAGAGCTTTGGCCTGGTGGGCATGCAGACTGATGACATACTCATCATCGCAACAGAAAAGTTTGCCAGGGGTGAGGAGCGAGCACTACAGGAAGTGGGATTCAAAGCCAAACCCAAAACCCAATTATCGCAGGATACTCCTTTAGAATTCAATGGCGCAAGGATTATTTTAGAGTAGGACAACATCTTCATGCGGCAAAAAGGACAAGTAACAAAGATAGAGCTGGTTGGAATAATAGATCGCGCGCAGAAGTACATTGAGCAACGAGCACGAGGGGCTTACCTCGCGTCTATCTGCCAACCAGAGGCTTCTTATAATCTCGCCGTCGCGGCCCAGCTGCAGGAGAAGGATCGATCCGAAGACGACTATTTGGCATTGAATAAATGCCTTATATAGCAAGCTGAGAATCCCGAACGAGGTCTTAGATTCATCCCCCTCGATTTGATAAAGGCAAAGATCATAATCTTTACAGATGGATCCTTTGTGAATAACCGAGATTTGACTTCCCAGATTGGTTTTCTAATCGCTATGGTTAACGAAGACTTTTCTGAGGAAGGACGCTTTATTGCCACCGGTAACATAATCCATTGGGCTTTGTCAAAGTGCAAGCGTGTAACCCGGAGCGTTCTCGCCTCGGAGATCTATGGGTTAACAACTGGATTTGACCATGGAATTACATTGGCAAGTATCATCAAGATGATCATGGACCACCTCAATTTACCTACAATCCTAGTTGTGGTTTGCACCAATAGCTACTCGCTATATGAGTGCCTCGTCAAGTTAGGAACCACAAAGGAAAAGCGCCTCATAATCGACCTTATAGCGCTCCATCAGTCATACAAGAAACGGGAAATAGATGAAATCCGCTAGATCCATGGAGACAATAATCCCGCGGATGCTTTCACAAAGGCGAACCCAAATGGGGCCCTACGGGACTTCATTGACAAGAATAAGTTGACGATTTATGTGGAAGGATTTATGGAAAGGACCAAGCAGGATTAGGACAAGGTTGACGATTATTGACAGGGAGCCTGATTATTGGGATTTGCATGCTTTTATGAGAGTTGGGAGCTCGACTGCAATTCCATTTGTAAAAGAGATCCAGTGTTGGATGCGAGGATGCAGTCGAGATCTGGATAACTGACATCACGTGATTGAAATCACGTGATGAAGGCTACACCAGGAATCCCTTACGCGTCGGGGTCAAAGATAGAAAAGACAGACAACTTAAGACTACCCAATTGAACCCATATTCCAAGTTAGGAAGCCTATCGTACTAGTACTAGTGCAGATGCACCCACATTAATAATCTTGAAACTTATCTACACTATTTATTTCGTATACGATGCGGCGATATGTATAGCTAGAGCTTCCGCTCTACTATTCTATAATCGGGTCTTCACCAGAAGGGCAAACACAGCTGCGTTCAACGCTATATTGTGGGCACTGCACGCTCTTAATATCACTTGGTTTATTGGCATCGTCTTCGGTACCATATTCCTCTGCAAGCCGATCAACAAAAATTGGGACCCAGCGCTACCAGGGACATGTGGTCCAACAAGAGCACTGTGGATTGGTAGTGCGGTTCCCAGCGTGTCTATCGATCTGATAATCCTGATCCTTCCGCTACCAAAAATCTGGCATCTTCGAGAAACAAGCTTTAAACGAAAGGTGGGACTGATCGTTGTATTTATACTTGGTTACTGGTAAGCTTGAAATTTATATTCAATTTTCATACGACCTGAAACTATCAACTTAGAATGCTAATTCAAAACAATGATTTCATTTCGCAGTGTCGTCATTGTCTCACTTGGGCGTTTAATCAGCATCCTCATATCTGGGGACGCGTTGAACATCGACATCACATGTAAGATTCATCAAAACCCTAGCTGAAACTTGGAAAATACCCACCAAGACTGACAATCACTGCAGATGAGGGCATGCCCGTCGTTTACTGGATTACTGCAGAGGCTCCCATACTTCTACTGGGGATATGTGTTCCCGCCATGTTACCTCTTAGTCGTCATCTAACTGCTCACTACTTTGTTCCTTTAATGTCCAAATCGTCGTCAGTGCTGAAAACGTTTTCTAGTTCTGGCAGCAGCAAGATCAGGAGCACGAATGGAAGCTTTTCCCAGGGAACTTCTGCAAGCCACAAATTGTATTTACAGGCTGGGAATACGGGTACTCTGGCCTCCAGTGCTGAGGATATAGAGATGTCGAGCGACCATTCCATGAGCAGTCAGAGAGAGATATTCCGTACGGCACGTAAGCAAGAAGAGTACAGTGCAGCGTGTGAAGCAGGAAATTCTCGACCTGAAAAAGGATAAGAGGCCAAAACCTGGCATTCGAGTAGACAATGAGATTATCATTCGTCGACAGCCACTCTATTAGTGCTGAATAAGGCCATTGCATGATAGTGAAGGTGGAACTTATAAGTCTGATATGGCGGTATTTCAAATCATCTGCTATTGTATAGTCACCAAGCTATGGTGCTTTTTCTATTGGCAGGAGACTACTGTTTGTGTGCCAGAAACAGATCCTGTCTTTGTGGGATTTCCCCCAACTTGTACACAGATAGTTCTTTACTCAGTCAATTTTATAACTATTCTAGTGTAAATTTAGTCAGCCGTATTCCGTTTAATTGACCCTGTCTGGAAATTCAGTTTAACCACAAAATTGCACTACTGTGTCCTCATATGTAGCGATACAGTTCATTAAAGGGAAGAAGAGGTTGGCAAAGTCAATGTGCTTCTATACAAAAGTAACGTATCAAGACCAACGTCTATCCTCCCCGTTTACTTGCTCCAAAAGCGCAACCCAGCGATATCCACCGATCGTATGTATGATACCCACAACCTGGTCTTTGTCCAACTTTGAAATCACCTTCCGCCAATCTGATTCATTCAATAGACCGGTAAGTGTTGTTAGGATGCGTCCAAGGCTATATGCCATGGCCTCTTCCTCGTTCAGGCCATTGGGCACATTCCCGCCCAAGCCATGCTCATACTGCTCATCTGTGATCCCAACCTTGCTCGCAACACTGCGATGGCAGTAGACAACATAAGGTGCATCGAGAATAGATAACAAGCCCAGGATAGCAAGTTCTCGGTTACGAGGCTTTACGGAACCGTAGACAGCCCTAGCGACTTCAAAAAAACCTCGGACGACGGAGGGAGAATAGCTGGAAGATAAATCACCAACGAATGGTTCGATCAGACTTTTATTCTTTTTCGTTTCTAATTACATGGATAGAAAATCCGCTTACCTTAAGGGAGCATAACATCCCATTAGGGAGCTGCCATCATTTTTAATCCACTGGAACGGAGGTGGTCCATTATGCATGGCCATCAATGATTCCTCAATGATTTGATGTGTTGATACAGAAGGGGCATCTCTAATAGTGAACCGCGGTTCCATTGCCATGATCAAGGTGTTTTTTGTGTCTTAGAAATTGAACTCCAGACTACATGTAGCCCCCGCGACTATGAGAGCGTCAGGAGTTGCTGAGGGCGTAGCAGTCCCAAATACAACCTTCGTTATTGAAGCTTATGACCCACAGCTCATTTTGACACCAACCATGATCTGGTGTTTACATTGCACAAAGAGGAGGATACGCACATGTTTGTTTGGCCCCAGTAACGATGTGAGTTCCACAGGGAGCATCCCTCACTCTACTCTTTGCGAAAGCGGTTAATACTTTTGTTCCTTGCTTTCTTTTCTGTGGCACACCAATTAGGGATGGCTACTATGAGACTCTTAATGATGATGCAAGCTTTCGGAGGGTATTCATGAAGGGCCTAGCTATAAAACCGCATGGGTGCAGGCGATCGGCAAGCATAAGGGAGTTCGGCTGCATGCAGGTGGATAACAAAAATACCTCTATTGATACAAATTCCTGTATGCATATAGTTTATGTATGTTTCCAGCTGACCTCCCTCACAAAAATCCTGACAACAATGTGGATCAAGAGAGTAGTCGAAGTAGGTGGAGCTATAACCAGGCTTTTTTAGGCCTCCAACGTTCCTAGAACGGATGTCAAAGCAAGACATTTGGGGATGTAACCCTCAAATGGATAGTTTGCCACTTAAATTAACCGCTATCCAATAACTCGAAGATTTCCTCTCGTGGCTCATTCAAAATAACTGGCAAGTGATGAAAGCCATCTTACGGAAACTTCCCAGACAGGTGGGAGATGTTATATGAATAATAATCCTAGCACCTGGAGAATACATAAAAGCTATGGCCTTTAGACTACAGAATATATATCGTTTCCGCTTCGTAAAATAACATGGAAGTGCCCCTAAACACCGAGACATCCACAGTGTATTCCTGATAGGGGTGTACAGGCCGTTACTTGTCATGTCCGAATATATCAGTTGATCCAATGACTGCAGCTACCTTGGTCAAACTGACAAGAGACACGCCAAATTGACTGCAAAGTACTAGGGGTAGTTACTAATCATGTTTTTTTATGATGTAGGACGAACCCCGGAATAGTCGTTCTTCACCTCTCCACCATGACTTTATTATATCAATGCCACAATATCCCCAAAAACAAAGACCAGAGAGCAGTGCAACTGCCTTATTGCGTTGGTAGAATTCACCCCACCAAATGCTCTGCCTCCAATGTAAGAACGAGTATCGTACCATTCTCTCTTCCAATTCCGTCAAGGACATCTGCTGGTTGATATAATTGTTGATGAGCGATGCATGGAAAGCTGCTTGGGTACAACTGAAAGCCGTGTGTGGACGGCACAGAGATAAAGCATCTCCTGCTAGCAGCACTTGGCCATCCTCAAACGTAGCCCGTGGGGAGCAGAAATCTGTTATCACTTGAATGAAGGGCTGCTGAATCTTAAGTATGACTTCAAGGAATGGCGCAGCAAGCGGAAGATTTTTGGCCCGATCCAGGCGTGCATCCCAAATATCCTTTCGAACGTGTCCAGCTGGAACAATATATTGATGGCGATGTCCATTGAGATCATCCACCATTATTTCATCCAAAGCCTCAGTCGATTCGTTTGTGTACCAGAGAAAATTGAGGAATCTATTTCCCGGCTTTAGAGAGCCGTTTTGTCCAGGAATAATATACATCAAGCAATGATGTCGGTCCATCATGTGCACAGTCACGCTATGATCGAAAATCTTTCGTGTTGAAGCAGACACCTCGGATTCTGGTACCAATCCTCTCCAGGCAATGTATCCTGCGTATTGCCGATGAACACTGGGAGCGTATTTAGCACGGATCACAGAATTTGGTCCATCAGCACCAATAACGAAATCGGCTTCTTTTGTAGAGAGCTGTTGAATTTCATGATTTAGGATAGTTAAGACCATCTTGCCTTCGCCATTAGTGGCTCGAGAGATGTCAGAAACCTCACTACGGCATTTGTATGCAACACAGCCGTCTGTATTGATTGACTTTGGTAATGCCGGGTAGTATGAATTACTATATCCATCAAACAATGAACGTAGGCGGAAGTAGAAAGTATCCCAGTTTGTAATTTCACGGCGCGCTTTGAGGAAGGGTTTAATCCCGTTGTCTCTTGTCACAGCCTGGATGCTCGTGCAACTGTGGCAAAACACTGTTTCATGGCGGTCATGGTGTGTCAAAAAGACTGCAGCATCAAGTCCAAGGCAAACGCCCGCCATGTGGCTCTGGCGTTCATTGTCATCCTTCTCAATTATAGTTACTGTGTGCCCTGCATGCTTCAGCGCAACTCCACAGAGCAAGCCAGTCAAAGAGCCCCCGATCTGTTATTTGGATTAATTGATGCTCATTCTTCAATATTTTACCTGTAGACAACTCACTATGACTATCTCCAGAGGCTTTCTTGCCCACTCCATCTCTCAAAATACAGATGCCTGTCTCGGAAAGGATATACGGTTCGGCGCACCGAGATTGTAAGCATTTTAAAGGAGACGGAGAAAGCGCAAATTCTTAGGTCAGTCATCGTCATCCTTTAACAAGATCGAAGATTGATTGGTGAGCTTGGAATGTCCAATGAATGATATCAGCTTGCAGGTAGCCCTGTAGTATTGGGGTTTATATGATAGTGAGTATCATTCCCCCTGTGCCGCATGTCATGTTGGATCATCCAACCGGGTAGCAAGTTCCCAAAAAATCCGTCGTATAGCTGGAAGGTAATGCTTGTGACTTGGGCATACAAGAATCAATATACATACATATGCATACGAATTTATACGCCGATTAGACCTTAAGACGAGGCTGACTTGCGCGTGACAATACACTACCGAGCCGTATTGACCAGTTGAGTTAGTTTGTCTTTCCATCTTTTAAGAGGAAAGGCACTATTTCCAGTACAAGCGACTTGCAAGTTTTCTGAGCTTTCACCTCCCGGAGCTCCATGAGCATCGGTTAACTTAGTTGAATTTGATGGACATCTGAACTCTCCATCTAAATCGACACGAATTGTCTTTTACCTTTTAGTATGACGGCTACTTAAGTATAATTGTCTACATATCGTCCCGGAGTATACTAAATCAATTTTCAATCCCCTTGAATAAGAGGTCTCTCATTCAACCAGAGCGAGCCAACAAACATGAAAGAAGCTACCCCCCAGGTTGAAGACGCAAAAGGGTTAAACGGTAAGCTGGGGCCTGACTCGCAGGATACAATGGGACTTATTTCTCCAGGTAATCATGCTACCGATCCCGAGATAGACGGCAATGATCTTGACCCCATAGTGATCTGCGGGTTTTCGATTAAATTCCCCCAGGATGCGACTTCCCCCAATTCTTTCTGGGATATAATAATCAATAGGCGCTGTGCGATGACCGAATTCCCTGCAGACCGGCTCAATCCCGATGGCTTTTATCGCAAAACAAATCGGCTGAATGCAGTAAGTCTAACGAGCCAGTTTTTCGGTGTACGTGTCTGAAAGCCCAGAGTTATTGATTGTGGATAGTTGCATCTGAAAGGCGGACACTTCATCAAAGAGGACCTGTCAGTTTTTGATGCCGAGTTCTTCTCAATTTCGCCTACTGAGGCAGCCTCCATGGATCCCATACAGAGGTGGCTTCTCGAAACAGCCTATAGAGCTCTTGAGAATGGTGAGCCACAATAATGGAGCTTCTTTATGCCGCGAAGAGATAAAAGGCACTAACAAGAACTGAATGAGTAGCGGGCATTCCGATGGATAGCATTTCTGACTCTTTGACGGCCGTCTACGTTGGGTCTTTTACTATGGACTATATGCTGCAATTAGTTCGAGATCCAGAAACTCCCCCCGCATATGCGGCCATAGGGTTTGGCCTCAGTATGTTGGCAAATCGTCTCAGTTGGTTCTTCAACCTGCGTGGCCCAAGTATCGGTCTAGACTCGGCTTGTTCGAGCAGTGCAGTAGCCGTAGACATAGCTTGTCAGTCTCTGCAGAATCGCTCTTGCAATATGGTATTACACCCTGAGCCAGTCATCTAAATGTGGAACTTAACGAAACTTTGATATTTTAGGCAATTGTCGCGGGTTGTAATTTAGCCAATTGTCCTGAATCCTACATCTGGATGTCTAATCTTAATTTTCTATCTGCAGACAGTCGGTGCTATTCATTTGATCACCGAGCAAATGGGTATGCCCGAGGAGAAGGAGTTGGAGTGCTAATCTTGAAGAGATTATCGGATGCCATACGCGACGGGAATATCATCCGTGCGGTAATAAGGTCAACAGCTTCGAATGAAGACGGTCGAACCTCGGGAATAACGCAGCCTAATCGCAGAGCCCAGGAGCAATTGATTAGCCTAACATACCAGAAGGCAGCCTTATCCATGGCACATACTAGATTTTTTGAGGCTCACGGTACTGGTACACCAGTCGGTGATGTTTGCGAAGCGCAAGCAATTGGGTCTGTCTTCCAAACGTATCGTTCTTCACGAGACCCTCTATACGTGTATGTCTTTGAGATCCATATCTGGACTGACTTTGTTACTAACTGTGCCCAAAGAGGCTCTGTCAAGTCCAATATTGGCCACCTTGAAGGCGCCAGTGGATTGGCAGGTATTATTAAGACCGTTCTCGCTTTGGAGAAGGGTGTCATTCCCCCAAATGCCAATTTCGAGAATCCGAATCCAAAAATTGACGTAGAGTTTCTACGTCTCTGCGTAGGTTACTTCATATTTTAATAACAGCCATGGAAAGATGCGATTTCGAAATACTTACTTGCATATCTAGTTTCCCGAAAAGAGTTACGCATGGCCAAGCACAGGGCTCCGAAGAGCCTCTATCAACTCCTTTGGTTACGGAGGGTCAAACGCACATATTGTTTTAGACAACGCTTACAATTATTTACGTTTAAGATGTCTGCATGGAAAACATTGCACTAGGCCATTTCCGCCAAGAGATAATTCCTTTATTAACAGAGTTGATGAGACTTTGAAATCGGAAAATCAAACTATATTCCGCAAGGATAAACCCCCAAAATTACTCGTCTGGTCAGCTGCGGATAGGCATGGAATCAACAGGATCATTGAGGTTTACAGAAATTGGTATCAGGAAGAAATTTCGTCTCAGACAAGCAACTGCAATGATCTTTTAGAAGATCTAGCCTTCACACTTGGTGTCCATCGCAGCCATCTTCAGTGGAGATCGTTTGCTGTTTTAAAGTCATGTTTGGAGCTAAATGACTTACAGTCCAGCATATCTGCCCCGTTTCGAGTGCGTCCTGAAGCGCCCCGTGTTGGATTCGTTTTCAACGGTCAAGGTGGTCAATGGCCTGGGATGGGAAGAGAACTGATATGCTATGCATCGTTCAAAGAAGATATAATTCGAGCGGAAAAATGTCTAACAACATTGGGATGTACCTGGTCGTTAATGGGTAAGATACTCGGATGGAGTCGTTTTTCGATCAATCTGCTGAATTCTTGAAGATGAATTGCTCAAGTCAGAGGAAACTTCGAACATTGATCACGCAGAGTTTTCTCAAACTCTTTGCACGGTTCTGCAAATTGCGTTGGTAAACCTGTTACGAAGATTTCATGTTGAACCATGCGCAGTGGTTGGACACTCCTCAGGCGAAATCGCAGCATCGTAAGTTTCTACTATCTGTAGTCACCTAGCTCATCACTAAATTGATTATTTGAGTTTAGATATGCCGCGGGCTACTTGTCATATGAATCTGCATTGAAGATAGCCTATTTCCGGGGTCTTTGTTCTGCAGAGCTGGCAAAGTCTTCGAATCCTCGTACTCGTGGGGCGATGATGTCGATCGGATTATCAGAAGACGACGCCAGAGACATGATAGCAGTCTCAAATCAGGCAGCCAGTAATTTTGGAGTCTCGATTGCTTCTATAAACAGTCCCTGCAATGTGACGATTTCCGGGGAAGAGAAGCTTATAGACGAACTGAAAACAAAATTGGATAAGGAGAGGATCTTTGCGCGCAAGCTCCGTGTGCCATTGGCCTATCATTCGCGACAGATGAATGCCATGTCGTTCAAATTTACTTCTCTCATTGGCTCGCTGACGCTTTCAAGTAACGCTATTAACGTGATTCCCATGTTATCCACAGTTACAGGAGAGCGCTTAACTGCCAGTCATCTGAAAGAGCCCTCATACTGGGCGCTCAACATGGTATCACCTGTACGCTTTTCGCAGGCTGTAGAAAAAATGTGTTTCCAGTCTGGCTCGAATATTTCAAAGAAAATTGATATGTCTCATAAATGTGTTTCTGCAGTGAATCATATAATTGAGATAGGACCGCATGGGACTTTACAGGGGGCTATTCGACAGATTATCCAAGCTTTCCCACGTGAGAAGCGCATCGATTACAACTCAGTCTTAACAATGGGTCGCCCAGCTATGGATACCATGCTTGAAACAATGGGCAAGTTGCACACTATGGGAGTATGTTTGAGTCTGAGAGAAATCAACGAGCCTCAAGAAGAACAGAAGATGGCTCGGTCCATTTTAGTTAACTTGCCCGAATACCCATTTGACCATTCACAACATTACTGGCACGAAAGTCGACTTAGTCGAAACTACAGATTGAGGCCTCACGCGCCTTCCGAGCTACTAGGTGTTCGCTGCACGGACTGGAATGCCTCAGAAGCTCGCTGGAGGCATTTCATTCGAATTGCGGAGATGCCTTGGATAGGACACCATGTGGTTAATGGAACGGCTCTGTACCCGGGAGCTGGAATTCTAATAATGGCAATTGAGGCAGCAAAGGAGTTGGCCGGTGACAATCATTTAATTGACGGTTACACGCTCCGCGATACTCAAATCCTTGCCCCCATCAATGTGGATACAGACACCGAAGTCCAAATATCCATGCATAGGATGCACCACTCAGGCCAGAAGGAACTAATTTTTGAGTTCTTCATTCGCACTCCTACTACCGATGACGACTGGCTGCTTAATTGCCATGGCTTTATCTCCGTAGCTTTATCTGATTTGTGGGACAATTGGGAGAAAGAGAAAACAGCGAGCCAGCGAAGAAGTGTTGCAGAAAAATATGCAGCTCTTGTTCCATCCTGCTCAAATCCCGTCAATAGCCAAAATATGTACAACTTTTTGAGTCAACATGGCTATGAGTACGGGTTCCTTTTCCAAGCCGCATGCCGTCAATTCTGTACCGAAGAAACATACAAAGCTACCGCCGAAGTAAAGCTCTATGACTCTAGTAAAGAAAGCCACGTTGTTCATCCTATCTCCTTGGATGCCATTTTACATCTTTCCTTCACTGCTCTTACCTCGGGAGGTAAGCGAACGATGGCAACAAGCATACCATCTCGCATCGGCCATCTATGGATATCGAATGAGGGTCTCAGCAGGCCGGATAATGATACAGTAACAGCTTTCAGTTCTGTTATCAATGCAACAAAGCGAGGGTTTTCCTTTAGAGGAGCTGCTATAGACAGCCATGGAAGAAGGGACCTAAGATTGTGGTGTGAAGACATTCAAATGACAAACGTGACTCCCAATCCGATTACTACTTTACTTCCCAATCCAAAACAGTTTTGCATGGGTATCGAATGCAAACCTGCTCTAAGCAAACTGTCATCCAAGGAAATTGGCGACCTTTTACACGATATGCATCCAGTTTCTCCGGATATGTCAGGCTTTTTCAGAGATTTAGAGCTGCTTGTTAAAACATCCATAAAACGTTTGATTACATGCACAACTCCCAGGACCTCAGGATCTGAAGAAACATGGAAGACGCCATACTGGAACTGGGCTAAGCATCATTCAGTACAAGTCGAATACTTGGCTGGAACCGACGATGATTTCGAGCATCTTTGTGACCACATGCGAACAACCAATAGCATCGGGCGCCTTTACGAAACAGTGGCCTCGAATCTTGTCGCATTCTTCAATGAAGAAGTCAATCCTCTGGAACTATTACTTCAGTCGGGAATATTGAAAGAGTACTACCAGGAACTAGCCAACTATAGGTGCACAAAGCAGGTGGCAAGCTACATTGACCTGCTAGCTCATCAAAACCCCGGGTTGATGATTTTAGAACTTGGTGGAGGAACTGGTTCAGCGACTCGAAACATAATAGGCGCCCTTTGCTCAAGGTCAAACAATCACACAGCATCACTAAGATGTAGTCGATATGACTTTACGGATATCTCACCTGCATTTCTGGATAAGGCTCGGGAAGAATTCCACCCTTACCATTCTCAAATGACTTTTGGCACGCTCGATATAGAACAGAATTTTGCCGCACAAGGTTTTAAGGAAGGTAGCTATGATGTTGTCATAGCTGATAACGTCCTCCACATCACCAGAAACCTAGTGTACACTTTGCAGAATGTTAGGAAGGCTTTGAAACCCGGTGGCAAGTTAATAATACACGAACTGCTAAAACCGTCGGGATGGACGACAGGGTTCATTTTTGGATTTTTCCCTGGCTGGTGGCTAGGTACACAGGACAACCGAATTTTATCTCCAAATGTCTCCGCTAATACATGGGACACGATTTTGAGGGAAAGTGGCTTCTCTGGCGCCGATATTGTCTTGCGAGATTTTGAAGATGAGGTAGCCCATCAGCTGGGCCAGATAATCTCAACAGCGATTGAGGCGACACCATCGCCTACTCCACGACTACCGCGGCGTGTTCAAGTAACCATCATCGTGGACCAAACCTGTACAGAACAATTATTGCTAGCTAGGGATTTGTGTTCTCCTCTGCAGAAGCTGACCGAATACATGCCACGGGTCCTCCACATAGAAGAGGCTCTTTCTAAGTATCGCAAAAGAAATGCAAATGAGCTGGTCATTCTTCTAGCTGACTACAAGAACTCGTTTCTCAGTGCACTTGATAGTAGAAATTGGATATACCTCAAAACGCTTATCCAGGGATCATATCACTTGCTATGGGTATCCAGCGGTGGAGGACATTTCCCTAATCCTGAGTATGGAATGCTGGATGGCTTTGCACGGACAATGCGATCCGAATATTACGAGCTTCATCTGGTTGTCTTAGCGCTAGATGCTACGAGGGTTTATGATCCAACCACAAGTCGGACTCTAGTAATGCAGGTGGTGTCTGAGATGCTTGATACTCAGTCCGGTCACTACGAAGAGGAATACATTGTCATCGATGCACGTTTGTATACTCGGAGGCTCGTCGCCGCGCATGATCTGAAGTCAACTATGGATGCAAAACTTCAAACATATGAAGTTCTATCCATCCCTCTGAGAGAGAGACGGTGGATTCAAACGTCGACAGAATCAAATTCAGATTTTGATAACACCCTGTTCTATCGTGAATTATTTCCATCTAATGAAGGAGATCCAATGTCTGATTTCGTCGAGATTCTTGTCAAAGCAGTGTCTCTCCAGGATTACGAGCGCGATTCTGCTAGAAACCCTGAACCAGACTCGACGTTCGGTAGCTATTGCTCTGGTGTTGTCCTCTCCGCTTGTCCTGGTTCTAAATTCCACCCAGGTGATCGCGTTTTCGCTTTCAGCATTGGCTGTTTCCAGTCGCATGTCATGGTGTCTTCCACGGCGGTTGTGAAGATTCCACCAGATTTGTCCTTTGTTGATGTTTGTCGAGCAGCTCCGTCTAGACTAATTGTTTACAATGCGTTGGTTGAAGTTGGGCACATCAAAAACACAGATGTGACATTGGTTCAGAACGGTGCAGGTTCTATGGGCCAAGCAGCCCTCCGCCTCCTCTGCAATCGCGGTGTAAAAGATGTATGGACCACAGCAGCCGATCAGAAAGGCCGGATGCAGATTATACAAACTTTTGGAATTCCAGAAGAACGTATTTTACCAATGAGCTGGTTTCACACTGAGACAATAATCGGATCACAGTGGATGCAGAGATTTGACGTCGTCTTCTTGCCAGAGTTGAATTTTTCAACATCAGCCTTGATGAGACTGGGGAGATCTGGCGGTCGATGCATCATGCTAAACACTACCAGTGGGTCTTCTAATAGCCTTCACTCGATCCAATCCGTGCCCCCAAACACGATGTTATCCATAATTCACCTTGGAGAGATCACAAAAAGGGCCAGCCTCATCAACTCAGCATCTTTACAGTATGCGGTGATGTTCTCACACCTCGAGAGCACAATATGTCCAGCCCTTTGTTTCCCCGCATCTGATCTAATGAGAGCTTTTAATGCACTACGGAATGTGAATAACGGAGAGAATGTAGTCATGGACTTAGATGACAGTATCAGGATAGATGTAAGATTTCTAGCAGATATCCAGAATTGCAGCCTCCCCGCATATTGCAAGTGCTAACGATGTGGGAACATGAATAGGTTCGAGTTAAGTCTCTTCCTAAAAAACTCTTTGGTTCCCAAGCTACATATTTGATTGCTGGGGGTCTTGGTGGCTTAGGAAGAGAGATGGCTCGATGGCTTGTGAGCCGAGGCGCGGTTTACCTCATACTACCATCGCGGTCTGGCCCACGAACAGCAAAAGCTCAGCAATTTCTTACTGAAATGGGCAATAAAAAAGTTCATATCGAGACACCCCGTTGTGATTTAACCGACAGAACTGCCTTGCGATCTATGTTGATCAATTATTCTAAGAGGATGCCCCCTATCAAAGGCTGCATCCAATCTACCATGGTCATGACGGTAAGAAATCACTGTATTCATATAATAAACACTTACATCTAACTTAATCTATAGGAGCTAGTCTTTCAGAAAATGGAATTCGACAATTGGAAAGCCACAATCGATTCAAAGGTCAAAGTGTCATGGAATCTCCACTTGGAACTTCCGCGTGGTCTTGATTTTTTTATCCTCATATCCTCAATGATGGGCATTATGGGAAGTGCCTCCCTGGCTGCCTATAATGCTGGCAACACCTATGAGGACGCCTTGGCGCATTACCGAGTATCACAAGGTGAGCGAGCTGTCTCACTCAATCTGGGCGCTGTTCCGGACGGAGGTTACTTAGTTGAACATGGGAACTATATACCTGGCATGACGCGAACAGAAAAGTACGCTCTTACATATGTTAAAGAGCTCTGTGTGATGCTGGAAATATTCTGTGACCCCGATACTCTGCGTCGTAATTCCTTTGGCTGCCAAGCCATAGTCGGAATCCGACCCCCAGCACACTGGAAGCACATAGAAGAGGTACCTTCTACTATGGCCCGGCCCTTCTGGGGACATATGCATCATGTTCCAGTCACTCACCCTGATGAACTACAGTCCCCAAATGCGGCTACTCATCAAGATCGACACAATATTGTAGAGAAAATCGCAACTGCGGATTCGCTTCTAGAAGCTGCTGAGATTGCTGCTGAAGCCCTAGCTGACCGGGTCGCTGCCATTTTGGGAACTGTCAAAGATCGTCTTGACTTTCAAAGGCCCCTTCACTCCTACGGCATGGATTCATTGTCGGCTATTGATTTACGCAACTGGATCGGCAAGACTTTTGACATAGACCTGCCTATTTCTGACATTTTTGGAGGGATAACATTGGCCAGTGCAGCTATGACCATTGTCCAAAGAACCAGCAGTAGGAATGTCACCACACCGAGAGGATTAGGGCACTGAGAACAAAAACCGCCACTCAGCAAAGAAAATATGGTACGTAGAGTCACCTAAAAGAAGAGATGACCTCAGAAGGGGGTCCAGGAGGATGAGGGCATCATCTCTTAGCTATATAGTAGAAGTAGAAATGCAGAGGTGCTTTTCATGCTCCGTACCAACAGAGAAGATAAGCATCATCATGATTAAAAGATTTATGGTAGTCTGCAAAGTCTCCATGACTAATATAGGCAGCTGTTACGGGCTAGTCCCATCTAATGCTCACTATAAGGGCATATTCGAGTAGAAAACACAACATGAGGAAAGCAAAGAGAAAGAAAACAACAAGTTTTTCACACGCATACAATCTTATATAGGCAAGGGGAATTGGGAGCTTCCGACGGGCTTCTCTCTAGGAATAGCCTCATGTCCGGGGTTGCTGAGATTGTCGGGGCTGCCGGGGATCGGCAGAGAGCGCTATTGTCAATATCCGGCCGGATATTGGGTGTCCGTTCGCAATCTGGGAATAGCTTCATGTTCGGGGTTGCCGAACAATAATCTAGCGAAACTCTATATGTCAATATCCGTGAGGGCTTCGCCCGAACATGGTCATGAGGTCAGCTCATAACACTGCTTTGATATGGCTGAGGTCAAGTTGGTTGAGCTGAAGCTCTCTAGGGTGCTTAGGAAATATAATTATTTCTTGGTCTTAGTATATCTATGGTGCTACAGTCTGTTACCGTGTCTGACCAGCAGAAAAGGATTGAGTCTTGGCGTATCTCTTTAGCGAGACATATGAGGACTTGTGTGGAGAGGGTGATAGAGATAGTTCCCCCTTTAGCAGCGAGATCTGTTGAGGGCTGACCCCCATATCGATAGTTAGGGCTACGCCCTCACAAAATACTGCACTCGGACACGCTATTCCCTATCAGGAAATTGCCTCTACCCGAACGTACCTTACCCGAACATGAAGCTATCCACAATTTCGTGTTCAAACTAAGCGAGTTGAAATACTGCATTTAACCTTGGCATATAAATTTGCACACTGAGCGGAAGCTGTTTGTTTTCTTTTCTTCTTTCCTTTCTTCATGTATGCTACCCACTCAGGAACGAACCTACAGCAACCCATAAGGCGGGACTGGCCCATAACAAGATCAGCTGCTTCATTTTTAAGGATTTTGGTGTGTCCAGGTACAGCCGTTACCGTATATTTTTTTTATAACAGTGTTGGTTTAACTACGGTTCGTATCACGAAGCATAGACGGTAGTAAGGCGCGATCACGAAGCGGCCTAATGAGCCTGACAATATGAAGATATCTTGATTCCTAATTTGCGAATGCGTAAGCATGAGCATATTAGTAGCATGATCGAAAAAAGTTTCTCGTGCGCTGATTGGCTATGCATGATTGTTTAAATTACTTTATTGGGTTTAGCTCCCGTGGGCAGGATCAACCAATGATGTTGCCGGCCTGTGCCGGCCAATAGATAATCCGACGTCCGAGTTATTAGCTTCAACACATCTCATCATTACTTTTACCTTCCATTTAACACCTCTCAGTAACGATTTACATGCCTTTGAGCTCGTTGCGATTATTTTGAGAATAAATCCAGTGGTCCTGGGTCAGCACATCCAGCATGGAGGGAGAAAGGCGATGTATACAATGCCATGGCTTACAGCCCCTAGACCAGTTCATTCCCAAGAGAAAATCAGAGTAACTATTTACTGTTACAAGCCTTAGATGTCGTGAATATAGTGCAATTGGGTATCGTGCTAAGCGTCTTCGAAACCATACCGAAGAGCGTATCCAGTTCCATTATCGAGGAATTCACAGCTCTGACAATACTCAACATGCCCAAGCTCGCCAGGAGCATGCCAGGATATCCCGAGAACATCGCTCGAAGAGAAGACATGGAGAGGAGACCTCACTCACACCATCTATAACACAAATCATGAATGCACAGGTTCATCAGACACCTGCACAGTCAATTGCATCTCAAAGATATCCTACAAGCAGCCATTCTTCTACGCCTACGCCTCGTCCACTTATTATATGTTATTTCCGATGTTTCCAGTGCGAAGCCTTACGTTCAAACAATGACTGGTTTGACGATAATGAAGATATATGCTTTTACTGTGCTGACAATACATCATTTGAAGAGCAAAATAAATACTGCATCTATGGCAGTCATCGAGTTCCGCGGCCTGCTTTCTGTGACGTAGCAGGTGTTGAGTCTGATACATGTCATTTTTGTTTTAGTCGAGATTCGACATCAATCCCTAGTCGCCATCATACGCCTATTCAACTATGTCCAGCGGTTAGACGTGGTCCTATATCTCAACTAGATCTTTCTCCTCATGTTGACACCGTTTCTAATCCACATCCTCTGCTAGAGCAGCAACCACGTCAAGGAAGCCAAAATACTTCATCAAATGAAGCTCCATTTGTTGAAGACCCTCCTTTAGATATGAGCTATGAGAATATCCTTTCAAAACCTGCTTTACATCTGGATAATTGGGAATTGGTGGAAAATTTTTACAACACACTGTATAGCTTCGCACAGGAGGAATGTGGACGGTGTCAAGAAAAATGGTTTAAAATGAAGCTTCGCGACGGTGTCTGGGATAGATGCAGATGTGTTGACAGAGATCAGATGATATTTCTATACTCTCCTGGAAATAATATGGATCCTAGTGATGTCCCTACTTTTCTTCCTGAACTTACACAAACTGAAGAAATGCTGATTGCTCGTGTGCATGTTCATATGCAGATTCGACAAATCCGAGGACAGCAATACCGATATCAAGGCCATATTGTTAATTTCCTTCGAGACACGCAACGCGTCTGTAATCGATTGCCATTACTTCCACAGAATCCTAACATGGTTTTATTACGTCCACAGAACGCAGAAACACATGAACGACTTAATCGCCAGTTCCGACGTGATTTTAGAGTCAAGCGTGGATATATTTATGCGTGGTTGAGTTATCTTATAGCTGATCATCCCGGCTATCGAGATATTCAAATTAATCATGCCAATCTTACTCAACTACCCGAAGATGGCTCTGTCATTGATCAAATATTAACAGAAGATGTTGCTAATGAATCCGTTGATGATGATACCGATATTCTAGCCGAAGCAGATAATCCTGAGACCGTTGCAGTGCCAGATATGACAGTTTCTGAGTCCGAAGTTCAACAGCTGCGTCAACAACTCGTAACAGCGCAAAATCCTCTTCATCTTACCCTCCCCGATCCACGGTCGACGCCGATATCTGAATATAAAACTACGTTGCCGCTTCTTTCACTCGCTTTGCCCACATTATTCCCTCAGGGAAAGGCCGATTATTCGATTCCTCGTGAACGAACCGTCGAGTTCCAACAATACGCACAACATTTGATGAAATATAAAGATGGTCGTTTTGCCCGCCACCCACGATTCCGATTTATTATGTTCAATACAATGATGAGGCAACGAGCTAATGCTCAAGCCGGATTTATGGTCAAGAGAAGGTCAAATCTTCCAAATTGCACGGTGGACCAGCTAAGAGCCGCGTTTGAGGAGGATTCAGAGGAATCAAATTCAATCGTTAATAGTATTACTCGCATGTCCAATACTATTCAAGGAACACGCTCATATTGGGCTTCAAGGCGATCTGATCTCATTGCATATAACCAGAATCTTGGTGCCTCACACCTCTTCTTCACCACCACTCCTGCAGATTATCAGTGGGATGATCTCCAGCGCCAATTTCCCAACTACAAGCAGTGGAAGAACGGTGACGCTATTGAGAGACGTGTCATTGCGCGGGAAAACGTTGTCAATAATCCTCATATATGCGCATACTGGTTTTGGCTACGCCTAAAGACCTTTTTCAAGGAGATTTTGGAGAGAAGTTTCAACCTAAAAGATTACTACACCCGGTATGAGTGGCAGAAACGGGGCTCAACTCACAGTCATATTTTATTATGGGTTAAAGAGGCACCTAATTCTGAGATTGAAGGCTTAGTCTCTGCGCAAAGAGCGCAATATCTTGATTTTTGGTCAAGGCGTGTCTCTGCAATGAATCCTCATCTACGTCAGCAAGATGAAGTTATTGAAGAAATATCAACCATTCAAATGCCACTGGAGCGACGGTACAATACTTTTCAGGATCTAGCTTCAATTATCAATCGGGTGCAGGTTCATAAGTGCAGCAAAACATATTGTCTTAGAAAGCATAAGAATTCTGATGAGTTCTATTGTCGCTTTCACTTTCCTCACAAGACACAGGAAGCTGCAACTGTTCATAAGTTTCCAATGTCTTCCTTCTTCAGGTTTTGCCCTCCCAGGAATGATTCAATGTTAAATGCATATAATCGAACGATTGCTATGTCATGGCTTGCTAACCACGATATCTCCCCATGCACTGGCATGTATAGTGTCATCGATTATATTGCTAAATATGCAACCAAGGCCGAGAAAAAGACGACATCTTATCGAGATCTTATTAAGCAGGTGCTTCCCAATGTCAATAGCCGCAATCCAATGATATCCATGGCTACCAAAATGATCAACAAGTTGATCGGAGAAAGAGATTGGTCTGCGCAGGAGATTTGTCATATGTTACTGGGATTAGACCTAACAGAGGGTTCACGAACGGTTATTAATGTGAATCTATATCCGGAGAACGAGCGTCAAACTCTATACATACAAGATGGTCAAGAGCAGGGATCCGATGGTGTTAAAGCTACAAAGTCAATATATGGATCGACCCGACGAGCTTAAAGATATCAACTTTTTGACCTTCCTCAAGCAAGTTGACTTCCGGAATGCCAAAAATATGCGCCAACTACAGGATGACAATCCTGACCGTGTTTTGAAATACTTTCCACAGTATAAACCAGGACAACAGCCAGAGGACTATGCCCGGGTCAAGCTTATGCTTCACCATCCCTTCAAAAATATATCAGATCTCCTTATTGATCCTGATATGTGTGAGGTTTTTAAGAGTTATACTGAGGCATATGAATACTGCTGTCAAAATCATATGGATGATCATAAACCTGATTATTATGAAGAAGCTCCACGACCCGAGGCTGATCCATTTGATCCTCTACAATCTCAATCTGACGGGACGCAGGATTCCTGGTTAGATTTAGCGTTGCAGCTTCCAGGAAACAATAATATCGAGCAAATTGAGGACCCGGATCGTCTCGGTCATCGGGATCTTGACAGAGCATATGATTGGTTACCCCATATCGGTCAGCATATTATATCAACTGACTTTTGGGGTAATCTAAAAGAGACTCATCCTGCAAATCTTGCAGTCCAATCATCAGCTCTATCAGAGAATTTGGAATAAAAACAACGCTTGCTATATGATCTAATTGTTAATCATTATACAGAAACAATGGATGGTTATCGTACAGATCAGCTACTCGTTAATCTCGATGGCAAGGCTGGGACTGGAAAGTCATATATCATCAATTTACTATCTACGACACTAGAAGCTGCGGCGCGTACAAGGGGCGCACCTCCTCCAATTATTCGAGCAGCTCCAACTGGAGTCGCTGCTTTCAATATATCTGGTTATACATTACACTCATTATTTTGACTTCCTATTCGTGGCACCATGAATCGTCTATCCCCAGGAAATGTTTCTAGACTACAAGCTCAGTTCCGTGGAGTACAATATCTTATCATAGATGAGAAGTCTATGATGGGTCTTTCCCAACTGGCCCTAATCGATTCCCGATGCCGGGAGATCTTTCCGGACCAACGAGACGTGAATTTTGGGGGTTCTAATATTGTGATATGTGGTGATTTTTTCCAACTCCCTCCAGTACTGGCAAAGCCGCTATTTTATAACAAATTCGTGTCATTGATCAACAATGAGTTTGCTATAAAGGGCTACGTTTTATATCGGGAATTCAAGATAATCATCGAACTTAACGTGGTTAAAAGACAATCTGGCGATTCACACTTTCTAGACCTGCTTTCTAGTCTAAGAAGGAATGAAATATCGCGGGAAGATTGGCAATTACTTTGCAGTCGAATTCAAGCTGTTAATTTACAGCAAATTGATGAGTTCAAAGATGTGATTCGCCTTTACAACAAAAAGGATGACATCGTGGCATATAACCATGCTAAATTGAGAGATCTCAAGCATCCTGTTATTTCTCTATCCGCCACTAATGAGCCAAAAGAAGCCGAAAAGGTTGATAGTAAAGATGCTGGAAATCTTCACAACACTTTGGACATTTCAATAGGAAGCCGGGTGATGCTAGGAGAGAATATATGGACGGAGCGCGGGCTTGTGAACGGCGCATTTGGCACTGTTCATGACATTGTATGGCCTGAGGATTGTGTCGATCCACGAAAAGAGCCCCCATTGGCAATATTGGTTCATTTTGATCAGTATAATGAACCAGCTTTTCTTTAAACTAATGATGGTGCACCGGTAGTTCCAATATTCAGGTCTCGACGAGAATTTATAGTTGATAACAAGAACTGCACACATACCCAGTTTCCACTAGTGGTGGCTTATGCTATCACCATTCACAAATCTCAAGACATCACTTTATGGAGAGCTGTTCTCAATATCAAGGAGAAAGACTTTGCACCTGGCCTCACATATGTAGCCATTTCCCGGGTTAAATCACTCGATGGCATCCTATTTGAAGAGCCATTTGATTATGAGCGCTTTTCTCATAAGAAATCTGACACAGAAATAATGCGGGAGGAAGATTTACAGCTACGAGCTGCTCAGCATGTAAGTTATCCTATTTCTATAAGCTTATCATGCTAATATATGCTTCCAGTACAATCCTCATAGTTCTCCATCACTTCCTTCAATGCATTCTCTCCCTCGTGTCTCATTATCCCAGTATCTTTCAAGTCAGGAGCTGGGATCAACAAATGAGTTACCAACGTCGATGGGATTTCATATGAGCAGTGAGATGTGAGCTTGATATTAGCTTAATTTAAGCTTGATTTTCCTAACCCTAATATCATGAATGTGGATATGCGAGAAACCTTCTAGCGACTTGACCCCACCAGACCCAGTAGCTAAAATCGACTACAGGCTGGAATTAGATTCTTCGTTTGAAACACTTTTTAACTTTGTTATTGCCGTTTAGACTTCTCTCCTCTCACGGTAACTGTTTTTGCCATCCCCATGTGGAGACCCAATTATGAGGTGCCTGATTTCACTTGAAACACTAGTACGCTTCTGCCTAATGGATTGCGGGTCATTTCACATCGATAGGTGTTGGATTGAACGTAACAATCTCTAACGGTATATCTCAACGTATCAAATTGTGTATGCAAAAGTATGGAATCCTTGATCCCCTTGTTGTTCTTGTTCTTCTCTCTAAGTATCAGTCCAGGTGGAAGATATCTTTTACCCCCTATTCGGTGGATCAGTGTGTGGCTCGCTATTATTGGCTGACAAATCTCTTCTGTCTGATTGGTTGAATCAGCTTAGCTAATCCAACAATAGGTCCGTTCAGCCAAATTCGAGTATAAGGTAATTGCCGCCTCTCATCGAAATACATTGCATCGTGATTAACTTCCAATCGCACTATGAGCGAGTAACGGAAGGATGATACAAGAGGATGCGCTGAGAAGTACGATGCGGCCGCACTCAAAATTTGATGTTGCCCTCATACAATATATGATGGCTCGGTATGATACGACGGATCCTATCGCTCTGAGATTCGGCCAATGAGGGGTAGATATGCTGCGGAGCCGTCCTGCAAAGATGTGAATTTCTTCCAATCATGGACGACCACTTACCGCCGGGATCCTGAAGTCAGCCTCAGTACTCCCCAGCCTTGCCAACATCGAGCGACCTGCGAAGATAAGCGGGATAACATAGCATACTCAGTCAGTTTCATACTTGGATCGCTTCTTCAAGATAGGTTACCTCATCTTACGCGACTATGGCTGGCCAGCAATATGCACACGAAGATTATACGGTCGGATGGATATGCGCATTGCCAAAGACCGAGCTCGTAGCTGCCGCAGCAATGTTAGACGAAGAATATCTAATACTACCAGCGACCGATCCGCAAGACGCGAATACATACCTACTTGGCAGGATCGGCGATCATAACGTGGTGATAGCTTGCCTACCCGCAGAGATGACGGGCAAAGTCTCGGCTGCCACGGTGGCCACAGACATGATCCGTAGCTTTCCATCGATCCGGTTCGGTCTGATGGTAGGTATCGGTGGTGGCGCACCACGTCGCGCATATCCGGAACAAGGTACGGGTGGCGGATTAGTGGAAGACGACTTTGACGAGTCGGAAGATGAGATGGAGGAAATACCAGATATTAGGCTGGGCGATGTCGTAGTTTGCCTACACACCAAGTCTGCGGAAGCGGTTGTGCAGTATGATTTTGGCAAGTCATTACAGGAGAAGGAGTTTGTCCATACAGGTGGGAAGCTGAATAAACCTCCGCGTATCGTTCTGAATGCAGTTGGTCGGCTTCAGGCCAATCATATCCGGGGACATCGCAAAATACCTGAGTTATTATCAAAAATGCTTACAGAGAACTCAGACATGATACATTTCCAACATCCTGGTTTGGAGAAGGACCGTCTTTTTCGGCCAGACGTTGTTCATGTAGAAGGAAGGAAGTCATGCAGGGATTGTTGTGGCCTCAACAATGCCAACATCGTTAAAAGAGACAGTCGGTCGGATACGGTTCCCAAGATTCATTATGGGACCATCGGGTCTGCAGACCAAGTGATGAAGGATGCCATCCTTAGAGACCAGTGGGCACTGAAGGAGAATATTCTATGTTTCGAGATGGAAGCTGCTGGTGGGTCGACTCATTCACATTGTGGGCTACTCTGACTGATTATCACGTCAGGGCTGATGGATTCATTTCCATGCCTTGTCATTCGAGGGATCTGCGACTACGCTGACTCGCATAAAAACAAGGTGTGGCAGCCATACGCTGCTGCAACAGCGGCAGCTTATGCGAAAGAACTGCTTCTCGTGATTCCCGGGCAAGGTCTTATGAAGCTATCTCCAATCAAGCAGTGTATGTAACTAGACTAGATAATAACACGGCTACAGTGTACTGCGTGTATAAAGGAGCTAATACGATGTCGTTGGATTGTCCTAGTATTGCATCTCTCTGAGCAGATTGAGGCAGTCAATTCTACCCTTGAGAAAACTTTCGAACAACGCGAAAACCACCATCATGACCAAATCATGCGATATGCGACCGAAGATCAACGTCGCTGTCATCAAGTGTTCAAGACGTCAACTTATGAAAAGTTCAAAAATATCAACCCAAATCGAGTGGAAGGAACATGCGAGTGGGTACTCAAGAGCCCTGAGTATCTGCGTTGGTGGAATGCCACACACAATGATCTCCTGTGGATCTCGGCGGACCCAGGATGCGGTAAATCCGTACTTGCTAAGTCATTGATTGATGAAGTATTCGCGCTCTCTGATCTGAATGTCCTGATTGTGTACTTCTTCTTCAAGGACAATGACGAACAGAACAATCTGGCTACCGCGTTGTGTGCTGTGCTTCATCAGCTGTTTAGCTTGCAGCCACAACTATTACGACATGCATTGCCGTTTTGGGAAAGAAGTAAAGAAAAAATTCAGTATGAAGTGGACGACATGTGGCGCATCTTCATGGCCACCATGTCCGATGGGACATTTGGGAATACAATCTGTGTATTCGATGCTCTCGATGAGTGCCGTGATCACGATCAGAAACAATTGATCGAGAGACTCCATGACTTTCATAACCGACGTCCGGCTAGTCAAGAAAATTGGCTGAAGTTTCTCGTGACAAGTCGACCATATGATGATATTCAAGATCGCTTTCGGCCATTGACGGAGTGTTTTCCGCAGATCCATCTCCGCGGCGAAGAAGAGAATGATCAAATTCACGAAGAGATCAATCTAGTAGTAAAAGTCAAATTGACTGAGCTGGGAAAGGACCTTGGTCTGCGCGCTAACACGCAAGAGCGGCTCGAAAGAGAGTTGTACGAAATGAAGCATCGCACATACCTTTGGTTGTATTTAGCAATCGATGATATCAAAAGAACATTGAAAAATAGTCTTCGGCCAGACCGTGAAACCATTCCGCCGCTTCCAAAGAATGTCTCCAAAGCATACGAAAGAATACTAGATCGAGTACCTTCTGACCAAAAAACCAAGGTGGAAACCATTCTGCGAATTATCATTGGCGCGCGACGTCCACTAACTGTTCAGGAGATGGCAATGGCTTTAGGGGTAGCGATGACTCCGTGTGCAGAGACAGCAACGGAGGCCAGCCTGAGCCCTAACGGATTAGACAAAAAGATACGATAACTCTGCGGGTTGTTTGTTTTCATCAAGGAATCCAAAATATATCTCATTCACCAGACTGCAAGAGAGTTCCTTATTAGCAAACACGGTAGATCTCCCAACGTCCATTGGCATCTTGAGCAGCGCAAAACAGAGATACAAATGACTGAAATATGCGTCAAATACCTTGTTATGAATGATCTGGTCAGTAATGACGGAGAGTCTATACGGAGCTTACTGGATTATTCTGCAGAAAACTGGGCCGATCATTTTCGAGATGTGCTCTCCCCGGAAGCTGAGTTAGTGGACTGGGTCTGGAAGCTGTATGATGTTATGACGAAGCGATTTCGCTTGTGGTTTCCTAAATTTTGGACTGTAGCAATGCGGCATCGTCAAGACCCCAAAATGAAGGCACTGCATCTAGCTGCGTTCAATGGCCATCCGGATATACTGTGTCGAGTTGATGTGAATAAGACAGATGCAGTCGATCAGTTCGACAGGTCAGGAACGACAGCATTACAATGGGCTTGTGAGCGGGGACATCTTGAGATTGCTCAGCTACTACTTGAAAAGGGAGCAGATGTCAATGCTCAGGGTGGATACTATGGCAATGCTCTCAACGCTGCTGCTGAAGGAGGATATCTTGAAATTGTTCAGCTACTACTTGAAAAGGAAGCAGATGTCAATACTCAGCGTGTAGAGCATAGCAACGCTCTCCAAGCTGCTGCTAGAGGAGGATATCTTGAGATTGTTCAGCTATTACTTGAAAAGGGAGCAGACGTCAATGCTCAGGGTGGATACTATGGCAATGCTCTCAACGCTGCTGCTAGAGGAGGATATCTTGAGATTTTTCAGCTACTACTTGAAAAGGGAGCAGATGTCAATACTCATGGTATAGAGCATGGCGACGCTCTCCAAGCTGCTGCTAGAGGAGGATATCTTGAGATTGTTCAGCTACTACTTGAAAAGGGAGCAGATGTCAATGCTCAGGGTGGATACCATGGCAATGCTCTCAACGCTGCTGCTAAAGGAGGATATCTTAAAATTGTTCAGCTACTACTTGCAAAGGGAGCAGATGTCAATATTCAGGGTGGAAACTATGGCAATGCTCTCTACGCTGCTGCTCAAAAAGGACATCTTGAGATTATTCAGCTACTACTTGAAGGAGCGGATGTCAATGCTCAGGGTGGATACTATGGCAATGCCCTCAACGCTGCTGCTGGAAGAGGTTATCTTGAGACTTTTCAATTACTACTTGAAAAGGGAGCAGATATCAATGCTCAAGGTGGATACTATGGCAATGCTCTCAACGCTGCTGCTAGAGGAGGATATCTGGAGATTGTCCAGTTACTACTTGAAAAAGGAGCGGATGCTAAGACTCATGGTGGAGAATACGGCAATGCTCTTCAAGCTGCTGCTCGAGGAGGATAATTGGAGATTATTCAGCTACTACTGGAGAAAGGAGCGTATAACCAGACAGCTGCTTACGGAGGACATTTGCGGTTTTTTGAACATATTGCAGAACTCCAATTAGACAAATTTTAAGCAACAAATTAGCGTTACTCATCAAGACAAATGATATCGTTCCTCCGTTTGTTTACAGTTGTCTGTCATTGATCAGGTGGAATGGGCGGTTTATTTACAGGCAGAAAGTCATGCTAATTGGAGTATTGCTTTATTCCAATCCACGATGCCGTGCCCAGATCAGGACGAAAATGTGGTTTCACACATCTCTTGACTCTTCTCTTTCTACTTCCTTCTAACGCCGGCTTAGGGTTAATCAAATTACAACACCGCATCGCTAGACAGGATTTCTTCCGATGTGGGAATCTTTGTGCAAATAGAGTCTCAATTTCGTCGCACCCAAGCTTTTGAGCCTTTAAGTCGTCACCTCTGCCAATCTTTGATGTTTCGTCACTTGAAGCGTCGTTATAGACTGCTCGTCGACAATTATTACTCTCACTTAGTTCATTTTGAATCAATTTGGTCGTATCTTCCCATCCCCCTGTCCCTAAGCATTGCAACAAACTGTCATCCACACACAGGCCAAGCCTTCCGTTCAATATTGCTTTAGTTGATGGTGATACCCATCTTTCCTGAATTCATATTGGACTTCATGTACTTATAATACTCTCGAGGTTGCTGCTCAAGCAGGACATCACAGTATATCATCACATTACAGGATTACTCAACATTTAAGCAACAACTGAACTTTTCTCACACGAAGGCAAATGATGTATCTCTGTCGGATTGGATGCTGAGACCAGGCCAATTCTGACTACCAGCTTATCAGGACAGTAAGAGAAAAGGTAATAAGCAATACTGTATCTATTAAGAGTACTCTGTCTGTCTAAATACGCTTTCCAAATCAGGGCTTTATATAAGCATTGGCGGTGGTTTTCGAGCTATCATGAGGGGTGAGCAACGGCGGCTATATGGAGCCTTGGTAAGATGCTGAATTCTTGGTGTGTAATACATGCCGGTCAATTTCATATCAGGATGAGAAACATGGCCATTGAGATCCAAGACAGGTACTGACGACAAGAGACGGACTAGGATTGAGTCGCTTGTAGCGCAACCTTCGCGCAAGATTGGGTGTGTGACTTGTCCCGATCAGATAATCCGGTATCTTATATTCACTCCTTCCTAAAGCAGACCACACTATATTTCTTGGATATAGCTGATACTATAGGGCCATAAGGGGCACAGCTGGTTTCCGTATCGCTCGATAGGGTCAAAAATTTTCGAGTCGACCCGCCGCCATATATACCCGAGAAAGCAGATTCCAGCCTCAAGTTCAGCCCGGGAGTCTGTCACCATATGCCAATCCCCAACTTCTTCCGGCATATCTCACAGAAATTTGCTATTGGTGCTCATCTACGGATGCGTCTCGTTGTGGTAAATAGGGATCTGATCCTGTTTTGACATTTACGCAAATGTGGTGGAAGTGTAGGTTTGATTATCGTTTATTCAATGCGTCTAATCATGATTAACAACCCAGTCCCAATTGGTTGTGGGGAGACATAAACGACGATTTCTCGTTATTAGATTTGTAACCTAACCTTCCAGAATTTGATCATGCTTGTTGAAAGTTGTTGTGATTCAAGAAGTGCGCGTAGTAAGTCACCTGAGTACGGAGGTTGGAGTCAAAAGTATTGGGATGCACTAATTTAGCTGTTTTTTTGCGTACACAGCCTTACACTGAAATTACTATAGCAACCGATGTCTCTTATAAACTTATGGAAACTATACCTAATATAATAAAATTAAAGATGTGTATATACAGCTTATTTACCCTCTCTACACCTTAAACTTACCGTCTCACTGCATTGACCATCATTATCTTGCTGCAATTCTTGCTCCATAAATTCATACATCTGGTTTATTTCTACCACTAATTTACTTCCTAATTCCATTGCTGGCTCAATTAATAGATATCTACTTATACACATCGTCTCTTCTGCTTCTGGGCAGATGATTCTGGATTTATCCTCTCTACTAACAGTCGCTTCCGTGGCCCAAGCTGGACCTTAAAACCAAGAAATGAATGCTATTCCTGGCTAATAGCTCAATATTGTGTCCGGCATTCTTCAACATGTCCTGGTGCCTTCTTCAAACCCCGGGCATAAATAGTGCCTGCGGTCTAGGATGTATGGCTTCCTTGCTGGTCTGTCACCTTCTTATTTACCCTGTAATCCTGCTTGAAACCACCACTGGGGAGATGGGCCCGAGAGATGGCAATGGCTGCGTGTCAATAGTAGGTGATATTCTATTTGGTTTGCAGATGCTGCCGCGCCTCTTTCTCCAAAATCTTACTAAGGTAGCTGCTATCTTCTTCTCTCTCTCTTCGATGGGCCTTTGGCCAGAGGAATGGGGAGGGCGGCTCGGTCTTCTTAAAGGCAAGGATCTCCAGCTTCTCGCAGAAGGGAAGAATTAGCTAGAGATAGTAGACCATCATCTCACTCACCTCCCGGGGTAGATATCGATGGATGATCTTGGTCGATCCAGTGACATGATAGCCTTTATTGTAACTAGTCACCATACTGATTAGACCCTGCTCAATAAAGATACTGCGATGTCGTCCATGGATGGTATTCCGGTGGCGTAGGCTCAAGATCTCAGTTCCTCGCGCAGGCTGGCCCCCCGTAATATGACATAAAAGCAAGAGCAGTTCTAAAAACTGATCCTGGTCTCGAAGATAGGCCTGGATCGCTGGAATCTTCCATTGGATCTGATGGCCAGGCTGTTGTTAGATATAAATAAACTTATCCTGGAGCCACTTGGTATTTAATACTCGATTTAGTAGCCATCGTTGCCCATTAGGGAGAGCCTCTATATTCTGTGGATCTTATAGAAAGTTCCAGCCACAACAAATCTCCGTGGGATTATCTTTTAATTGGGAGAGAGGAATTGTAGGGATAATATCCTCCCAAGCCTCCTCATCATGGAGAAGAAAGAGTCTCTTAAGGCTCTGCTGGGCCTGCTGGATCTCAATCTGAATGAAATGCCGAAAGGAGGCCATAGTCATATCCAGTCCCTTATAGGTGAGCTGCTCCTGATCCTCCGACCAACCAATATATTTGAGACTAGTAGTGGTATTCTGGATCTTTTCCCTATAGGTGCGGAGTCAGATTATCTAGGTAAAGGGGCTTTGTGTTCTATAGACTAAAAATCGCTCGCGCATCTGATTAAGCGCATCAGCAGAATACTCCACTTTATCTTCTTCTTCTGCCTGGGTAACTGCCTCCTGAACTACCATCATCTGGGCTATCTTAATTAGACCAGATAACAATGGTGTATATGTATCAGCATCCTGAAAGGTCTGTTTCTTAGAATTGATACCGAGCACAGCTAGGAATCCAACCAATCCACTTTCATAGAGATCCCCCTTTAATAGATGATCAAGGAGGGCGATTGATAGACGGAGACAGGCCCGGTCGAGTAGGGCTTGGGCTTTAGCCAGCGTAGACCCATGGATCATGATTGGAAGAGGCTGTGGCATTTGATCCTGGCAGGCTAAGACTTCCATTCCATGATCGATCATCTCATTGAGATACTGAAGCTGCTGGGGGGTCAGCTGATGACGTAGTCAGACTGGCTGTTCTGGACGGGTACAATGGTAGATAAAGGAGATTAGCCATTGGTAGAGTGATGTATAATTCCGATAGGTAGCCTTCTATAAGTGAATAAATAAAGGCTGGTTCCATATCTGCTGCTGGCGCTGAGACTGACATTCACATTGAAAGTGATATTGTTGGAAACAGTTAATTTAGACTTGATCAAACATATTAATCTTATTTTCTTGAATTGATTGATATGCTTGCTGGATGATTCGGCTGACGCTACTAGCGAACTCAACTAGTAATGGTTCCTGTGATGGATCTGGCTGGGCCCCTAGTGGGATAATCTGGAGAAATGAATATCCACCTACTTGTCGCGTCGCCTCCCCCCACCCTAGACCGGGTGGTGGTCGGCCCGGACTCAAGGGCCACCCGGACTCAAGGGCCAAAAAATATGAAGTCTCATGTAAAATGTTTTACAGTCCACCAACGCCATATAAATTGCATATAAAAACTAGACAGGTGTTAAATACAAGCATTGTTCACCTATCTCCCTGAGTATCAAAGAAAAATCTGCTGTTTTGAGGCTCTGTTGAAGCCACTTCTTCCATCGGCTGCGGCACGCCAACGACATGGCTCTTATAGATTTTCAACAAATCCCCATCATGACGGCGTTTTATGAGGCGATTCGCATCTTTTACATAGAGTGCACCACTCGCTTTGACTTGGCGCTTTGTAGTTTTTTGATTCTTGCGCGTTGCTATATCACGAACCTTGGCAAAGCTCTCACGGTGTAGATCGCCTAATTCGGCCAAGGTGAGACTGCCTTGATTAACCACTTTTATACGGCGTGAAAGGCCCGGGCTTACTTTGTCAAGAATATCCTTTATACTGTCAATCGATTTCTCAATCTTATTGACATAGCGACGTAGTTTTACGGCCGTTGATGGTAGAGATATTGATTTTGTAGTTGGTGAGCTGGGAATAGTGTCATCCGCCTCGCTATATATTTTTAGTGCATCCCCTTCAGCAACAAGTGCTTCAAATGCTTCCTCTGGCTGAAGCATCATATCAAGTATAAGCCGAGGATTAAGAGGCCAAATTCCTCGCTCTCTCCAGCCGTGCCGAATCGTTCATGTGGTAAATGTCTTTATCCGGATATCGCGTAATTCTTCAAAAAAGTCGTTTTTATCAAAATCAAAGCCACCCAAGCGTGCAATCTTGTTCACAACCCGTCCATGAACATGTTTATATTGCTGAAATGGCACTCCATCGAGCGGTTGTAAAAAATGCGTAGAATGAGGCGGAAATCGGAATGGGCGAATGTGCCAAATTTCACAATATTGCACGAACTGTATAGTAAGATGAGTTGTATGATTATCCATAAGAAGTAACTGCCAATCCGGGAAGGCCCCGGGCCTAGAGAAGTGGTTAAAGTGTTGAAGCCATTCGAATGCGATCTCATCTGTGATAAATCCATTCAAAGCAGGTGCAACTAGCCAGTCGTCATTTTTTATATGCCGGTACCATTCCTCCAAATGGACCTTGCCTTTTGGAATCAATAAAGGTGGTATAATCTTTCCTTCGGCATTTATACCCTCAATGACAGTAATTGATTCTCGAGAGGACAGGCTAGATACCCTTTTTGATGTTTTTGGATATGCTGTTACCACCGCTTCATCTTTTTCTTGTCCAACAATGAATCCGGTCTCGTTAAAGTTCCACAGATTTTGAGGGCGAATTTTGTATTGTTGTATAGCGAGCTCGAGGTCAATAAACCAGCGCTCAATCTCACCATAATGCTCTGCAACGGTACGTTCCTTTTCTTGAGGTTTTTGAACGATTCGTACATATTGTTTTGGCAGGCGCTTGATAAAATCGTATACCCAATTTTTTCCGGCACGAGGGGCCTCTCCTGGACCACTGAAATCTTTGCCGAGCAAATAATTCGCACTTTCTTCAATTTGCTGATTCGTAGGAGGCGCACCTATATTATCTAGATACTCAATCCATAGAATAAGTGCCTTTTCTTGATCTAGAGATAGTAGGCGCCTCGTAGGTGGGCGTGTTGAGCGAGAGGGTAAGCCATGCCACCGACGGGACAGTTTTTTGCGAGACACCCCATATTCACGCGATAATTTGCTAAAATTCGGCTTTTTTTCGTGTTGACACGCACTGAGGGCCTTTGCAATCAATTCCTCCTCTTCTTTATATAATTTAGGGGTCATTTTGGCTCTGGTTTTGATGTTTGTAAATGCCAAGTTGAGATTTTGAAATTTTTGGCCCTTGAGTCCGGGTGGCCCTTGAGTCCGGGCCGACCACCACCCGGTCTAGGGTGGGGAGAGGCGACGCGACAAGTATACGGCTAGATCCGGAATAACCCTCGCTCGTGTAACTTTCACCATCGGGTAGCAGATTTGATGCGCCCGTAAATTACATGTATCGCTGCCTAGACGTGGTTACCAACCTTGCCATTTCCATCCCTTTCATTCCTTTCTTCGACGTAGTACACCAGTTACTTAAACATGATACGGCCTTGTACTATAGGATGGCACCACCTCTTGCACGATCAACAGTTCAACTCATATGTGATATTCTAAGAAGTGATGGGCCTGTATCTCAGGTTGCGCGTACTGCAAAGTGTAGCTGCAAAGCAGTCTATTATATTCAATCGAACCTTGAACTGTTTGGAAATGCGAAAGCTTCACCAAACTGCCCTAGACAACAGTAAATAATCACGCCAACTATGCTAAAAGCGTTGTGTGATGAATATGTTAATTACATTTTAGACTTTAGTGTCAAATTTGATTGAGCAGGCTTACCCAAGGCGCTCAGATCCAAATTTAATTCGTTGGGTTGAGGAAGAGTATAAATTTATTAGTAATTTCCATTCAAGAGGGGATCCTGTTTGATAGGTAGAAATTTTCTTCCGTATTTATTGCTGTTGGTAGGTTTCTGGGTCCTACGTTATCAATCACTCCCCCGAACTACCGGGATGGACATATACATCCGGACCTTAACATACTCAAACACGCATTGGGAGATCAAACGTGTACATAAAGAAGTGATTGATACACAAACATTGTCCTTGATGCTCAAGTACCGGCATTGGAAACAATTTGACAAATCCGCAATCCAATCACTGATTTGCGGGATTGACCATGCAGTAGTCTGTGTTATGGAGCGACAAATCAGGATTCCCTGCCCAGGTAGGGAATGGATGAGCGGTGCCACTGCCTCCTGCTACAGCGAATGTAAGAATAAAGACCATGATTTGTGTGCCACCGTCCAATGCCGCCGAGATGAGATAGTTCCATTCGACAAAGAATCTGGGGTGGTATTTTCGAATATACCATTGAAAGACGAACGCGACAATGAAGAAGGTCGTGAACCCACTGTTGATTCCAACAAAAAGATTCCCCATAAACCAGAGAATGATTGATGGGTTAAGATAGCCCCAAAGTCGGTTGCCAGTGATCTTGTACATAATGTATGCTGGAACAGGGACAAGGAATCCCAAAAGGAACACAATCGTAACCCATTCATAACGCGCACCAATACTGAAAAGTTTGGGCGCTATACTCCATGCTATAGCTAGAGAGTTGAACTGTTGAATGTTCTGTCCGGACCAAATGCTAGAGCCCTGAATAGATACCAGGAGAGGCTCTTGTGCGGCTACAACAGTATCCATGATGACCCAATTCATCAGCCCTCCAACTATGCAGCCTGCTATTTGAACCGCAAAGGTTATGCGTGGTGGTAAATGTGAATACTGAGCCAGTCTCAGATCTTTAGCTAGGAGCTGAGCCTGTTGAGTTGCATTGAACGTGAAGCAAGTGAAGTAAAAGTTGGCAAGGGGACGACCAGGGAACATATATCCGGCAAGCATCTGACAAATTGGTTGTTGATTGAATTGAAAACCTGTCATTCCCATTTGGGCGCCGAAAAAGAGGACGAAAATGAAAGTGAAAATCGTAGAAACCAGAAATCCCCACCAGGGTAAAGTAGACTATAAATTTGTTAGCATTTTATTATCATAAAAAAGAAGGATGAAATTCTGTGAGCAGTCATCGACATCTTCGTACCTTCATTGAGTAAAGACAACCAAGACCCACAGCCCAGCAGACAACAAGGACGAGGGCCCACCACCACAAAGGCACTTCTGCGTATTTATTCCTCATCATCAGCTTGTAATGGGGGTCCAGAGTTGAATCGTCCTGCTTTCTTTGCAGCCTCTCCTCGGGAGTCTCCTGATTACGCCAGAACTGAAGCCTTTGAAGACTAAAGTCTTTCAGAATTTGTGACGGGGATGCCCAGCTCCACGCAGCCTTTAAATCATCTCGGTTCCACAAAAACATGTATACGATTGTTGCGGTCATGCCCATGTTTGTGGTGAGAAGATAGGCTAAGTAGGTTGCTGTCAAATATGGAATACCCTCCGCCTCGAGCTTTGCATTGTCAATTTCAAAGTTATCATTCAAGATGAGGGACTGGTTGTAAATATTGTAGGTTGTGGAATTTGCGTTCGTAAGATTGAATAGGTCTTGGGACATAAAAGGGAGACTCTTGGCTTCCCAAATGTTACCGTAGTATAGACCTAGAGGCCTAGCGAAATTAGCATAAAGTTGACAATTGGCAAGAAAGACGGATTCCCTGACCTATGAGAAGCGCGTAACAACCAATGATTCCAATCAAGGTATTCACAGTACTTTGAAGGGGATACCAAAGCGGGTTGAAAAAAGGAGCAATATAATTCCAGTCAAACGAAATATTGAGCACCCCAAGGCCTTCGTTTCCTGTAGCTCCGCCAAAGAAATTGGTAAAGAAAAGATTATGCTGATCTGCAAGACAGAAGACCGAAATGCCAATCAAGGTGGTGAAAATATACTCGGGAAAGAGTTCCCATATAAACACAGCCAGGAATACAGCATACCATATTCGCATTTTCCGCTTAGTCTCCTTTCGGTCACGGTGGATTGTCTCAAGCAAGCTGGAAACCGGGATTGTCATTGGCCAGATCATCTTCGTTGGAAATACTAGCACGTCGCGCAAAAGCCCAGTAATACCAAAGCCGAGGAGCTGAGATGTCAAGACAATAAAAATGCCGGCTCCTTTACTCGGATAGCCTCCGTAAAATAGGTATTGAGCAGCGAGCGCCTCGGTAGCCAATGCTGACTGCGCAGCTGCTGATGCCATGATTGTGATTGCCTATAAGAGGAACGTCAGCGAATTTTGATTGCGGATTGACTTTCATTTCTTCCTCTCCGCAACATACAGCATGCTCCTTGGAGTTGAAGGGACCCGGGTTTAGATAACGTAGTAATCCACCATCAGTGATGTGGAGGCCACCAATCCTCCAATCAATCTTTGTCGGAATGAGCACAGCCATTAAATCACCGAGAATGTAGGCCCAAACAGTCAAGAAAACCAAAGAGACAAAGATAGTCTGCGGTTTGAAGTAAAAGATTTCCTGAAGGACGGAGCCGAAGATGGAAAGTCCGAGGCCTAAATGAAGGTTGGTAAAGATATCTCAAGCGGCTTACTTGTGGGATAACAAACCAAGGAAAATCACACGGAAGGTCACCACAGACATATTTGGGTCATCCTGGACATGGATGACTTTTGTGACAAGATCATTGGCAGTTTCCACCACTGTAGTGACTCCTTCTTCCTCGGGCTCAAATTTCAGGCCGTGCTCTACATCGTTGTCGCTTGTGAAGGTATTATTCTTTGGATCAACTTCTTTGGTCTCCGGAGTTGGTGAAACATCGTGAGATTCTGTTATTTGAACATCGAGATCATTGGATGCCATATTGGGAGAGAAATATTAAGATGAGACAATACAACCAAGGCGGCACGACGGGGGTGAAAACTACAAGAGCTTAGGAAGGGGAGTTTATAAGTAATGAGCTGTGTAGTATTTGACTCGAAATGGTCGTTTATCACTGTAAGCACCTTCCCTTCTAAGACTAGTACATACTACATAATCTTATCCCATGACCAAAGGAAAGCTTGTCTACTCCACCGATAAGTGGAGTTATAGCAATAGATTAGGGTTACATATCAAATTAGTGATATTAATGTAGTATTATACCAAGCCACATCTTCCACGGAACTAAATTAGTCTGTCATGCGCAGTTTCGCCATAGTCAAGATAAATAAATATGTTTCTGTATCAGCTTACTATAAATCATACTTATCTTTGATACAGAATCAATTGTGAGCCTCACTTCGAACTCGCCTGTAAGACCTGTAAGATATAAAGAGAAATTGAGGTAGGTATATGAGCGAACGGTTTGATTGTTACTTTCACATTCTACAGTACCATGGATTGAGACAAATTTTCAGACATCTCTATAGTAGGCCAGCCTTCATCGGTGCCTTAACGATAAGACAATACTGCAGCAGCACAGATATGCCAAAAAAAAAGCCCCGGAGTAACAATATTCCTGAAGTTTCGCTGTACAAAGATTTACCATCAAAATACATGACGTCAGTCATCTTTTCAGTAGGTATCTGCTGGAGCCTATTCACGTAAAACTGGGTTCTGAATGTGCAATACCGGCTTAATACCGATACCTAAGATAGGGGCTCGGAATAATTGAACGATACACCACCCTATATTTGGTTTCCTACTTGTACTCTTCGGATGTAGCTGTAACAACGTTACAAGGGATATATATATAATTACGTTCGAGAGGAATCACTGAAGGCTAAGCACACAAGGTAGGGTATGGAATGTCAATGTACTGAAACCTATCTCTCCTGCTTCCGCAGCATGCATTCTATATAAGAGACATCGATGTTGTTTCGTGGCAAACATCATTGACCACAGCCAGCTGAAAGTTTTCCATAGCCAGCTGAACATTTGACCATGACCAGCTGAAGTATCCACACTTTTGCCACTCTCCGTTGAGTTTGCCCTCGTATCAAACCAACCCTAATCCCTAAGAGATTGGACAAGCATGTTGGTTGTTACAATATTACTACCCTCGACACTAGATCAAAGCAATTCTCAACTGGTTCCCTATACTACACTATCACACATAGGACTTACACCAGTGTCAGAGTTATCAGCGTCCTTACAAATAATAGAAGTCGACTTTGGCCCTCCAACTCCAGCAATACCAATGCCATTTACTAGAGATATTAAGTGTAGACAGCCTCTCCAGGAAATTACCAGCAATAGGCGAATTTCACATCTATGACTTTTAAAATCACAGTATAGCTTTCTTAATTGCCAGTAGATAAATCATAAGCACTCTTTCTTTTCTTTCTCTTGCATTTAGCTCTCACTTTTTTTCTTTTACTACCTAATATCCTCTTCCTAGACCGTTAAATGCTTGTTTTATATACTATATTTATTAATGTTTCACTATCGCATCCGCCTAGCTGTCGGAAACTTCGGTCAAACTACCGTCGAGTATATCTCGGATAGCTTATAACGAGCTGAAGTTATAAGGCTTCTAAGTACGAAAGGCTTCTTGAAAGCAAAGTCTTAATAAAAGGATGAATATCCGGTTCGATAGAAGAACGTATACTCAAGTTGTCAAAGCTAAGGGGTACTTAGCACGGTTAATTCAAGACGGTAAAATAAAACTAAATACATGGTAAATGAGTGTCTTTATATTCATCATCGTTGTATCCCCTGATACATCTTGTTGTATCGCTTGATTATACATATTGTATCTTCTGCTACAATATGTCTAATCGCCTGATTAGTTCCTAGCCCTAACTTGTCCTAGCTTGTTCTTGGTTCCGCACTATCCTGTGATAGATACCGTCCCTCACCGCCTGAGGAATAAACCCACCTGAGGAATAAATTTACCCCAAAACGCGAAAAATCGCGAATATTTCACACCGCGATATATCAACCAATATGGCTTCAATGGAGCTCGCACTTGCAGCATTACGTTCAGCGGATCCTGGAGAAAAGCCTAATATTAGTTTGGTTGCAAGAACATACGGCGTTAGCCAATCGGGCCTTTATAAACGTTTTCACGGCGTTACAGGCTCAAAAGAAGAGCAATACGACAAGCAACGAATACTCACCACCACGCAATCAAGAGCGCTTATAAAATGGATAAATCAACTCACCGAGCGAGGCCTGCCCCCTACAAATTCAATGTTAGCGAACTTTGCAAGAGAAATATCTGGTAAAGAGCCTGGGAAAAACTGGGCTTCACGCTGGCTCAAGGCTCATTCGGATAAGGTGATTTCTCGCTATTCAACGGGCCTTGATTCGGATAGAAAAAAGGCAGATTCGGCATATAAATATGCTTTATATTTTGAGCTTATTGGACGGAAAATACAGCAATATAACCTCGGCCCAGAGCAAATCTATAATATGGATGAGAAGGGCTTCATGCTTGGAGTAAGCACAAAACGGAAAAGAATCTTTACTCGGCGCAAATATGAGCAAGGGGGCTATAAGCAGCATCTTCAGGATGGAAATCGAGAATGGATTACAACAATTGGTTGTATCTGTGCCAATGGAACTGCTTTAGCGCCTAGTCTTATTTATATGGCAAAATCGGGCTTTATACAGGATTCTTGGCTTCAAGATTACGATCCCCAAACACAGAGATGCTTCTTTGCAGCCTCAGAGTCAGGGTGGACTAATAATGATATCGGATATCGCTGGTTGGTGGATGTTTTTGATAAAGAGACAAAATCTCAAGCAAGCCGGGGATGGCGCCTTCTTATCCTCGATGGGCATGGATCCCATGTTACAATGAAGTTTATTGAATACTGCGACTCGAATCGAATTCTATTAGCAATCTTTCCGGCTCATGCAACACATACTTTACAGCCTCTTGATGTCGCTCTTTTCTCGCCTCTTTCTAACGCTTATACGAAGCAATTGGATGATTTTATAAGGGATAGCCAAGGCTTCACCCGGCTCACTAAACGTGACTTTTTTCGCCTTTTTTGGGCTAGCTGGAATGAGGTTTTTATAAGCAAGAATATCAATTCAGCATTCAGAACGACTGGTCTATATCCCTTTGATCCGGAGATTGTTATCAACAAATTCAACAAGAAAATCACCAGCCGGCCATTCTCAAGCGAATCCGGAGCTTCAATTATTCCTCCAGAAGATTGGAGACGGCTTGAGAAGCTTGTTAAAACTGTTGTTAACAATATTTATGATGAAAAGGCTGTACAGCTTCGAGAAACGGTGTCACATCTTTCTACTCAGCTTATCTTGCTTCAAAATGAGAATCAAGGCCTGAAAAAAGCTCTCATAAATGCAAAGAAGCCTAAAAACAAGAAACAGCCTTTATTACTAGGTTTACCATCAGAACAAGATGGTGGAGCGCTTTTTATGAGCCCTACTAAGGTTCAGCAAGCTCGTGATATTATTTCTCAAAAAAATGACGAAGCCGCGCAGAAGCAGGCTCATAAAGATGATAAAAAGCTTCAACAACAGCTTAAAAAGCAAGCTAGAGAGGCTGAAAAGGTTAAAAGAGCTCAAATCCGACAAGAAAAACGCGAGCAGCGTGAGCAAGAGGCTGCGGAAAAGCAACGGCTTAAGGACGAGCAAGAATTGGCTAAGCTAGCTGATTTACAGCTTCAAAATGATGTTATATCAACTCCAAAGGCTTCAAAAAGGCCTACAAAGCAAATTTCTAGGCAAGCAAAGCCAAGAGTGCAACCTGAGGCTCATGTGGAGGATAATGAGGTGGTTGTTACTACAAACCGTAGGGGCCGCGCGATACGGCCCCCTGCACGTTTTCGCGATTAACTTTTATGCTTTTAGATTCGCCATAGCTTATTTAGTGCTACACCAGAAATTCACTATATTTAATTATTATATGGTGTTGTAAAGCTTCAAAATATTCTGTACAGTAAGCCGTTGAAATTATTCCTCAGGTAGGGTTATTCCTCAGGCGGTGAGGGACGGTAAAGCCCTAGGCTAACCTTCTTGGGTAAGTGTGACAGTTTATCCATTAGCTGTGACGTGCTTATTCTAACAATCCCCTCTTCTGAAGGCTGACGTCCCAACAGCTCAATAAATAGTCTGTATATCCCATCTGCGCTGTAGGTTTGTTTTGTTTCCTAAAATGTCGCTTGTGTTGTGGTTCTGAGCAGGCTTGGCAAGGATTAATCCTTACGGCACGGATGGATAATCCTTATCAAACGTAAAATTACATCGATTATCGGATAATCCGGGATAAATTACAATAGTTTCCGTATAGCCAATACATAAATGTAATATATTTAATTAACTAGCCCTTAAGTTTCTCTTCTGCAATACCGGTTTTTGCCCAGTGTTTTAAACACTCTATTCTCTCAATATTTTCAGCTGATAGCTGTGCCCTTTCCCATGAGATTGTATGACGTGCTCCTGAAAATACTCTCTCAGGTTCATCACTCATTGCTGGAATTGATAAGATATCAATTGCTATGTATGAAAGCCTTGGCCAGCGCTTTTGTTGCTCATCTTGACACCACCAAGTTAGAGCACTTGTACAAATCTTGCGTGGAGACTCAGTATTATAGTCTTCAAATTCATCCTGACTTGCTGGTCGCGAAAATCCGTCAAGGTCTTCTGCAATTCGATCAAAGTCATCAAGATCTCGAGGTTGATCATTTTCATATGATCGCATGATCATAGGATAAGGAGCATTATTGCGATATTCTTCCCAAAGCTTTTTAACCTTCTGAAGTGCAGGCTTTTGCCAGCTCTTTTTCTAATTAGCCTGAATATACCTTATACGGCGAGCTGGATGAAGAATAAGTGCTGCAGCATAAAGAGGTGAATCATCTGATTTGCTGTAATATTTATTAAAGGCATCCCAACCATTCTGAATTCGAGCGCAGAATTCCTTATCTGATACATATTCAACCTGCTATACAATATTAGTTAGGTTTATCAGGAGTTAGAACCCTATAAAATTAAAATTTCTAATAGGATCTCCTTATAGAGTTTAACTTACTAAGGCATTTTCAAAGTGCTTAATAATAATATCCATCACAAAAAGCACATTATCAATTGTTGCTTGATCCCCTTGAGTTTTTAGGGTAGCTCGGTTAAAAAGACTTAGGAATTTGCTTGTCGTACAAAGCTTTTCCCAGTCTGTTGGAGATAAATACTCTGCTTCAAGAGTATCCAAATGCCTTTTTGTATAGCTATCAAGAGCAGCATCGAATTGAAGAGCCACAGAGAGCATATAATACCAGCTATTCCATCTTGTACGATTATCAAGTGGAATTAGCCTCCCAGCCAAATCTTTGAATTCTTTTGTACGGCCAGCTGAGCCACGAATATGTGCCATAATATTATGAAGTTTTCCAAGTGGCCCAATTGAGTGGAAAGTAGCCTTTCTTTGTATATCATTTGCTCTTTCTTCTTCCATGACTTCGTGTTCATCATATAGGCTAAGTTGCTCAATATCCACTATATCATGAAATAGAAAGGCTTATACAGCCAAGTTAATAACATGGCCAATACAAAAGATTCACCGATATGTTGGGTCCCATTTAATCCCTTCTTCCCGAAGATATTTAGCTATAGTGCGACAAAGCTTGTCATTTGCAGTATGATTATCACAAACAACAGCACCAAGCTTTTACAAAATCCTATAGTCTTTTAAGACTGGAAGAAGAGTAATAAATTGCTCTTCTCCACTATGATTTGCCACTATACGAAGGGCAATAAGAGCCTTTGATAACTTCTCTTCACTCTGTTCAACAAAATGAGCACAGATCCCAAGAAAAAGGAGCCGATTTGGAGAGGTCCAGATATCAAGTGAAAGATGAACGCTTGATAATGCTGACTGGAGCTTCTTTCGTATAATATCCTTCTGGACGAGCCACGATTGTTCAATTCTCTTAGGGATAGAGTTGTGCGCTGTAATAATATATCTCTCTGATTCTGGATTGAGCACTCGACATAAAGTATGAAACTCAGGCCATTCAACAACAGAGAATGGAAGGTTTCGTACAACGATTAATGACACTAATGCATCATCAATAATATCTTGACTCAATATCCTTTGAAAGGCTTGAGTATCAATCTGTTGTGTCTGACCTAAGGAGTCTGCTTTCGAGTATAGTTGTTGTAATTGATTGAGTATTGATTGTTGTAGGGGGCTTGGAGTAGAATTGATAAAGATCTGATGCTTTGATTTGAGATGATTTCGCATATTAGTAGTAACTGAGGTACCATATGACGATGTCGTACAGTGAATGCAGTACTGAATTGGCCGATCTCGATGAAATTGGGCCTCTCCATCTTGAGCTGGACGAGTATGAGCCCATGTTACCTGAGCTGTTGGCGTTTTCCCCTTTTTGACTCGGTTTCCACTGAATCAGCAGTAGGTAGAGATAGAAAATCAGATAAATATGCATCGGAATCCATATTTTATACAAAATAATTATAGAATTTGAGTTGGGAATCATCATGGGATAACTAGAAGTTGAATAATTTGGTGGGATTATAGGCGGTGAGATTCTGCCAATTATCCGTGATTAATCGATGGATTATCCGTAGAACGGATAAGGATTATCCATCCGATTATCCGAGCGGGAATTATCCTTGCCAAGCCTGGGGAAAGACTATCTACTTGTCGCGTCGCCTCTCCCCACCCTAGACCGGGTGGTGGTCGGCCCGGACTCAAGGGCCACCCGGACTCAAGGGCCAAAAATTTCAAAATCTCAACTTGGCATTTACAAACATCAAAACCAGAGCCAAAATGACCCCTAAATTATATAAAGAAGAGGAGGAATTGATTGCAAAGGCCCTCAGTGCGTGTCAACACGAAAAAAAGCCGAATTTTAGCAAATTATCGCGTGAATATGGGGTGTCTCGCAAAAAACTGTCCCGTCGGTGGCATGGCTTACCCTCTCGCTCAACACGCCCACCTACGAGGCGCCTACTATCTCTAGATCAAGAAAAGGCACTTATTCTATGGATTGAGTATCTAGATAATATAGGTGCGCCTCCTACGAATCAGCAAATTGAAGAAAGTGCGAATTATTTGCTCGGCAAAGATTTCAGTGGTCCAGGAGAGGCCCCTCGTGCCGGAAAAAATTGGGTACACGATTTTATCAAGCGCCTGCCAAAACAATATGTACGAATCGTTCAAAAACCTCAAGAAAAGGAACGTACCGTTGCAGAGCATTATGGTGAGATTGAGCGCTGGTTTATTGACCTCGAGCTCGCTATACAACAATACAAAATTCGCCCTCAAAATCTGTGGAACTTTAACGAGACCGGATTCATTGTTGGACAAGAAAAAGATGAAGCGGTGGTAACAGCATATCCAAAAACATCAAAAAGGGTATCTAGCCTGTCCTCTCGAGAATCAATTACTGTCATTGAGGGTATAAATGCCGAAGGAAAGATTATACCACCTTTATTGATTCCAAAAGGCAAGGTCCATTTGGAGGAATGGTACCGGCATATAAAAAATGACGACTGGCTAGTTGCACCTGCTTTGAATGGATTTATCACAGATGAGATCGCATTCGAATGGCTTCAACACTTTAACCACTTCTCTAGGCCCGGGGCCTTCCCGGATTGGCAGTTACTTCTTATGGATAATCATACAACTCATCTTACTATACAGTTCGTGCAATATTGTGAAATTTGGCACATTCGCCCATTCCGATTTCCGCCTCATTCTACGCATTTTTTACAACCGCTCGATGGAGTGCCATTTCAGCAATATAAACATGTTCATGGACGGGTTGTGAACAAGATTGCACGCTTGGGTGGCTTTGATTTTGATAAAAACGACTTTTTTGAAGAATTACGCGATATCCGGATAAAGACATTTACCACATGAACGATTCGGCACGGCTGGAGAGAGCGAGGAATTTGGCCTCTTAATCCTCGGCTTATACTTGATATGATGCTTCAGCCAGAGGAAGCATTTGAAGCACTTGTTGCTGAAGGGGATGCACTAAAAATATATAGCGAGGCGGATGACACTATTCCCAGCTCACCAACTACAAAATCAATATCTCTACCATCAACGGCCGTAAAACTACGTCGCTATGTCAATAAGATTGAGAAATCGATTGACAGTATAAAGGATATTCTTGACAAAGTAAGCCCGGGCCTTTCACGCCGTATAAAAGTGGTTAATCAAGGCAGTCTCACCTTGGCCGAATTAGGCGATCTACACCGTGAGAGCTTTGCCAAGGTTCGTGATATAGCAACGCGCAAGAATCAAAAAACTACAAAGCGCCAAGTCAAAGCGAGTGGTGCACTCTATGTAAAAGATGCGAATCGCCTCATAAAACGCCGTCATGATGGGGATTTGTTGAAAATCTATAAGAGCCATGTCGTTGGCGTGCCGCAGCCGATGGAAGAAGTGGCTTCAACAGAGCCTCAAAACAGCAGATTTTTCTTTGATACTCAGGGAGATAGGTGAACAATGCTTGTATTTAACACCTGTCTAGTTTTTATATGCAATTTATATGGCGTTGGTGGACTGTAAAACATTTTACATGAGACTTCATATTTTTTGGCCCTTGAGTCCGGGTGGCCCTTGAGTCCGGGCCGACCACCACCCGGTCTAGGGTGGGGGGAGGCGACGCGACAAGTATATAGGAAATTTGTTGGATTGGTGGGTTAACTCCAGGCCAATCCTGAATAATTGTTACAAGGATGGTAAAAATAAAGAAGTGAGTAGCAAGATTCTATCTGTTCTGTTCTCTCTGAGTACATCAGGTTCCAAAGCCGGGTTTATATAGATATTTTGCCAAGATGTGTAACAACTAGCAGACTTGGGGTTCTCACTGTTCCAAACAATACGGTCATGACGTCTCAAGTCGAGTTTCAGGTGCACCAGGTGAAGGTTTATACGTTTGAGGATGGTTTTTGATTATATACCTTGTTGCAAATCCGGATTATCTGACACCATGCCGTTTTCATTGCTCCGGCCATAAGGAAGGAGTCGGGATCATCAGCATACAAACAGACGATACGCTCATCCTCGCCGACAGCGCCTTCACGAAGAATGAAAAACCGCCCATACTTGAGCTCATGTGCCTCCACTAGTCATACGAAGTTCTCAATATTAGCCATGGCGACTTGCATTGTGATAATATCTATCTTAATGAAGATGGCGAAATTAAAATTGGTGATTGATTTCACTAGTGACGATTTACTACCATTCCGCTGATACCTCAAGTAGGAGATATTGGGAAAAGCATGATCCAAGTAGGAAAGACAAAAGATATTTCTTGTGACGTGCAAGCGGTTTACAAGATCGCCGATGAGCTTCTCAATCTTGACGGTAGCCCAGATACAACCAGTATGTCATGGATAATGGCTAAAAGCTTCGTTACCGGAACGAGCGATATTGATTCTCGAACTCTTCTAAAGGTACGAAAGTTTAGCAATGGACTGTCCTCGATAGAGCTAATGACTATATAGTATTCTTTCTTTAGAATAAGTCAGGATTCCTGGTATTTGTCAGGGCTCTGGACACTGTTCACAGTTACTCTGATGAGTGTTGGATGCTCGAGATTCAGGAAATTGATCAACAATGAATACTGATGAAGAGCCTTCTTATACCTGCCGAGTCAGAACCTCCATGGCATGCATATTGAGATGTGCAGTGCACACGATTTATAAACGGTTCGCAATAGCCTTAGAATAGCTGGTCACTTGATTATAGTCAACTAACTCAATACTGGCCTAAAGAACTCAATCATTTCGGCTTTTAGCATTGATCTAAGAACTATCAAAACGGACTGTTGACCAAACGAAGCCCAGTCAGCGTTTGACGTAAGTCAACCTAAACTTATTCACAAACCAGGCCTGCCTATTCCCGTTCGGAGTCGCTGATCGTATCGCAGGTCACCAAGAGTTCCCGTTTGGTGTCGCTGCGTTGAAGCTGTCTTCCCGATGGTGAGGTCATTATGGTTCCCGTTTGATGTCACCTAATATTAGTGGTGTTCCGCACTGGGTGTCGAACTTTTGTCGAACTCGGCTTGGCGCCCAGCCCTCTCAAAGGAGCAAGCGGTGAACACTGATTACATAATTTTCTTGGCAAAAGTTCGACATTTTGTCGAACTTTCGCCAAGACGCTAAGTCATGTGACTAAACCTCGCACCAAATCCTTCTTACCACGCACCTTTCCCTCGCCATTTTACAATCATGTGATCGAGACTTACACCTGGATCCACAACTTAGCCCTAACTATTTCTGGCATCCTGTTCCTGGATCTGGTCTCTGCATTTGATTAACTGCTCAGCTTTAGAGTCAGAAATGGCTTCTTTTGGTGGCAACACTTTGTATTGTTTTACTAGCCTCTTGACCCACTTACTATATATTTAGGGTGGTGATCTAGCGACACCAGGGTGTCGTTCTAGCGACACCCCCACGTGACTCAGTTATACGGATTGGATAATTTTCACGTGTCATGTGATTAGAAAATCAAATTTCCTTCCAAACATTGCCATATTTGGCAATGGAATCTAGGGTTAGGGCTAGATTAAAGCAGCGCTCAATGGTCTTAAGGCACTCAGGCATGCAGTCTTATTGTCACACAAGATGCAGGTCGTCAAACATTTGCATCCTTTATCTTATGGCATAGCGACTTAATGGCCTCAAATCAGTTATTAGCGTCCCTCCTCCAGGGCTATGAAAGCTCTGGAGATGATGCAGAACCTCAAAATGATCTTCACAATCGAATTCCACTTCCCCCTCGTCTAGAAGAAGAAGTATTTGACTCACCTGATACTATTATTGAATTCATCAACAACTTTGCCCAGAACCACGGCTATGCGGTTTCCAAACGGCGCTCAAAGAGAGCTAAAAATGGCCATATCAAGACTGTGTTTGTGAAGTGCTCTCTAGGAGGGGAGTACCATGATCGTGTGGTTGAGCGTACGCGACAAGAGAGCACAATACTTACTGACTATCCCTTCTCCATCGTCCTGCGACTTCAGCAAGATGACACTTGGCTTGTTAATATCAAAGAAAAACACCATAATCACGATCTGTCGCCAATATCCACTCATTCAGTCCATTGTTATCGTCAAATACTTGAACATGCTACCCAAATCGAAGCCCAACTAGAGAATGGAATTGACACACGCCATATCATTGCTTCACTTAGGAAGAAGCGTGGAGATAATGTTGGGATAAAGGACTGAGATATATACAATTTCAGACGCAACATGCGAAAGCGCTTCTTAAATGGTCGAGAGCCAATTCACGTCCTTCTCAGCTCATTCCCGGAGACTGGAGACTGGGTTGTCAATTACCAAACCCATGATGATATTGTCACAGCTGTGTTCTTAACCCATAAGAGCTGTTTAGATTTACTATAGCTTTACAATACTGTGCTCTTTTTAGATTCCACTTACAAGACCAATAAATATCGAATGCCCCTTCTTGATATTGTTGGCTGCACGGGAACCAATAAGACATTCTAGGTCGGATTTAGCTTCATGAAAAATGAAAAGGAGGAGTCTTATTCATTTATTCTTAAAAGCCTTGAGCAGGTAATCTTCCGTATGGGGCTAGGGCATCCAAAAACAATCATTACCGACAAAGATTAGGCCCTAATGGGTGCTATTGAAGCTATATTTCTATATACACGAAATATCTTATGCATTTGGCACATCCAAAAGAATCTGATGGTTAAGTGTCGGCCAGCTCTACGCCAGGAAGTCATTCGAATCGATTATGAGGGCAAGGGTATGAAGAGCACCCTAGTTGATGAATTTAAAGAGAAGGTTGAAGCTCATTGGGTCGCTTTTTGGTAGGACTTTATGAAACTCGTCAATGCATATACTGAGGAAGAGAAAGATGCTGAGTGGAATAATTTCAGGGCTAAATACAGCCATAATGTGTGGGACACGGTCTTCGAATATATCAAGAAAGAATGGCTTCAGGAAGATACAGCAAAACACTTTTTAAAATACTATACCAATGAGTATCTGCATCTCAACAAGCAAGCAAGCTCACAGGTTGAAGGTGCCCATTAGATTATCAAACGTGACCTTGGAACTTCCACAATGGACCTACTTAGAGCCACACTATCAATTGAAATGACAATTGAAAAACAACACCAAAAAATATGGCAGGAAATTGAGGATGAGCGCGTCCGAATAAAGATAGATTTCAAGAACCTGCGGCTTTTTAAGCATGTTTTGAAGAAGGTCTCAAGTCATGCACTGAAAATAATCCATAGTATCTTTGAAAGATACCTCCCAGAGAGCGCCCCTGATAAAAAGCCAATTAAGCCCTGCACGGGTGTGACTCGACGGACTCTAGGGATTCCTTGCATCCACAAAATCAAGGAATACTATGAGGCTGACATATCGATTGAGCTTTTTGAATTCTGTCCACATTGGCGGCTGCATACCGACGAAGACCTTCCTCCTGTGGATCCACGAGAATTAGTCCTGGAGCTAGAAGTAATCAGACCGCGTGGCCGTCCTCCTGGTACAATTAACTGGCCAACTACAAGCGAGCAGAGCCAGTCAGCTGAAGATAGATCTACTAGAAGAGATCCCTCTGCATTTGAACATCTATTGACTCAAGAATCAAGCCGAGGACAAGGAAGTGGCCACATACGTAGTAGCTGTGGAGGAGGACAGGCAAGGAGTGGGCGTGGAGCAAGACAACGAGGTCGTGGTAGTCATGGAGGAGGACAGGCGGGTCGTGGGCGTGGAGGAAGACAGCAGGGTGGCGAATGTGGTAGCGGCTCTGCAGGCACCAGTGAAGTTAGCACTCAAAGTCACGAGAATAATGATAATGAAATTAGTGAGAACAGGGATAATAAGACCAACGAGAATCAGATCAGAAGAAGCAAGCGACGTGGCCGTGGCCAGCCAGCGCCATGGCTAGGCGATGAGAATGAGTAACAGGCAAGGAAGGTGCAATTTCTTTTCTGAGACAAGAATCTTACTTTGCTGAAATACTGTATGATTAGACTAGCAGGAAAAATGACAATTGATAGTGATGTGATAGACTTAGCCCTAACCCTAGATTCCATTGCCAAATATGGCAATGTTTGGAAGGAAATTTGATTTTCTGATCACATGACACGTGAAAATTATCCAATCCGTATAACTGAGTCACGTGGGGGTGTCGCTAGAACGACACCCTGGTGTCGCTGGAACTAGGGGGGTGTCGCTAGATCACCACCCTAAATTAAACGGAATATAAACAGACGACTAGGCAAAAAAACTTTACCTCGATTAAAAATGGTAGTCTTTAAATCTTCACGAATAGACTTACCGTGCTCGGGTTCTTCGATGCTCCGTCCTCAACACATATAACCTTGAATATAATGTGGTGAACCGGTGGCCATTTCGAGTAATGCTAGGATCAACCGAAATATGAAAGGATTTGAGAATAGTCATGGGAAAAGAGGTTATTCACTCAACTGAAGTCTCGACTTTCCTCGATTTTCAAAAGAGGTATGACACACAGCTGATCATCTAGAAGGTTCTCCAGACATTGTTGTCTTCTGGTGTTCCTGGAGTGAACAGCAGCGTAATCTTGCTAATTCGACGACGCCGAGTACGAGCTAGTCTCGTGATTGGCTTAGATGGACGTGAATCTCTTGAAACAGAACAGAAGCCCAGTCTCTCACATGACGGACTGGCTAGATAAATACCAGAGGCTTCCCACAGTCTTCGTTCTCTCCTTTTCTTAGGCCTTCCTCACAACATGGATATCATCAGCATTTATGCCATCACCGCCGGCGGTGTTTTTGTCGCTCTTTTCCTGATCAGTATTCTTCCGTATTTGTATCAATTAGCCAAGAGCCTTGAACTGTACATTTCTCGTTATTTGATTTTTCCATTCTTTCTTCGTCGCCATCGCTTCGTTGGCCCATGGACACGTGGGGCTGTGTTAATTCACCTTCTCTATACTGGGGTCAATCTGTTCTGTCTCTGCTTCGGTGTCTCTTCGCCAACAGAATTTGCAGATAGATCAGGGACTCTGGCTGTGGTCAATATGGTCGCTTCATATACGGCGGGACACGTGAGCTTCTACTCAGATATATTGAGTATTTCTCGCCACACATGTCTCCAGATCCACCGGGGCACTGCTTGGATGGTGAGCGGTTTGTTAGTCCTACATGTTGTCTTAATTTCCACTATCCAGAGTAGTTTCTCATTGGATCGAACGAGCAACCTTTTTGCACTTATTGTAAGTTGTTGACCTCTTCGTGCATATTGTCTCTGATTTGAAAATAGGGGGCCGGATGTGTTGTGGGACTCACACTCTTTACACTGCCGTATATTCGCCGTCACATTTTCGAAGTGTTCCTTCGAACCCATCAAGTCCTTGCATATATTCTTTTATATGCTATGTAGCGTCATATTCCGTCTGGTAATCGCCTATCAAAGATTTGTATCATTACCACATTCGTGTTGCTCTCAATAGCGCTGCTCCTACAGCTTGGCTTTCTCATCTATCGAAATAGGATCTTCTCGTTGCGTGGATGGCCTCGGGCGCGGGTTTCCTGTAACCGCCCGAGAATTGAGGGAGAGAATGATTCGAACGTAATCATTCAAGTTCGTGTGGCCCTCACACGACCGGTGAGGATTAAAGCGGGACAGTACATCAATTTATGGATACCTTCGGTGACCTGGTGGTCATGGACACAAATGCATCCATTCATGGTTACCTCCTGGTCTCACAGCTGCCAGGAGACGTTGGACATTCTGATTCAGCCTCGACGTGGATTTTCTCGCGAATTGCTCAAACAGGCCCGTTCAGCTCAAGAGGGATCAGCTTCATTGCGCGCGTTTATCATCGGACCACATGGCAGGAGCGAAAACGTCGATCGTTATGAGAGTGTTATGTTTGTAGCAAGTGGCTTTGGTATCACAGCTGCCATTCCTTATCTCAAAAAGCTCGTGTATAGCTATAATACCTCGGCATCTCGAACGAGAAGAGTGCATCTTGTCTGGGAGGTTAAAACTCTTGGTGAGTACTATGACGTCAAGCTATCTTCCGCTAACATATCAAGACATCGCAATCGCGGTGCAAGGTACCCTAAACAGTCTCCTCGAAGATGACGTCTTAAAGAAGCGTTACGTAAGTGGTATTTTCCTCACTTGCTAGTGCAATCAGATGCTGAGCTGGACTAGATCTTGACCATCTCTATCCACGTGAAATCTGGTCAGATCATTGGCGACGTGATGAAATTTGGAAACCACGACCGAGCCGTCGTTTACAACGGCCATGCAAATTATGATCAGATCCTGCATGCGGAAATGTCTGGAGAGCTCATTAAGCGGCTTCCAAACGCTAAAGAAGAAAAGGGAGAGTCATTGGTGATGGGTATGCGCCATCTATGAGCGATCGCTTCATCTACTGACAAACTTTCAGTGGCGGCGTCCAGCCGAGTCCGCGACCAGATACGATTAGTCCTTCAAGACTATGTACACCAGAAAGCGAAAATGGTTATTCTTGAGTATCAACCTTGAGCCATTAACTTAGTAACAGAGCTAGATGACTTCATGCAACCTATATAGATATCACTTATTTGTTTCAGCCCAAGGAGTTCTCGGCCTTTTTCAACTATCTACCCTTTTGAAAATTGTATCTTGACTTTGATTAGAAAATCCTGTCCAAGACATGACACTAGATTGCTAAATGAAACATCATTCCACCAAAGTAACTTCCTGGTTAAGCTGTGATCTAACCCCTACTTGTCTCACCAAATGTGTGACAAGTATAATACAGTATCTCATGAGGACGGGGTTGTTCTTATGAATGGCGCCTTCTCCAGGGCATTCGCTTAGATCTCCCAAATTCTGCGTCCTAGGCTGATCAATCGGGGGCCGAACTCCTTCAAAATAACCTCAACATCTGACATATCCAATTGACTCGCTCCACAATAATCTTTATCAGTACCGAACGTTGCAATCTTCCACTGAAATTTCCATCTTTCAATAGCAGTCTTCGCATCTTCAGAATCAGCTCTAATATTGGTTGCCAGCATATAGAAGGAAGATCGTTTGGCGTGGAATCTCGTATGCTTGAACAACTGGATAGAAGCAAACTTGTCGAATGTGTGCAAGAGCTGCACCGTAGCTAGAGCCTCGACTTTGTGGAGAAGGACGATCATCGTCCCTCCTGGAGTGAGGTGATTGAGTGCGATTGTCAGTTGCGTAAGACATAATCTACTAGCTTCTGTACGTACACGATAGTCAGCACGGCCGTGATTGCGGAGCACTTGACCATCACATATTATAAGATCAAAAGATTGTCTTGGATCGAATTGACTCGGAAGAAAATTTCCAGCATCCGGATGCTCGTTTGGAATACAAGACAGTCCCATATCCTCTGCCAACATTGTTACATCCAGAAACTTGAGAGTAACGCTGGGACGCTTGGGTAGGAGAACCCGGTGCCCCCCATCTATTCTCGGTAAGCTGAATGCTAGTGCTTGGGCTTCAGGGTTACAGCTGAGGGCTATCGCAAGAAACCCGCCCGGTGCCATGCACATGTCTAGGATAGAGTAGCCATCACAGTAAAGGTTCTTGATGTGAAAGACCCCAGTCACTCGATGCATGTCATATGCGATGGTTTCATCATTTTATAAAATTCCT